ACAGATTGAATTTGAAAAGTGTCCCAAATATGACGAACAAACTGATAGTCTTCTTCCGACACTGTGTCTTCTGTCACAGAAGCAAAAAACTGGCTGGAAACACGGAAACTCAGTTTCATTTAATGGTGAGGTAGTTTTCGAGTCAGTAGGTCGAGATGATCAGGGTATTTTTGAGCTAGCTGAAAAATTGTAAGCTGGTGTTTGAGAGTTTGAAAGATCCTAAAAGCGAAGGTGATCAATTTCAATCATGAAGAATGTTCTGTATTATGTGGAATGCATTATAGTTTACGATCAGTAAATAATTCTACAGCTTGCAAAATCAAATGACTGTCATATATCTAAATTTTCTGATTTCACACTTAAACCATATACGTTGATGCTAAGATTTTTTTATTTTTCTCAAATTTTGTAACACGTTTAACGCCATGGGAAAACTGCTTAAATTAAGAACTGTGTAAGGTCAGTTGTTTCAAGTGGTCAACAGAAGTTCTTGTGACACCCCTTTCCAATCGGTTGTATAAGAAACACCTTTCTGGTGTTCAGATCGGAAACGAAAATAGGAAACAATGTAGCACATACGCAACCTCAGCAGAAAAGCACGATCTTTTATGCAGCAATCATGCAATTGATTATGTAAACCAGGGTATAGAAGCACGCGTGTTGCAGGGATTCGGGATGCATTGTTTCTGCTTGTCTTGACAACTGCAACATGGAAAAACATGCAATTGCAATCAGTATTTGAAGTTTAGGAATGCCTCGCCTATCTGAAAATGACGCTTGAAGTTGCTTGGCGATTGACCGTGCACAGAAACACCATTTGGACGTTATGGCAGTGGTGGCAGCATACAAACGCTGTAAGAGACCGACCAAGGAGCTGCAGCCCCCACCCCCAGTTACGAGGGTCCGTCAAGATTATTGGATTCGAACCACCCATCTGCGAAATCGGTTCGAGCCTGCAATAATCACTACGAGAACCATCCCTTTGTCGAATATCGGCATAGACGTGTGTTTTGCCAGGATTTTTGCGAGGGGACCTGTCAGACGCCAAATTCTGACCAACAGTCACCGCCGATTGCGTCTGCAGTAGTGTCGACAGCGAGTGCGTTGGACGACAATTTAGTGGAGACAGGTTCTTTTCACCGACTTGTCTCGTTTCCACCTCTCCCACGGCGATGGCCGAATACGAGTGATACCGACGTCGCGGTGAACATTAGGCTCAGAACTGTGTTGTGGAGGAAGACCGTTTCGGAGGAGGCAGTGTTATGGTGTGGGGAGGAATCACCAAGAGAAAAAGAACTCTTTTGCAAGTGATCAATGGCAATTTGAACGGGCAGCGTTACTGCGACGAGGCCATCCAGCCTATCGTTGTGCCATTTTGGAATCGACATGGACCTGGCGTGATGTTTCAGCATGACAACATCCAATCCCATCTGAGGCAGGTTGTTCAACAAGCACTTGGACAGAACAACGTGAATGTGATCCCATGGCCTGCTCACTCTCCAGACCTTTCGCCAAATGAACACATGTGGGATGAAATGGACCACCGTCTTCCACGTTCAACACGTGCTCCGACTACAGTACAGGAACTGAGAGAGAGGGAGGGCAGATATGGGATGCCATCCCACAATACTGTGTTAGACGTTTGATCCGTTCAATGCGAAGGAGATACATTGCATGTATTCAAGCGAGAGAGGGGCGGTCGGGTAGCCTAGTGGTTAAAGCGTTTGCTCGTCACGCCGAAGACCCGGGTTCGAATCCCGACATGGGTACAAGGTGTGAAGCCCATTTCTGGTGTCCCCCGCCGTGATATTGCTGGAATATTGCTAAAAGCGGCGTAAAACCAAACTCACTCACTCACTCAAGCGAGAGAGAGACACACACGGAACTGGCGTGTGAATTGACAATAACGTCATTTCTGTGCTGGACATGTTATTAAATGTCCATTGTCTGTTTGAAAATTATGACGAGTGCGTCTACTTTGATCAGGTTCTCGTTTTATATCGCGCCACAGGAACTTTTGTTGTTGGGTATGTATAGAGCTTACGGGGTAGAGATGTGCCAAAATAATTTTTAGACATTCATCTTCTAAATTCAACAAACTCCTCCAAAGCATGAGGTAAATGTAAATGGTGGGAACTTCAAAGGGGTTGAAATGTGACAATAGACAATTTAACACTAAACACTTTTATCAAAATTTAAATCGGAACTGTCTCCTTCATAATTATACATACCCACCATAATTGTGTGTATGGCATCAGTGATTATCGCATCTAAATCATCTGCTGCCATACGTGTGGTGGTATTTTAGTTCTACAATAAGGTACAATGTTTTTCTCTTCCCTTCAGATCCAACTTGAATATTTTTAAATTGGATACAGTGCCTCCATTTAATTGAATGCTTTCTGTTGAATGATATCAGGCTGAAGTTTAACCAGATAATACTAGGGATCATGCCTTCTCTACTCTGGGGGACTTGCCCGCACTTGCACATTGACTGCATGACGGGAGCATCCCTGTGGAGCCTCACTGATTCGCCCAGCCTGCTGTGACGTCCAGATGATTTTAAGTGATAGTGCATTATGTGTCTCAATAATGTTTTCATGGTAAGAAACGATGCAAAACATGCACGACAAGAAACGTTTGACGGGCAGAAGCTAAAGTACTCCGCTGATGGTGACAGAGATAGAGACTGGCTTCATGAATACACATGCTTCCTATGAACATAGAACATATAAATATAAAACAGTAAAAGCTTAAGGTTGCAGAGACACCTCAATTACCTATCTCTGGCTTTACATGATCTGTTTCCATGTGCCTCTGTAAATAATTATGATGATGATGATGATGATGATGATGATGATAATTTTCCTGATGTCTAACCAATGAACATTTAGAACCATACGTATTTGACAAAACTCACAAGTGTATATGTGGGTAGTAGTGTATTGAGACATTTTTAGTATTTAAGATGTATGTATTTGGTATTTATGTTCACTTGCACAGAACGATCTTAGCGCTACAATCATCTAAATCCTTGAGATCGCGATCCTAGGCTTCGGCTACAATCGCCATCCATTTGCACATCATGTGGGATGAATGTGGAGTGTAATTACTTCTCATTTTTCGTTCATATCTAAGGTCGGGTAGATAAGATTCGATGACTGAGTGAGTAGGGTTTAACGCCGCTATTAACAGTATTCCAGCTATATCGCGACGTGTCAGCTAGATGTGTGAGGAAAGCCCGAAGTGATGCATGTCTCAGACGTTTACCACTTCGGTGAAACCAACGAGCTGACACACCTACAAACATAATCGGGGCGAACCGGGATTCGAACCCAAAATCATAGGTTTCTGGCGTGCCCAAGGGACGCAACTCTGCACAGCAAATCGCGGCGCCTTTTAGACGACTGGGCCACCCGTGCCCCCACCTTTAGAACAAATATGTAGCTTGTATAACTGTGCAAAGACAGGGTACATTCCGGTGGCGCACCGATCGAGAAGGGCACCGACGTTAACAGTATTTACTTCTGAATTATTTAATTTTACGCCCGAAACAGTATTTCACAGTTACTGCCCCTATCCTTAATACCGATTGGTATTCTTGCTCATAACACACACAAAATAACTTTCCTTAGGCAAAGGGGGGCACGGCTGGTCCAGTCGTCTAAGGCGCCGCGATTCGCTGTGCGGAGTTGCGTCCCTTAGGCACGCCAGAATGCTATGATTGTGGGTACGAATCCGATTCCCGATTATGTTTGTAGGTTTGTCAGAACCATACCCGTGCTCGTGAGTATTACCGAAGTGGTAAACGTCTGAGACCTGCATCACTTCGGGTTTTCCTCCCAAGTTATGCTGACACGCCGTGGAATACTGTTAAAAGCGGCTCTAAACCCAACTCACTCACTCACTCGCTCATAAGGCAAAAGAGTCCTTGTTGTGTTAATGTGAAAGCATTATCTATCCACATTATAACTTGCCTATCATATAATAATTTATAATATATCCGAATAATATTAACATTACAGTTGATGTTTAATTGAAAGCTTTTATTCCTTCCCAACGTACGCGTTTTCCCACTCTCCTACCCAGAGTTCCATGCGGCCGGAGTGTGGCGTTTTCCTAGAAACCGTGACTATGTAAGGGAGGAAACCCATATTCGCTGCCTCAGAGTTACCAGCCCTTGACACTAGCTCATAGTTGCTTTGATGTGCTTAACATTGAAAACATGTTTTTCACGCCGCATGTCTGGAGAGTGTCCGTCATGGTTTGTGTGCATGTAATCTTCTGTCATATATCTAACGGCATTGAGTAGTAAATTCATTAAATGATCTTAAAATCTATATTCTACATGAAATCTCTTATAATATCTGAATTAATAAATTATCGATAATATTGGCTAATTGTTGAATATTCCCTTGTTAAAAAATGTCATCGGGTGAATCTTGATTATCTAGAATATAGATATTAATAATAGTTTTATGTCGTGGATGCAGGGGAAATCGTGGATGAGCATGAACATTATGAAAAAATGTATAGACCACGACAATGTAATTTCAGGATGTTTGAAATCTAATGATTTATACAATATTTTATCATTTTCAAAAGAGCTGAAATGATTTTTTTTAAATGCAGGAAAGCGTGCATATGTCGGCTTGTTTACTATCAAATCATATGATTCGTTCACTGAACGTTGCCAGAAAAATACTTAAGTGAATGAAAACGTGTATACATTTTGGAAAAATACACCTTAAAACATAATTTTATTTTTAATCATTATATTTACATGTTTCAGAAATAGTTTCCTAGAAGCATTCATTAAATTAAGTGTGTGTGTGTGTGTGTGTGTGTGTGTGTGTGTGTGTGTGTGTGTGTGTGTGTGTGTTTCCGAATGACTTTGCTTCAATGTATGGGTTAAATTTGTGTTTACTGAGTCAATTCACCCCCGTCAGTTGTCAGTCGGCCGTGTTCCCAATGCTCCCCGGAAGTGGTAATTTCCACAATGACTGGTCCCTCATAATGGCGACTTACATACTGGATTTTGGGCTGTAATAAACATGCACATAATATATCTCTCCTCTCCGAATACTCTACGCCTATTATAGCGCATACATGGCATCAAATAACAACGCACATTTTCAAAGGCCAGCAGTTGTCCAGCGTGGCCCGAGGGTAAATATATAGATCTATTTGCTTTTCATTTTTTGCAAAATCTATAATATCCTCGTTTTCTTCGGTCTATAACATTTGGCATGCCGGCAGTTTACCGGGCTCAGCTTGTATTGCTAGTTGGCCCCGGATGCAGGCGGCGGCTTTCCCGTCAGTGATCTTGCGTGTCTATTCGATCTTTACGCCGTTACGGTTAGTTGTTAGGGGGTTAGGGAAGGTTACCCCAACTCAATCCTTAGTCCTTGCCATGCCTTGGATCACGATTATGGGGGTGGCGCACCCCTTTCTGATCAAGTACCCACTTCACATTCCTTGGGGTGGGGCACCCCTTCAGCCCTTGCCAATAAAAATCCTTTGGGTTTGGTACCCCTTTATGATCCTTAGGGTTAGTTGTGACAGAGACCATATAACTGATATAATAGATTGTATGGTCTCTGGTTGTGAGCAGATGGACTATACGGTATTGGTCAGCTGTCTAATCTAATTTAACCATGTTGCGGGAAATCCTTTTTTCAAGTTTTGAGTTTCATGGAGAAAAATGGCTACTCCATGCACATCAAGGTGGACAATTTGGTACCATGATAGCACTTGAATCGAAGCCCCTACATTTTGAACTTTTAACATTTGGGCAATGACCATGATGACAATGACTGTAACACAGTTTGTAAACTAAGTGTTAGCTCACCAGATCCTTGTTCCCAGTTCTGATTGTAATTTCCTTACCATGGCCATGTCATCATAGTCTTAAGGGGCAGTGGGGTAGCCTAGAGATTAGCTTTGTGACTCGGTTGATGTGTGTGTGTGTGTCTGTCTGTCTGCTTGTACTAGTCCAGATTGATGACAATTTTACAGGGCTAGCCCACTGAGATATCATGCTGCAGTTGAACATGAATACCCCACTCAGACACAGTATACTGACTCTGAATCGACCAGTCCTTGTTTTAGCCCCTTAATGCCGAGCACCAGGCAGGGTAACAACAAGTACCATCTTTATTCGTCTTTTGGTAGGACATGGCCAGGGATCTAACCCCAGACCTTCCGCTCTCCGGGCGAACGCTCTACCACTAGACCACTGAGGCATTTGACAGCTATGGAGTCTAACTCATTCATCATGTTCATACATTTGTCTTTTATTTTCCAGCCTCCAGGGATGATGCCTTTCAACCCTCCTCCTGGCATGGCTAACCCAGTGATGGCTGGCCGGACCCTACCCCCACCCCAATTCCAGCAGGCCCAGGCCGCTGCTCAGTTAAGACCCTTCCCAAACCATCCTTTCATGTCACAAAGGCCGCAGCTCGGCCATCAGATGCTTGGTCAAGGAGCCCAGAATCCAGTCAGTATAGGCTTTCCTGTTGTGCCCCAAATGGGAATAATGCCACCCCGGGCCCCCTTCATCAACCCAAACATGATCCCCTGGGGGTCGGGCTCCCCATCTCAGTCAATCAGGGTCCCTGGACCTTACCCCAATGTTCCCCCAGCAGTACCCAACATGAACCATGGACAGGGCTCTGTTCCTCGTCAGATGCCGCAACAAACTGTAGGATCGCAGATGCAAGGTCACAGCACGAACCAGGGCATGACCCAGGCTCTGAATCAACTCGTTAAGAGTGCAGGAAGCCACCAACGATGGAGTTTATCCAAGAACGAACGAAGAGCTGACAGTAGCAGCACTGCCATCTCCTCCTCGGACAACGACGGTAGTTCATGCACCAGCAGCCATGTGTCCGATTCGGACCGAGAGAGATCAAAGTCATCCCGTCATAGGGATCGAGATCATGACAGACATAGACGGGACAGGGTAGATAACCCTCCTCTGAGCCGTGACATGGAGAGGAGTAGATTTACACACCTGAGATCTTTAAGTAGAGAGAGCTCACGCAGCCGAGACAGCACCCATGGCAGAGACAGCAGAGAGAGCAGCCGCAGCAGAGACACCAGGGATAGGAGGAGAAACGAGAGTTCAGACAGGTCATTCATCATCATCATCGCCATCATCATCATCGTCATCTTGTTTGTTGGATCAAATTCACATGTTTATTCTCTAAGAGTCTGAGGAGGAAATTAAAATAAGCTCAAATCTCAACCTGTCTGGACCAGACGGTCCAGTGATTAACATAATGAGCATCGATATACGTAATTGGAATACGATTTCGAGATACTTTGTTGCGTAATGTAAGCTGGGTAAGGCATGTCCACTAGTCTGTTCGTCCAAGACTAGTAAAATTCTAGATGGACTAGTTGATATGTAGTTGTCTCTCACAATCTAGTTATTTCACACAAACTGCATGTGAAAAGGTAGTTGTGCTACAAGCTACATTTGGATATAAACAATAGTGTCTATCCCTGATGTAAGTGTTCTAGCAGTAAGAAAACTTATTGTTTGAAAAAAGGCAAGTGTTCAGGGTAAAGAGAACCAATCACTGACCTTTTTATTGTCTGCACATTTTGCTTGGGTTGCTTGGGATTATTTTTAAAAAATACTGGAAATAATTTTTCTTAGTTTTCATGAAAATAATACAAATTGTTTGCTGGACATGGTATATTCGAAGAGATGTTTTGTCTCAAACAGAGAATTAAAAAAATGGTTTCATAGAAAAAACAATTGTTTGTTTTGATGCAATGGCAGAAAAAATAGCCTGGTTCTAACACATTCCCAGACACACACTCCTCTGAGAATATTAAATTATCGGTCTCTAACGATGTAACATATTGTGTGTTTGGTCAGCGCTGACACTCAAGACATGCACATTCATCAACTAACCACCAGCTATTTTTGCATGCTTGTATATATGGATAGATATATAGTGAGATTTACTGCATTGGATAGGAGGCGGCGTGATGATCGTGCGAGTCCAGCATCTGACAACAGCCGTTCGGAGAGGTCGCAGTCATACAAGCGCCCCCGATGGCAGGATGATCGAGAGAGGGAGCGAGACAGAAGGTTAGTGGGAGCCCTTGTTGGAATATAGTTCTACAAAGAATGGATCTTTGTGAATGCTTTACTTTGTCCTTAAGTGCTGTAACCCTGATTGAACAACCTTTGAGCAAGAGTAAAATGATGCCTTTTGAAATCTTCATGGAAAGACCAAGCTCGATTGTTGTTGTTGTTGTTGTTGCTCGATTGTTGTTGTTGTTGTTGTTGTTGTTGATGTGGAACAGTGTTACTAAATAGTATGCCTGGATAGCGAACTGGCAGTATTTCAAACACTGGTCAGTGTACATAAAAGGAAGACTGTACTGAAACAGACATACAACCTATTACAGCAGGGACCACAAAAGGTCAAGGCATGACCGAGGTGACCGCTCTGACCGAGGTGACCGCTCCGACAGAGGTGACCGATCCGACCGAGGTAACCGCTCCGATAGAAGTGACCGCTCCGAGAGGAGGAGGGACCACCGACCTCCACCTGATGATGAGGAGGAGGATCTCGCCCTCCCATGCACAAGCAGCAGTCGGGATGAGGTCCCAGACAGGCCTGACCCCGGGGTCCGGGAGGACGACACCCCTGCCTGGGTCAGGTGTTCCCCTGCAGATCTGTACTTCACGCGGGACACAAAGGTAATGCTTTGTTTGGGTCCCTAGGGTCTGGATGGGAACAGTGTTTAAAATAATTGTAAAACCCAACAAGACAGTCTGGCAGGTTACCCATAAGTGTGCCTGCCATTCTTCAAAGTTACCTGCCCGTATTCAGACATTGTAAGTCACAAAAAATAAGAGACAAATCACGACTTGATTTTGTTGAAATAATTCTAACAATGATTTAGAAGAATCTGCTAGAAGTTGTGATGCAACTCTATACAAGTAGCCTTTAAATATCTGCCAGACAGTCGGTCAGGTGGAGGGAAGTTTCATGCAGCCCAACGAAAAAGTTACTTGTAATGGCCAGGTGGGCAGGCAGTTATCTCGGAGACTAGATGGGTAACATTTTAAACACCCAGGGTTCAGACAGGTACCACATGGTTTAGTGGGGCTGGGATGATACACCAACTGTGTGATCCGATATGTATCACGATACCTTGCTCACGATCCAATATGTATCATGATACCTTGCTCACGATCCAATATGTATCATGATACCTTGCTCACGATCCAATATGTATCACGATACTTGCTTGTGCTCTTATCTGTGGTTTGTAAGCCATCTTTTTCATAGGCCAAATACCTGGCACATTGACGATTTACAGTGGGCAGTGTTAAGTATGGTGCAGTGGATGGAAATATTTACGTTTTTACTACTCATTTTCACGAGTAATAAGTGTATGGTGTAACATTTACTGGGTATTAAAGAATACATTTATTGTGCATGTTGTAAGAATCTATACTTTTATGCAATTATGCAAATAAATAGTGTCACTATTTATATATGGTTAGATGTAAACATAGTGCATGTAGTCTTCATCATCATAAGAATGTTTAAAAATGAGATTTTCTGTAAATCTTTCTGTGATCGCGGAATCACAAAATTCGTCTGCGACTTGTTTTCGATATTACATTAGTACTAATGCCCTTGATAGTCGCCCTAGTCGAGGTGCAGTTTACATGCAGTATACTGCTTGAAATTAATCAAGGGGTCCTTGTCATAACCCTGATGTTTATAGTAAAATATTTAGAGGTTGCTAGTTCCTAGACCTGGAGCACATTCCTGAAGAGCTGAGCTTCATTACACTGTTACCATGGTTACAGATTGGGTGCCTGGTGGCAACAAAGAAGATGATTGACTTGGAGGACAAGTTTGAGAAAGAGCTTCTGGTCCGGGCCAGGGATGTCATCGCCAATCGGCCTGTGGTGGAGGAGCCGCCTCGTCCACCGCCCAGACACACCCATCATCATCATCATCATCATGGACACTCCGAATCTGGTAAGTTCCTCTAAAAGAATTGGGTGCAGCCAAAGAATTGTTAAACACTTGAACTCAGTACATCATGTAATGTTAGTGATAATAAAAATAATAATAACTGTGCAGAGTTGCGTCCCTTTGTTTTAATGTACGATAAACAACCACCACGAATCGTTTATTTCTTATATGAAATATCAACATTATTTACAGCCTCTTAGGTTGATGATAAAGTGTACAAGCTTTAGAAATATTTACTAGTATTTAAATAATGAGGACTCCCTTAATGTCGTACAGTCCATAATCTCACAATGACGTCATGATAGAACAATGTTTTTTGGCGTGAAATAAACCCCTCTTCGTTCTTCACATTTTTTTTCAATTTATCGCGTAGCTATCTTATATGTTGTAATACAACTTGCAATTTCATTTAAATCAGATCCTAGTTCTTGCTACCGCTAAACAAAGATCTTAGGAAATCCCATTACGGGTCACGTTAGAAAGACCTTTCTTCCTACCAATCAAAACATCGCTTAGCAGATTGGAAAAGTGACAGGTGGAAAATGTTTGTATATCATTCACCCGAGAAAAGATTTACACAGATCATTCCAAACAACAGTTACAGACTGAATAACATTTTCCAGCAAAATGGCCTTCTATATTTCCGCTTCTATGGGATAAACATTTGAAACAGAAAAGACGTCCCATAGCCCGTGGGTAGTACTACCATACAATCTCGGTCATCTATTAGACATTCAAGAATTTTCTTTGGTTCAATTTTCAAATTTTGAATCGAGATCTTTGTCAAAGTAGTTTTCAAAGCGCAGTCTGGAATGGAAGTCACCAGTTTTATACTAGCGCCATAAAGCTTGACAAAGCTGCTTTCAGATTCATGATGCTTCTCTGTGTTTGTAGCACGTCGATGCAGGTGTTGCTGAAGCTTGAAGTGATGCTTCTCTGTGTTTGTAGCACGTGGATGCAGTGATGCTTCTCTGTGTTTATAGCACATTGATGCAGGTGTTGCTGAAGCTGGAAGTGATGCTTCTCTGTGTTTATAGCACATCGATGCAGGTGTTGCTGAAGCTGGAAGTGATGCTTCTCTGTGTTTGTAGCACATCGATACAGGTGTTGCTGAAGCTGGAAGTGATGCTTCTCTGTGTTTGTAGCACATCTATACAGGTGTTGCTGAAGCTTGAAGTGATGCTTCTGTGTTTGTAGCACATCGATACAGGTGTTGCTGAAGCTGGAAGTGATGCTTCTGTGTTTGTAGCACATCGATACAGGTGTTGCTGAAGCTGGAAGTGATGCTTCTGTGTTTGTAGCACGTTGATGCAGTGATGCTTCTCTGTGTTTATAGCACATCGATGCAGGTGTTGCTGAAGCTTGAAGTGATGCTTCTGTGTTTGTAGCACGTCGATACAGGTGTTGCTGAAGCTTGAAGTGATGCTTCTGTGTTTGTAGCACGTCGATACAGGTGTTGCTGAAGCTGGAAGTGATGCTTCTGTGTTTGTAGCACGTGGATGCAGTGATGCTTCTCTGTGTTTATAGCACATTGATGCAGGTGTTGCTGAAGCTTGAAGTGATGCTTCTGTGTTTGTAGCACGTCGATACAGGTGTTGCTGAAGCTGGAAGTGATGCTTCTGTGTTTGTAGCACGTCGATACAGGTGTTGCTGAAGCTTGAAGTGATGCTTCTGTGTTTGTAGCACATCGATACAGGTGTTGCTGAAGCTGGAAGTGATGCTTCTGTGTTTGTAGCACGTCGATACAGGTGTTGCTGAAGCTGGAAGTGATGCTTCTCTGTGTTTATAGCACATCGATACAGGTGTTGCTGAAGCTTGAAGTGATGCTTCTCTGTGTTTATAGCACATCGATGCAGGTGTTGCTGAAGCTGGAAGTGATGCTTCTGTGTTTGTAGCATGTCGATACAGGTGTTGCTGAAGCTGGAAGTGATGCTTCTGTGTTTGTAGCACGTCGATACAGGTGTTGCTGAAGCTGGAAGTGATGCTTCTGTGTTTGTAGCACGTCGATACAGGTGTTGCTGAAGCTGGAAGTGATGCTTCTGTGTTTGTAGCACGTCTATACAGGTGTTGCTGAAGCTGGAAGTGATGCTTCTGTGTTTGTAGCACGTCTATACAGGTGTTGCTGAAGCTGGAAGTGATGCTTCTGTGTTTGTAGCACGTCGATACAGGTGCTGCTGGAAGTGATGCTTCTGTGTTTGTAGCACATCGATGCAGGTGATGCTTCTCTGTGTTTATAGCACATCGATGCAGGTGTTGCTGAAGCTTGAAGTGATGCTTCTCTGTGTTTGTAACACGTCGATACAGGTGTTGCTGAAGCTGGAAGTGATGCTTCTGTGTTTGTAGCACGTCGATGCAGGTGATGCTTCTCTGTGTTTATAGCACATCGATGCAGGTGTTGCTGAAGCTTGAAGTGATGCTTCTGTGTTTGTAGAGTCTGAGAGCAGCAGTAGCAGCAGTGATAGTAGCTGTGAGTCTGGCTCGGATGATTCTGATGATGATGATGATGATGACGATGACACCAACCTGTGGCTGGAGGAGCTGAACAGGAAGAAGAAGCATCCCCATCGACTCCACGAGGAGCTATGGTTTAACGACACTGGAGAGGTAGGTTGTCGCCAGTCATGACACTGAAGAGGTAGGTTGTTGCTATTTACAACAACACTGGATAAGTAGGTTGTCTCCACTCACAACAACTCTGGAGAGGTAGGTTGTCACCATCCACGACACTTTAGAGCTAATTTTATATTATTCATTGGTTATGAAACTAAATTACATTAAGTAATACGTTACCACTGTTATACCGAGGCTGTTGTCTCCCACAACTGCTGCTATAGCGAAATCTACCACAGAGATCTCAATTACCTCATGCAGCACGTGCGTAGCCACCTAGCTGCCATGTGACACCCTTCACTCTTGTCTCCTTCGTCTGCTTAGCAAGACGTGTTTTCTCCTGCTGAAGCGTTCCTTGAAGATTTGGTGATATTTATTATAGTTTATTCTCTAATAAACTGTGCTTTTATGGGGCGTTGCGGTAGCTACGCTTGGTTATAATTTTCCCGCCAAACGGAAAATTTTTCCCGCCCTTTTTTCTATATACTTGCGGGGTTCGCGTATGCCCGTTGTGTTTTACGTTTCCCCTGTTCTTGTATGTTTTGGGGGTTAACATAACTTATTTCTTTAATAAAAGTTATATGTGTATGTTATATGTTCACATTGCTCGTTTATTTTCTTGTGAAAATGTTCGTTTGTGAATCATTGTGGTGCGTGCGTTGTAACCATGTTTTGTTCTTTGTTTATAGCAACCAATCAATGTCTGACATGGATATGTCCTCAGTATCCACCCCCTCTACCCCTGCTCCTCGGAGTTGTGGGGTGTGCAGAAAGTTTTTGTCGTCCCGGGATCCCCACGATCGTTGCCCGCGGTGCAGGGTTCCTTGCGGGGACACCCGGGGCATCCTGTGCGAAGGTCTGGGGCCTGCGGAGTTTGCGCGGTACCGGCTGTACGTACAGTCCGTCTCGACCCCTGTGGTGGCCGGTTCGTCCGGTCGGGGTCCCCGTGCGGGTACCACCTCCTCGGCTGCGGCGGATCCCCTTGCGGCCCTCGGGCTGTCTGGGGATTCCGTCGCCGCATTGTTGTCGAAACTTGTGGACTCCAAGCTGGCGGCCTTATCGCAAGATAGGCCGCTGGCTGTTCCGTCCCCGGCCTCTTCGGTGGCCGCGGGGTCGGACGCGGGGTCCACCGGTAAAGCGGCGGTTCTCTTAGCGGCCCGTGTGCTGTCCGGGAAAAAACGTCGCTGCATTACTTGCATAACTTGTGGACTCCAAGCTGGCGGCCTTATCGCAAGATAGGCCGCTGGCTGTTCCGTCCCCGGCCTCTTCGGTGGCCGCGGGGTCCACCGGTAAAGCGGCGGATCTCTTGGCGGCCCGTGTGCTGTCCGGGGATTCCGTCGCTGCATTACTTGCATAACTTGTCGACTCCAAGCTGGCGGCCTTATCTCAGGATAGGCCGCTGGCTGTTCCGTCCCCGGCCACTTCGGTGGCCGCGGGGTCGGACGCGGGGTCCACCGGTACGGCGGCGGCTCCCGTGGTCACCGGTCCTTCCCCCGAACCGTTGCTCCCGCTATCAGTTTAGGACCGCGTGGCCATGGTTTATGACCTCTTTGAGGACATGCCCCGGCCGGTACCGCGGGGAATCCACGACTGTGGGTTCCTCCGAGGTATACGATGAGTCTTCCGACACGGCTTTCCCCACATCAACCTTGCTGCGCGGTTTCAAGCCTTCCTTGGAGAACGCCTTCGCGGCGGCCTCCGGTCGGGGTCTCCCGTTGCCTCCGACGTCGTGGAGAAAGGGTTTATTCCCGGTACATGACCTTGCCTTTACCGAGGCTGGTCCTACCGCGGAGGCCCATGTTGAGCGGTTGGGTGTCCGTGCCCCACCGGCTGCTACGGTAACGCAAGCTACCTTGCACCAGCTGGACACCCTCGCTCGGCACTCCATGTCTCACGGAGACACTTACTTGGCTGCAGCGGCCCGTCTGGTCGAAGGTTCTCCCACGGACCGTGACCAGCGCATTTACAACTGCCTGCTCAGTTTAAATGCTTCCCTGGAGTACGTTGCCGAGGACTCTCGGCACACACTTGCTCTTGTTGGGTCCCTGCATAGGCACCTGGGTGCCGCTCCTAACCGGTGCGCGCCCCAGGCTGCTGCGGCCGGTAGGTCTAAGGGGTCGGGTTCTTCTTCCTCTGGGAAGTAGCCCCGCCCTGAGGGCTCCGGTATGGGCAATCAGCTGCCCTTTCGCGGGAAGAAGGGGAACTGGGGGAAGCCCAAGTCGTCGACGGACGGCAAGGGCCCCTCCAGGTGACTCTCATTGGAGGGGTTCGTATGCCGACGGCGCCAACTTCGGTTGGCCCTTAGGCGAACCCGAGTCACTTGGCCCTGGACAGTTGCGCCTGCCGCAACCTGTCAGGGCCCCCTCTCCTTCCCCAGTGGGAGCCAGACTCCAGACTTACTGGGAGAATTGGGAACAAGTGTTCGACGACCCGTGGGTGGTCAACACGATTCGGTACGGCTCTCGGCTTGATCTCAAAGCGAATCCGCCGCTCACCGTTGCCCCGTTGGCAGGTTTCGATTCGGAAACCGATCTTCCCATCCTCGCCGATGCCATCGGCAGGTTGGTGGAGAAGGGGCAGTACGGGAGTTAGCTCTACCAGAAATAACACCGGGGTTTTACTCCAGGATATTTCTCGTTCCCAAGTAGGACAGTGCCGAACTCAGAATGATTCACACGTCCGCTCCCTGGCTGTTCACCCGGTTAACCACCCCCATAGTGGGGTTCCTCCACAGGAGGGGTGTCCGGTACTTCGCGTACCTGGACCACTCGCTAGTAGCAAATCGAATGACGGACACCCTGTCACGCCATCTCCTTTTTTCGCACGTCGGCTCTTGGAGCAATTTGGGTGGATTATCAATCTCCCCAAGAGCGAGTTAACCCCTTCTCAGAACTTGCTGTTCATCGGAGGTCGGTTCAACACGGTGTCCCATCGCCTCTTTGTCCCCCGAGACCGGTGGCACAAAATTCAGGCGATGATTGCCAAAGTCTTAGCGGTGCAACAGACTGTTCACTTTTGGGAACAGCTGTTAGGGCTACTTGTATCAGCCCAGGACTGCACCGCACGGGGTCGTCTCCAACTCCGCCCGCTGCAACGGTTTTTAATCCAGTTGTTAGCAACGGAGGTGCACAGTGCGACCGTCGCCCTCCCGGATCGGCTCCGACCGCATCTGGAGTGGTGGACGGTCCCTTACAATGTCTTATCAGGAGTCTCTATGCGGTCCTACCGGGCCACGTTGACCCTGTATACAGACGCCTCTCTATTGGGCTGGGGCGCCCATCTTGAGGGGGAGGTGAGCTCGGGGCTGTGGTGCGTAGACGAACTAGGTCTTCACATCAATTGTCTCGAGTTCAAGGCAGTGATCAACGCAGTCAATCACTGGAAGCATCGTCTCGTCGACGCCCGGCTCATGCTGGCGACCGACAACACGACGGTAGTGTCCTATGTGAACAAACTGGGGGGAACCCACAGTCACTCGCTACTCGATCTCACGTTCGAGTTTTACGCTCTGGTGGACAGTGTCCCGTGCCAGATACGCGCCCGTCACATCCCAGGTGTGCGGAACGTACTGGCCGATGCTCTATCGAGGCCTCAGGATCCGAGCCCCACAGAGTGGATGCTGAACCCAGTAGTGTTTCAGTGGCTGTGCGAACGTTTGGGTCGTCCGATGGTCGACCTGTTCGCAACGCGGTTCAACAATCAACTCCCGTTGTTTGTATCACCAGTCCCGGACCCGAGGGCCATCGATCACGATGCTCTCGCGTTAGACTGGACGGGCTTGGACGCTTATGCTTACCCGCCGACAGCGTTGATACCACACATTCTAAGCCGGCTCCGAGGAGTTCGCTGTCGAATGTTACTGATCGCGCCCATGTGGCCGAACAGATCGTGGTACCCCGACTTGCTGACCCAGGTCACGCAGTCGCCACTTCCACTGCCTGTGAGACCGGATCTCTTGATCCACCCTCACACCCGTCAGCTTCATCCAAACGCAGGGCAGTTCAATCTGCACGCGTGGATGTTGTCACCGAGCGTCTGAGGAGTAAAGTTTTTTCTCGCCGGGCGTCTCGGGCATACGTTAGTATGCATCGTGATTCTACCCAGAAGGTGTATAATGCACGTTGGGTTATTTTCACGAAGTGGTGTTGTAAACATCACATTCATTCGCCAGATAAGGTATCTGTGCAGGATATTGCTCGTTTCATGTCTCACTTGCGAGAGACCCGGAAACTCTCCGGGGGTTCCATTGCCAACTATGTCTCGTCCGTTGCTACGGTACGGGACGTTGCTATGGGTACCAGTCTCTCCAAAGAGCCGGTGATACGGGGTATTATCAAGGGTTTCAAACAGCACGATCTTAAGAAGGGCCGCCTTCGGGCACCGGCCTGGGATCTTTCCCTAGTGTTGCAATCACTTACGGAAGCTCCGTATGAACCCTTGCATAGTGCTTCGTTCCGGCATGTGACTTGGAAAACAGCATTTCTCCTCTCCTTTGCCACGGCGGCACGTGTATCCGAAATTCATGCACTCGATGTCGCCTAGGTACGATTCGATAGGGGTGACAAAGGAGCGGTCCGCCTGGGCCTGCTCATGGGCTTCGTCGCCAAGAATCAGAGAGTCGGGCAAACGGAGAGAGAATTCACTGAAAGATCCCTCAAAGAAATCTTACATCCTGCTGATACTGAGGACAGAGCGCTGTGTCCGGTTAGGGCCCTTAAGTATTATCTTAAGGCTTCGAATGAACGTAGACAAGGGCGTGACCGTCTGTTCATATCGTGTAACCCTAATCGCACGGTTGACATAACTCGCAACTCGATTGCGTTGTGGCTTCGTTCTGTCATCAATCTGGCGTACCGGTCTCGGGGGTTACCGGTAGCGGGGTCAAACCCGCACGAGATCAGGGCGCTAGCGGCAACATTTGCCCTACACTCGAATATCTCTGTTCGCAGAATATTACGAGGATGTTCCTGGCGTTCTGACTCGGTTTTTGCCAATCATTACCTCAAACAGGTCGCTGATGCCGTCGTGGAGAGTGTGCACCGTCTTGGCCCGCGGATCGCGGCGCAAGCGGGCACCTAAGGGGTGTGCCCAGCGCAATTCCGAACTCCTCAGGCATCTGACCTTGCACGGTGGTCAATCTGGGTCGACTCCAATGTTCCCACTGCCGTGGGTACAGGAGTTGGGGTCCCGCAAACCAGCGCACTCACACCACAGGTGAGGGCGGCTTTTTGTGTGCTTTGTCCTTATTTGTATTTTGACAATTATGTATTTAATTGTCTGTCTTGTATCCCAACCTTGTGATGCATGCTTACAAATACTGGAATTAGGTCACGCGCCTAAAGCATACTTTAAGTAGGCTTGCTCTGGGATATACGGTCTGAATGAAATTAATTTCCCTCTTTTCGACTGTTTAACCTGATCTAAGATTAAGCTCACGCGGATACAGTGTTCTCATCCGCTGCGGCGATGAAATACCTATCCAGTGGGGCCGTTTGGAGTCACCAATCGTTCTGGCAATGACGATTGAGCCTTACGGTATGCGCTTGACAGTGCTTTGGTATTCCTATAGGGTAACGCCTAGCTAGGTGCATGCGCATCGAGTGCTTCCGCCTTGGTGTTTACTTCCGCTGGTCGGAAGGAACGCTAGCAGTCAGGATTCGGGTTGTAGGTGCTCCCCACCGCCTACTGTGGTAGTCAGCCTCGGTATAACAGTGGTAACGTATTACTTAATGTAATTTGTAGAATTTTCCTATTCGGAATATTCTATAAGTAATACGTTACCACTGGGCTGCTGCCCGCCCGTCCGTCCCCCGAGCACTTGCTCTCGCAGGAGACAAGAGTGAAGGGTGTCACATGGCAGCTAGGTGGCTACGCACGTGCTGCATGAGGTAATTGAGATCTCTGTGGTAGATTTCGCTATAGCAGCAGTTGTGGGAGACAACAGCCTCGGTATAACAGTGGTAACGTATTACTTATAGAATATTCCGAATAGGAAAATTCTACAAATTGTCTTGGTAAATGTGTGATGTTCATACTGCTGTCTAGGTCTGACGACTAATATATAGTATACTGGATTGAGAAACATATTGACACACTGAGGCTAATAACTCAACGAAAAAAGCCTTGAAACTGATTGTTGAAAGCCTTGAAAAGGCTGTGAACTGTCATGTTCCATATCTGTCTGAGTGTCTGCATGTCTGTGCAGATGAATGACGGACCCCTCTGCCAATGCAGCATCAAGTCAAGGAAAACTGGCATCAGACACAACATTTTCCCTGGAGAGGAGGTGAGTTACCATAGTTACTCAACATTCATTTCCAAATAACTTGACAGCAGGTTTTTTAATGTAAATGTAGTTTTCTAAGTTATCTCCCCTTGAACACAACTTAATTATTTGGCCTTGTTGTAGTGTATCCATTCTCATTATGTGGTTGCCATTTTGATAATGATTTGTTGACGAGGGGCAGTTACAAAGTCCTCACTATAACCTCATAAGGCAACTTCTGGTTATACTCCTTTTTTTGGCAGACACAAACCCTAAACATAATGTGACACATTAAGATCCGGGTTAGAATTGGTCTTAGCACCTATGCATGTCGTAAGAGGCAACTAACAGGATTGCATGGTCAGGCTCAATCACATGGTTGATGCATGTCATCGTATCCCAATTGCCAGGATCGATTGCTCATAATGTCATTCACTGGATTTTCTTGTCCAGTCTTGATTATTTAAAACTGATGTCATAAAGCTGGAATATTGCTGCGTGTGGCGTTAAACTACAAACAAAACAAAAACTAAGATTTATACAAACTGGTGAAAAATCAAATCTGAAAAGATTTCTTCTTTTTTTTCACCTCATGCTAACTGGGGGGCGGTCAGGTAGCCTAGTGGTTAACATGGTTAAAGCGTTCGCTCGTCACGCCAAAGACCCGGGTTCGATTCCCGTCATGGGTACAATGTGTGAAGCCCATTTCTGGTGTCCCCCGCCGTGATATTGCTGGAATATTGCTAAAAGCGGCGTAAAGCCATACTCACTCACTCACTCATGCTAACGACCGCCTCCGTGGTCTTGTGGTAGAGCGTCCGCCCGGAGAGCGGAAGGTCCAGGGTTCGATCCCGGGCCGCGTCATACAAAAAGACGTTAAAAGATTGTACTTGTTTGTTACCCTGTCTGGTGCTCGGCATTAAGGGGCTAAAACAAGGACTGGTCGGCTCGGAGTCAGTATACTGTGTCTGAGTGGGGTATTCATGTTAAACTGCGGCATGGTATCTCAGTGAGCTAGCACTATAAATCGGCATCAGTCCGGACTAGTACAAGCAGCCACATACACGTGCATGCACGTCGCTATATAAGTGCAATAATCTTGGACGCGACGTTAAACCCAATTTCACCTCACCTCACCTCACTCATGCTAACTGGTGTTGACCATAAAATGTGCATGTAATATGTTGTTTGTTTGGTTTGTTCTTTAACACCCCACTCAGCAATATTCCAGCCATATGACAGCGGTCTGTAAATAATCATGTCTGGACCAGACAATCCAGTGGTTGATATCATGAGCATCGATCCATTGGATCGATGACATGCATCAACCAAGTCAGCGAGCCTGACCACCTGATCCCGTTAGTCGCCTTTTACGACAAGTATAGTCACCTTTTGCAGCAAGCATGGGTTTCTGAAGACCTATTCTACCCCGGATCTTCACGAATCGCAAGTAATATGTGAAACTGCACACCTAATGAGACAAAAACAGCAAACATTCAACAAATTCAACCAAATCACCTGTCATTTCTTCCTTTTTTTCCCCCACCTACCCAACAAATGTTTCTTATTAAAATTCTCAAAATAAAAAAAATTAGGAATTGTATCTCACTACATTCATCTTCCCAAGGCAAGGGCATTAACTGACTATAAAAGTCCAGTTTCCACCCTTGCCAAACCTGGCTGAAAATCATTATGTTTCATTATGGCTATACTAGCAAGTCTATGGATAGTCCAATCAACATTGCGTAAACAACATGTAGTACCGCCAACTGCGCATCAACAGATATATTGCAATCTTTTCATGTCTTTATCAAGGTGCTCAAGGGATTTGATGCACATCGCGGGGTAAGACTTGTTTTATTACAGTATTGATCTTGATTATCGATCAGATCATCTTGACTGGGCCTCACCATTTTGTTTGAAGGAAATGCAAGTGATATAAATGATCGAATCTGATTGGTCAATAGGGGGACATAGAAGGGACATAACTCTAATAGCCACTGGTGGCGCTACAATCGAGCCTGGAAATTCCAGTCTAGTTTGGCAAGGGTGGAAACTGGACTTTTGTATTCAGTTAACTCCCTTGCCTCAGGAAGATGCTCTACAATTAACAAAGAGTTTAGTTTTGCTTTAGTTTTATCCTAATTTTTCACCTTATTATCATATACGTATGAATTTCTGTGACGTTTCTGTGCTATTGTGTGGTGGACAAAGAGGGAGTAGAGGTGATGACAGATTTAAGTCATGGGGGTAAAGGTTATAAGGTTTCGGCCTAATGGCCGACATGGCAGAACTGTGTGTGTATTGTTGTGCTGAATGAAAGCCGCCATGCTGAGAGATCCATTGCTGTTTCAGATGCTGAAGAAATGTAACATGGAGAGCAACAGCTTGAACATGCTGCATCATTACAGGATCACGATGTCCCCCGCAACCAACTTCCTGGTAAGACTGCCCTGACCCTCGGACTTTTCCCTCGATGGAGGTTTTATGTTTTAAACCAAAACCTTGGAGTAGTGTTTTAACTACATGTCTAACCTAAACCATGACATGCTTGATATGTGTTAGAAAGTTTACCGTAATAATTTGTTGAGTGTCTATATGACGGGAACAGGCCCAAACAGCCACAAGTCAAAACAGCCACTGACACTCTTGTCAAAACGGACACAGACACTCTTGTCAAAACGGACACAGACACTCTTGTCAAAACGGCCACAGACACTCTTGTCAAAACGGCCACAGACACTCTTGTCAAAACGGCCACAGATTCTTGTCAAAACGGCCACGGACACTCTTGTCAAAACACGGACACCCAGTCATGCAGACACATGAAAAAGGGACAAGTTGTTAGTTGTTCAGTACTAGTTTTATTTAAATACTAAAATGCATGACATTTGTGAGAATATTACTGCAGTAAAGACATTGTGCAGTATACAGGTACTACCAAGCAGTACTTTTTATATCAAATTTTTCTTGTCATTGATGTTAAGTTTGGTAGGCTATGAATGAAAGCGTGAGTGGTTGCCGTTAGAAACAGAGATCATGCAGAAGAAAGGTATTATCTATATTGAATAACACCCACAGGATCATCGTTGATACTAAACACGATTAGCCGCCATCATTAATGTTTTATTCCAGCTTCTTATTCTCTTTGATTTCTTTCAGACAAAATGCCTGACTGTGATAGAGTATGACAACCATGAATACATCTTTGAGGGATTCTCGCTGTTTTCTCACCACAAGCTAGAGAATGTGAGTAGAACCGTACATGGATAGAAATGATATTTGGTTTCCAGTGCGTCTTCATTAAGATATTTGGGTTTCCCTTTTTGGAATGGAAGTGTGCCAATAAGGAGAGTGCTTGTCCAGTACGTCTTCATTACGATATTTGGGTTTCCTTTTTTGGAATGGAAGTGTGCCAATAAGGAGAGTGCTTGTCCAGTACGTCTTCATTACGATATTTGGGTTTCCCTTTTTGGAATGGAAGTGTGCCAATAAGGAGAGTACTTATGGTCTATCTTTGAACTTTGTGAATGACATGACCTCGACTCTAAAAGAACCACAAGGGTTTTTGTTAGAGGCAGGATATTTTCACTGCCAAGTGATTGTAATCTTGCAGTTTGACGTCTTCCTTTCATTGAGATTGTAACATCCTATTCAGTTTGAATTGCCCCTTGTTTGGAATTCATTGTGACCGAAAGATTGGATTATTTCTGATTGCGATCTGAGTTTTAAGATGTTGAGTGCCTGGACAGATTATCTTTGCTGTAAGAAACATCACAAAGTATTTATTAAGAGATCTGCATGCTCTTCAGAAAAGGCTGGGACTGCTAACTCTGATAATCAGGTCAAGTGGGGACTGAGTAGGACCCGGGTACCCACAAAACTACCCGGACCCGTGGTTAGTCACGTGATGTATTGTTTGATGACAAAAAGTATCTAAAACTCTATGGTTACACCAAAAGTCACTAATGCTCGCATATCTTTCTGACTAAGCACCCATTCATTGTGACTTTTATATGTTTTGAATAAAGATAAAACTTCAGTCAACTTCGGTGTATGCATGACCAGATCGTTTTATGTGTGTATCAAAATACAATTTGCCAAACTTTACCCAACTGAACAGTTTGTACGTATCTCTTGACACCTACAGTGGGTACCCAGGTAGGGTCGGGTAATACGGGGGTGGGTACCCAGGTAGTAAATTTGGACTTGTCCAAGCCCTACTTCAGATACAGGAAATTAATTTCCACTCTGCCTTCTCCCATTCAGCGCATCCTGGTAACTGGCACCCCAGCCAGTCGACGTGAGGTTTGGGGGTTGAGGTGTTTTTCTCAACTTTTCTCATTATTTTCTCAATTGTCTTATCAAAATGACATTGGGTAAGGACCGCCTCCGTGGTCTTGTGGTAGAGCGTCCGCCCGGAGAGCGGAAGGTCCAGGGTTCGATCCCGGGCCGCGTCATACAAAAAGACGTTAAAAGATTGTACTTGTTGTTACCCTGTCTGGCGCTCGGCATTAAGGGGCTAAAACAAGGACTGGTCAGCTCGGAGTCAGTATACTGTGTCTGAGTGGGGTATTCATGTTAAACTGCGGCATGGTATCTCAGTGAGCTAGCACTATAAATCGGCATCAGTCCGGACTAGTACAATCAGCCACACACACACATACACGTGCATGCACGTCGCTATATAAGTGCAATAATCTTGGACGCGACGTTAAACCCAATTTCACCTCACCTCACCTCACATTGGGTAATATAGAGAATAATCTACTCAAAGCTCAGAGTACAGATTATCTGTCCCTCACTAAATTCACACCATTCATTCACTCACACTTCCTTGTAGGTTGTTAGTTATTCTCTAAATAAGTTCGGGGTGGCCCAGTTGTTTAAGGCACCACGATTCGCTTTGCAGAGTTGCGTCCCTTGAGCATGCCAGAAACCTATGATCGTTGGTTCGAATCTCGGTTTGCCCCAAAGGTGTTTCTAGCTTTGTCAGCACTATACCCATGCTCGTGGGTTTCACCAAAGTGGTAAACATCTGAGACCTGCATCACTTCGGGCTTTCCTCCCACAATAAGCTGACACGCCATAATATTACTGGAATACTGTTTAAAGCGGGTTAAAGCCAACTCACTCACTCACTCAAAGTGTGTTCATGTTGTGTGTTTGATCTTACAGATTCCTTCGTGTAAAGTGATTCGGTTCAACATAGAGTACACGATACACTTCTTCGAGGAACAGATACCGGAGGTGAGGAATACTTGGTCAAGTGTCAATGTTCAACGTTGAACTAATTAGCCAATCCCCCAAAATATATATGTATTTATCTAAATGGGTAAAATACTGAGAGCAGTCGTTTTCTGCGTTCGACAAACCACGAAAATTTAAGATCTTTCAAATCTGTTTGCACAATCTAAGCACCCCTATATCTAATTTTTTAAGCACACCCTGGGCGCTTATTATGTCGAATACGGTATGTCTGTTTCTGGTAATTTGACTGACCCTATTCCTTTTTGTTTTTTTTCACATATTTTTAACTCACATGCTGCAAATTAATATTTTTTCAAAAAAGAAACACCACAAAAAGAATGCCTCGTCTACTTAGGACCCATGCGTGTCATAAGGGGGGACTATGCTTGTCAGGGTCAAGTGGTCAGGCTCGCTGACTTGGTTGGTTTATTGTGTATAGCGTAACCAATCTTGCAGGCCACTGTCACCCTTGTTTAGTCTTAGGCCTTGGGATCCTTGTCTGGAAATACTGGCTTCTGAATTTCAAACCCTAGGAAGAATGAAATAGAAGCTAATATGGTATATTCTTCAAAACCTTGACCTCTGTTGAAACATTGCTTGATGTTAGAATAAACTCTGGAACATGACTTCAATTTCTCCAGAACTTCACTGTGCGCAGCCTGGACTTGTTCAATGACTTCCTGTTCTCTGAGCTGCTGGAGCTGGTGGACATCGACTGGAAGTCTGCAGGCAGCACCGACTCCTGCAACATCTTCCACCTCATGCCCCGATTTGCCCGATCTCTGCCAGGTGAAATCTTACTGTCAGTATGAACAGATAATAACAGCTATATTTGATTAACAATTTAACAGGCCTTTTTTTATCCCCCGGTTTCACCAAAGTGGTAAAAGACCTGCTTCACTTTGGGCTTTCTTCCCACATCAAGCTGACATGTTGTGGTGTATCTGGAGTTCTGTTGTAAGCAGCTGAGGACACTCAGTCACTCTCACACGGGTCTGTCCTCAGATAACGGCAAGGAGCTTCTGTCCATGAACGAGGTGCTGGGCTTCCTACTGCAGAGCTCCAAACCCCTGCTGGAGGAGACGGAACTTGCCCACATCCTCAAGTTCTCCAACCATGAGTGGCAGAACATGGTCGATGAAGTGCGGGGCATGATTGTCACATATCCTGGCAAGGTGAGAGATTGTCACATATCCTGGCAAGGTGAGACTGTCACATATCCTGGCAAGGTGAGAGATTGTCACATATCCTGGCAAGGTGAGACTGTCACATATCCTGGCAAGGTAAGACTGTCACCCACCCTTGCAAGGTGAGAGCTTGTCACATATCCTGGCAAGGTAAGAGATTGTCACATATCCTGGCAAGGTGAGAGACTGTCACATATCCTGGCAAGGTGAGAGACTGTCACATATCCTGGCAAGGTAAGAGCTTGTCACATATCCTGGCAAGGTAAGAGACTGTCACATATCCTGGCAAGGTGAGAGATTGTCACATATCCTGGCAAGGTGAGAGACTGTCACATATCCTGGCAAGGTAAGCTTGTCACATATCCTGGCAAGGTGAGAGCTTGTCACATATCCTGGCAAGGTGAGCTTGTCACGTATCCTGGCAAGGTGAGAGACTGTCACATATCCTGCCAAGCTGAGAGATTGTCACATATCCTGGCAAGGTGAGAGACTGTCACATATCCTGGCAAGGTAAGAGCTTGTCACATATCCTGGCAAGGTAAGAGACTGTCACATATCCTGGCAAGGTGAGAGATTGTCACATATCCTGGCAAGGTGAGAGACTGTCACATATCCTGGCAAGGTAAGCTTGTCACATATCCTGGCAAGGTGAGAGCTTGTCACATATCCTGGCAAGGTGAGCTTGTCACGTATCCTGGCAAGGTGAGAGACTGTCACATATCCTGCCAAGCTGAGAGATTGTCACATATCCTGGCAAGGTGAGAGACTGTCACATATCCTGGCAAGGTAAGAGCTTGTCACATGTCCTGGCAAGGTGACATTGTCACCCATCCTGGCAAGATGAGAGACTGTCACATATCCTGGCAAAGTGAGAGACTGTCACATATCCTGGCAAGGTGAGATTGTCACCCATCCTGGCAAGATGAGAGACTGTCACATATCCTGGCAAAGTGACAGACTGTCACATATCCTGGCAAGGTGAGAGACTCACCAGATGTCTGTTGTGTAATTCCTATTCTTTAATTGACATTATTATGTACTTGTTATAACTGCTGCATAATAAACCGCGTTTGTGTATATATTCAAGTTTATGTTTCCGCTATCCAAAGTGTGCAGTGAGGCCGTGTCATTGTTGATCGTCATTTTAGAGACATAAATGGAAAATTTCATCAATGCAAACAAACACCATCACATTTTGGCCATTTAATTGACGCTCACGTTAATTTCAAGATTTACAGTGTTTGGCCTCCATGATGATCACAACACTTCCTTGGGGAGACTGTTTGGTATGCATAGTGTGACTTATAACACTATGCATTGTCTCAACCAATACTCACCGCTTCTCACGTCCTGTGGTTCACAGAAGCCCAGCTCAATACGTATCGACCAGCTGGACCGGCAGCAGCAGGAGAACGATGTCATCAAGTACCCCCTCATCATCCACTTTGGCGTGAGACCAGCACAGCTCAGCTACGCTGGAGACCCTGCGTAAGTAGGACACGTTGTCTTATGTACCACACAAATGTGTGTCCAGGCCCTGCGTAAGTAGGAGACAGTGTTTTACATGATGCACAAATTTGTGTCCAGGTCCTGTGTAAATAGTAGACAGTCTTTTACATGATGCACAAATGTGTGTCCAGGTCCTGTGTAAATAGTAGACAGTCTTTTACATGATACACAAATGTGTGTCCAGGTCCTGTGTAAATAGAAGACAGTGTTTTTCGTTATGCACAAATTTGTGTCCAGGCCCTGAGTTAGTAGCAGATGGTATTCTATGTAAAGCACAAATGTGTGTCCAGGCCCTGTGTAAATAGTAGACAGTCTTTTACATGATGCACAAATTTGTGTCCAGGTCCTGTGTAAATAGTAGACAGTGTTTTTCGTGATGCACAAATTTGTGTCCAGGTCCTGCGTAAATAGTAGACAGTCTTTTACATGATGCACAAATTTGTGTCCAGGTCCTGTGTAAATAGTAGACAGTCTTTTACATGATGCACAAATGTGTGTCCAGGTCCTGTGTAAATAGAAGACAGTGTTTTTCGTGATGCACAAATGTGTGTCCAGGCCCTGAGTTAGTAGCAGATGGTATTCTATGTAAAGCACAAATGTGTGTCCAGGCCCTGTGTAAATAGTAAACAGTCTTTTACATGATGCACAAATTTGTGTCCAGGTCCTGTGTAAATAGTAGACAGTGTTTTACATGATGCACAAATTTGTGTCCAGGTCCTGCGTAAATAGAAGACAGTGTTTTTCGTGATGCACAAATGTGTGTCTAGGCCCTGAGTTAGTAGCAGATTGTATTCTATGTAAAGCACAAATGTGTGTCCAGGCCCTGTGTAAATAGTAGACAGTCTTTTACATGATGCACAAATTTGTGTCCAGGTCCTGTGTAAATAGTAGACAGTGTTTTTCGTGATGCACAAATTTGTGTCCAGGTCCTGCGTAAATAGTAGACAGTCTTTTACATGATGCACAAATTTGTGTCCAGGTCCTGCGTAAATAGTAGACAGTGTTTTACATGATGCACAAATTTGTGTCCAGGTCCTGCGTAAATAGTAGACAGTGTTTTACATGATGCACAAATTTGTGTCCAGGTCCTGCGTAAATAGAAGACAGTGTTTTTCGTGATGCAAAAATGTGTGTCCAGGTCCTGCGTAAGTAGTAGAGAGGGTTGTACATGATGCACAAATGTGTGTCCAGGCCCTGCGTTAGTAGTAAATTGGGTCTTACGTGGAGCACAAATGTGTGCCCAGTTCACAGAAATATTGAGAATGGACGCAGAAAAAGAATAGGACTACCCAGACCCATGGTTAGTCACGTGATATATTGTATAATGGAGTCACTGCAGACTCAGCATTAGAAATTGTTCTATAGTCCATGCCCAACTGCCTAATAGTTTAAGGTATCATAAGGACCAATAAATATTTGCCATTATTAAATGTTTTGCTATATGTTATCATTATAAGGTGAGTGAGTTGGGTTTAACACTGCTTTAAACAGTATTACAGTTATTTCGCAGCATGTGAGCTTAATGTGGGAGGAAAGCCCGCCGTGATGCAGGTCTCAAACGTTTACCACTTTGGTGAAACCAATGAGTACTGGCATGGTGCTGACAAACCTAGAAACATAGTTGGAGCGAACTGGGTTTCGAACCCACAATCATAGGTTCTGGTGTGCCCAATGGATGCAACTCTGCACAGCGAAGCACGGCGCCTCGGACGACTTGGCCACCCGTGCCCCCTATCATTATGAGGACTAGTGGACTAAAAATGTTTGTTTCTTTGCTGATGACTGTGAGTGTACATTGTAACAAAGTGGGACATTGGCCCAGATTTGAGACTCCTTTGAAATAGGTTGAATATTGCTGGCTGCGAGATAAAACTACATTGCCTCTCTTGCTGCAGCTACCAGAAGGCTTGGAAGCAGTATGTGAAGTACAAGCACCTGCTCAACTCCAAGCCGAAGGTGACGGCGAACGACAAGCTGAAGCTGGAGCTGAAGGTGCAGCAGCTGCAGGAGCTGAGGATGAAGAGGTGAGTCCGGGCTCACTGACGCCTCACGCACAAATAGGGGGTCACGGTGCTTCAACTGACCAGTCTGGTTTGAGAATCACTGAAAAGCATGTGTTACACTGCTTTAACTGACCAATCAGGTTTGAGAATCACTGAAAAGCATGTGTTACACTGCTTTAACTGACCAATCAGGTTTGAGAATCACTGAAAAGCATGTGTTACACTGCTTTAACTGACCAATCAGGTTTGAGAATCACTGAAAAGCATGTTTTACACTGCTTTAACTGACCAATCAGGTTTGAGAATCACAGACAACACTTATCTCATTGCTTCAACTGACCAATCAGGTTTGAGAATCACTGAAAAGCATGTGTTACACTGCTTTAACTGACCAATCAGGTTTGAGAATCACTAATTACACTTGTCTCATTGCTTCAACTGACCAATCAGGTTTGAGAATCCCTGAAAAGTACATGTAATTATATAACATGGCTTTAACTGACCAATTCGCCTTGATAATCACCAAAAGGTGGCCTACAACATGGATCATTACTCACAATATCGATCACTTGATGGTCTGGTTAATACAGGCCAGCGTTGTATAATTGGAATAGTGCTGAGTTTGGCATTAAACCACAAACAAACAATTAAAATAAAAAATCTGTGTAAATATGTGGCTCAGAATTTTTAAGATATTTTATCTTACGCATAATGATTGTTGTCCAGCACAATGAAGCGAGAAGTGACGGTCGAGATCAGCAGCGAGGGGTTCATCAGGACGGGGGTCAGATCTGACATCTGTCAGGTAGGTTGTTAACGGGAAGGAATCAGATCTGACATCTGTCAGGTAGGTTGTTAACGGGAAGGAATCAGATCCGAAATCTGTCAGGTAGGTTGTTAACGGGAAGGAATCAGATCCGATATCTGTCAGGCTGGTTGTTAACGGGAAGGAATCAGATCCGACATCTGTCAGGTAGGTTGTTAACGGGAAGGAATCAGATCCGATATCTGTCAGGTAGGTTGTTAACGGGAAGGAATCAGATCCGATATCTGTCAGGTAGGTTGTTAACGGGAAGGAATCAGATCCGACATCTGTCAGGTAGGTTGTTAACGGGAAAGAATCAGATCCGATATCTGTCAGGCAGGTTGTTAACGGGAAGGAATCAGATCTGACATCTGTCAGGCAGGTTGTTAACGGGAAGGAATCAGATCCGACATCTGTCAGGTAGGTTGTTAACGGGAAGGAATCAGATCCGACATCTGTCAGGTAGGTTGTTAACGGGAAGGAATCAGATCCGACATCTGTCAGGTAGATTGTTAACCGGAAGGAATCAGATCCGACATCTGTCAGGTAGGTTGTTAACGGGAAGGAATCAGATCTGACACCTGTCAGGCAGATTGTTAACGGGAAGGAATCAGATCTGACACCTGTCAGGCAGGTTGTTAACAGAAAGGAATCAGATCCGACATCTGTCAGGCAGATTGTTAACGGGAAGGAATCAGATCTGACATCTGTCAGGTAGGTTGTTGACGGGAAGGAATCAGATCTGACATCTGTCAGATAGGTTGTTAACGGGAAGGAATCAGATCTGACATCTGTCAGGTAGGTTGTTAACGGGAAGGAATCAGATCCGACATCTGTCAGGTAGGTTGTTAACGGGAAGGAATCAGATCTGACATCTGTCAGGTAGGTTGTTAACGGGAAGGAATCAGATCCGATATCTGTCAGGTAGGTTGTTAACGGGAAGGAATCAGATCCGACATCTGTCAGGCAGGTTGTTAACAGGAAGGAATCAGATCTGACATCTGTCAGGTAGGTTGTTAATGGGAAGGAATCAGATCCGATATCTGTCAGGCAGGTTGTTAACGGGAAGGAATCAGATCTGACATCTGTTAGGCAGGTTGTTAACGGGAAGGAATCAGATCTGACATCTGTCAGGTAGGTTGTTAACGGGAAGGAATCAGATCCGATATCTGTAAGGTAGGTTGTTAACGGGAAGGAATCAGATCCGATATCTGTCAGGTAGGTTGTTAACGGGAAGGAATCAGATCCGAAATCTGTCAGGTAGGTTGTTAACGGGAAGGAATCAGATCTGACATCTGTCAGGTAGGTTGTTAACGGGAAGGAATCAGATCCTATATCTGTCAGGTAGGTTGTTAACGGGAAGGAATCAGATCCGACATCTGTCAGGTAGGTTGTTAACGGGAAGGAATCAGATCTGACATCTGTCAGGTAGGTTGTTAACGGGAAGGAATCAGATCTGACATCTGTCAGGTAGGTTGTTAACGGGAAGGAATCAGATCTGACATCTGTCAGGTAGGTTGTTAACGGGAAGGAATCAGATCCGATATCTGTCAGGTAGGTTGTTAACGGGATGGAATAAGATCTGACACCTGTCAGGTAGGTTGTTAACGGGATGGATCAGATCCGACATCTGTCAGGTAGGGTGTTAACGGAATGGAATAAGATCTGTCAGGTAGGTTGTTAAATCGGATCATGCCAAGATTGCTGATATATCCGGATGATTGACTCTTACTGACCTCACAGTAGTTATATTTTGAGCTAATTATCATATGTCCTTAATAATTGTGTGCTATGTCTTGGCAATGGGGCCACGGGTGGCCTAAGGTGCCACTATTTGCTGTGTAGAGTTGCGTCCCTTAGGCATGCTAGTCACGATAGCAATCTGTCTAGACAAAATTGGCTGAGTTTCCCAAATTTTACGGGACGCACCATACCGTTGGGAGTGCTAGGCCGACCTCTCTGGACCTCTTGATCCATAGGACTCTGATATGAACGTTCAGACAATGATAGGACATTCCAGATCATATAGGATAGTAATCCGACTTTTTCACTTTTTATGTCGTAGCGCTGTCTGATCTCAAACGGAAGCCATGTGTGAACCTGGCCTGAACAAACAGGTTTATTACATGCAATATTTCTGACTACTGTGCACAGTGTGAGGTCTCCTTGCTTTGTTTCAGCACGCGATGTTGCTGCCTGTCCTGTTCTGCCACCTGCGATTCCACCGATGTCTGGGAGTCTTGGAGAAGCATCTCCAGTATGACTTCAAGGACAGGGGGCTCCTCCAGGTGAGACTTCGTCTGCTGTAGCATCACCGACGAGGAACTGCAGGTTGTTGGCCGGAGGGAATTAAGTTTGTAGTCCTGAGTCTTGCCGGGGGACTTGAACATTATTGCATGAGGGAAAGATAATATGGATTTCTTAGTTGCAAGTAGTTGCAAATCACAAATCAGCTCGGTGAATCTTTAGCTGGAGCAATGTCACAAAAAACTGTCTGACATCGTGAAAAAATCGTCTGATGATGTCATCTTTGGTTATTTGCGGTGATATATCATATATCCTAAATACAACTATAAATCAAGCCCACCTAAGGCTTTTATTATACATTTGTAATCCTCAGATATATTTATGATATATAAACACGCTTGGCTGATAGTTACTATTTTTTTCCTGTTACAGCTTGCGTTGACCCACACTTCCTACCGCGTGAACTACGGGACCAACCCGGACCACGCCCGCAACTCCCTGGCCAACTGTGGAATGAGACAGGTGGAGTACGGAGACAGGAAGATACACTACGTCCACACCAGGAAGAGAGGTGATATTTTAAGTGAAGCAGTACAGAGAGATTGACTTTATCAAAATTTGTTAAAAATTGTTTATCATCCAAAACTGGCTCCCACAGGAGATATTGCTTGGATGAGATCAAGCGATATCTACACTGTAGATATCGCTGCAATGAAATTGCATCACAATGCTTTGCAGACCATCACTGGTTACGATGACGTCACAATCAAATGACATCACTAATGGCTCTGCTACTGAAGCTGTTAGCAGTACTTTTTACACTTAGACACTGGTAATTACTGTCTACGAATAGAAAAAGTTGGAAGAATGATGTTGGATGATAAATAAAATCTCACCCTCGTGTCTTTGGATATCAAATATATCAACACTGGTTGATAAAAGTGGCAAATATCCTCGGCAAGCCTCAGAATTTTTCCACTTTTATCAACTCGTGTTGATATATTTGATATCAAAAGATACTCGGGTGAGATTCTCTATTTCCTCGGTTCAGATAGAGATGACTGCCTCCATGGCCTAGTGGATAACGTCTGACCAGAATGAGGAAGGTTGGTGGTTTTACCCCCAGCCACATCATACCAAAAGATGTTAAAAGATGGTACTTGTTGTTACCCTGCCTGGTGCTTGGCGTTAAGGGGCTAAAGCAAGGACCAGTCGGCTCAGAGTCAGTATACTATGTCTGAGTTGGGTATTCATGTTAAACTGTTAAACTGAAGATTAGTATCTTGGGGGGCTAGCACTGTAAAACCGGCCTTTGTCTGGACTACTACAAGCAGCCACACACACTCACACATACACACACACTCACTCACTCATGCACTCGCACGCGCACACACACACCGACTCACTCATGCACTCGCACACACACACAGACACTCACTCATGCACTCGCATGCATGCACACACACACTCACTAATGTACTCACACACACACACACGGACTCACTCATGCACTCGCACGCATAGGCACACATATGCACTCATGCACTCACACACACACACACGGACTCACTCATGCACTCGCATGCATGCACACACACACTTACTAATGCACTCACACACACACACGGACTCACTCATGCACTCGCTCACACTCACTCATGCACTCGCACACGCACTCACTCATGCACTCGCACACACACACACTCACTCATGCACTCGCATGCATGCACACACACACTTACTAATGTACTCACACACACACACACACACACTCACTCATGCACTCGCATGCATGCACACACACACTTACTAATGCACTCACACACACACACGGACTCACTCATGCACTCGCTCACACACACTCATGCACTCGCACACGCACTCACTCATGCACTCGCACACACACACACTCACTCATGCACTCGCATGCATGCTCACACACTCACTAATGTACTCACACACACACACACACGGACTCACTCATGCACTCGCACGCATAGGCACACATATGCACTCATGCACTCACACACACACACACGGACTCACTCATGCACTCGCTCACACACACTCATGCACTCGCACACACACTCACTCATGCACTCGCACACACACACACACACACTCATGCACTCGCATGCATGCACACACACACACTTACTAATGCACTCGCACACACACACTCATGCACTCACACACACACTCACTCGCTCGCTCGCACCCATGCACACACACACACTCACACTCACTCACACTCACTCATGCACTAGCATGCACGCACACACACACTCATGCACTCGCACACACACACACGGACTCCTTAATGCCCTCGCTCACACACACACACTCACTCACGCACACATACACACACACTCACACTCACTCATGCACTAGCACGCACGCACACACACACACTCACTCATGCACTAGCATGCACACTCACACTCATGCACTAGCACTCACGCACGCTCACATGCATGCACACACACACACGCACTCGCACACACACAGACACACACACACACACACACACACACACATACAGACACACACACAGACTATGCTTGTCGTAAGAGGCCACTAACTGGATCGGGTGGTCAGGCTCGCTGACTTGGTTGATGCATGTCATCGTATCCCAATTGCGTGGATCACTGTCATATAGCTGGAATATTGTTGAGTGTGGCGTTAAACAACAAACAAACAAAAGCCTACTGTAAAGGGTGCAATGCTTGTTTACTCCTTTGTCTGTTTCCAGGAATCAACATCCTGATCGACATCATGTCCCGCATGGGCAACAAGCAGGAGTCCATGTCCATGATCCCACACAATGAGAGGCTGGAGTTCCTCGGAGATGCCGTCGTCGAGTTCTTGTCCAGGTCAGTCTGGAGATACTTCTCAGGTCTGGCTTGTGCAGTGAGTCATTATACCCATATGGAGGGATTGCTGCTCACAACATCAACCACTGGTCTGAAGAAACACTGGCAGACTGTTGTCCTGTGTGATCGTGGCAAATGGGGTAGATGTTCGGCAAGCTTGTCCAGGCTTTTGTCCCTCCCAGCATGTAGCATGTGGTGTTGCCTCAGACACATGACTTGGTTTAAGTTATGCCTCTCTTAACTCAGCAGTGAATGGGTACCCGGTAGGTTGAGATACAAGGTAATGTGAATAAAAGCTTCTACAGCCTTAAAAGGCAGGTAGTGTTGTATACTCCCCAGGGAGATGAGAATGGTGAATGCTATGATATTTTGAGACACTGCGATGATATTGCTAAGACATTGCGATGATATTGCTGAGACAATGCAATGATATTGCTGAGACAATGCAATGATATTGCTAAGACATTGCGATGATATTGCTGAGACAATGCAATGATATTGCTAAGACATTGCGATGATATTGTTGAGACATTGCGATGATATTGCTAAGACATTGCGATGATATTGCTGAGACAATGCGATGATATTGCTGAGACAATGCGATGATATTGCTGAGACATTGCGATGATATTGCTGAGACATTGCGATGATATTGCTAAGACTTTGCGATGATATTGCTGAGACATTGCGATGATATTACTTACATATTGACAAGGGAGTACAAAGAAAATGCTATGAAATTGTTATAATAGTGAGGGCGCATGGGTGGCCCAGTCGTCGAAGGCGCCGTGATTCGCTGTGCAGTGCTGCGTCCCTTGGGCACGCCAGAAACCTATGATTGTGAGTTCGAATCCCGGTTCGCCCCAATTATGTTTCTAGGTTTGTCAGTACCATACCCGTGCTCGTGGGTTTCGTGGAAAACGTCTGAGACCTGCATCACTTCGGGCTAACCTAATATAAGAACCTAACATGGGACACATAAAACCCTGTGTACCCATCGTGATCCTGCTATAACTTATGTCCCCAGTCCTCCAGTTTTATTGCAATGCATTTTCGTGACTGTTTCAGTGTGCACCTGTTTTACATGTTTCCCTGGCTCGAGGAGGGAGGCTTGTCAACTTATAGAACAGCCATTGTTCAGAATCAACATCTGGCTGTTCTAGCAAAGGTAATTGCTTTTTGTCATGCTCAAATCACAATGTTCTTGGAACAAAACAGATGCTAACACACAAAAAGGTTTTCTTAAGTATTTAAGTGATGTTGCTCATGATGTCCACCACTGGTTTGACAGAAACTCCACCTACAAGACTTCATGCTGTATGCCCACGGACCAGACCTGTGTCACGAGTCCGATCTCCGCCACGCGATGGCCAACTGCTTCGAGGCACTCATGGGTAGGTGCATCTGCTACTCATGCGAATGTGATTTCGAATCATGCAACCTCAAAAACTTGAACACGGGGTATTCCGAACGAATGTTACGGGCTTAATGACTGAATCCATACGATCTAGACCATCTATTAGCCATTCCAGAATGTTTTTTGTTCAGGTTTCAAATTTTGGATCGAGAATTTGTCAAAATACATTTCGAAAGCGTAATCGCAAATTTGAATCAGTGTCGTAAAGCATGAGAAAGCTGTCTCTGAGTGGCCAGTGTCAACTTCTTGTCAGTCATTCCATTGGTCGGTCAAAGTTTGCGAAAAGGTCGGTCTGACGTGACCCGTAATGGGATGTCCTCAGATCTTTGTTCAGCCTTAGCAAGAACTAAGATCTGATTTTGATGAGTTTGAGTTTCCATCCTTGCTGAACTAGGCTTGAATTTTGTGAGTCAATCATAACACCATCAGTGGCTATTACGAGTTATGTGCCATCTATGTCCCTCATTGAACAATCAGATTCCACCTCCCGTATAACTTGCATTTGCTTCAAACAAAATGGCAGCGCCCAGTGACGATGATCTGATCAATAATGTATATTGAAATAAAACGGGTCTTACTTCTCAAAGTGCATAAAATCACATGACGCTAAGTTGATGGTACACATGCTTGGCACATCCGTCAATTTACAAATTTGATGTTGATTTTATTACACGATTTTGATTGGACTTGGACTGCTGCATCTGGGAAAGAAGCCAGAGGCGTGTTCAGGATGGTGAGCGACCCCACAAGAGTACTGCAAGGCAATATGATGTCTTTCTGAACAGGAGGTGCATGCTCGCTCTCTCGCAGCAATGCATCAGCCGTGTTCAACACTGCGCTCAAGTAATGTCGCGAGCGCCCTCCCTCCCTCCTGAACACGCCTCAGGTGAAACATTCTGCTTAGCATGGAGCATACTCATTTTCACTAATTTTTATCCTCCCGGCATATAATGAAGGGGGATGTAAGCGATCAGCCAGTCTGTCTCTCCGTCTGTAATCATTTCCTTTTCTGGGGCAGAATTCGAAAACAATTCAGTGTATTTGATCGAAACTTAGCAAATCTATCAGTCACATTCTGAAGTTGTGCCTTTTGCTATATAGGAATTTAAGAAAAAAGATTTTTACGTTTCCATGGCAACAGGTAGGACTTACGGTCTATAAGGGTGGTGTTCATTTCCGGAGCGTAACTCAAAAACTGTTAAATACTTTCTTACAAAACTTTGCATGTCTACCAGGCACATATTGAACTGGTGCCTTTTGCTATTTAGGAATTTTAAAAAAAATAAAAAATTATTTTACGTTTCCATGGCAACAAGTTGGACTTAGGTTCTATAGGGTAGAGTTCGTTTCCGGAGCATAACTCAAAACCCATTCAAAACTTTCTAACAAAACTTTGCATGTCTATCAGACTCATGCTGAACTGGTGCCTTTTGCTATTTAGGAATTTTTTTTAATTTTATTTTTTACGTTTCCATGGCAACAAGTTAGATTTAAGTTTTAATATAGGGTGGATTCACTAATGGAGTATAACAAATAAAGCGTTAAATGTTTCCTTGCCAAACATTGCATGTCTATATATAAAGCACATACTGAACTGGTGCCATTTGATATTAAGGAGTTTTAGAAAAAATTATTTTAGAATTTCCATTGCAGCTATTTTGACATGAGCTAAGAGAAATGTTGGTTCAGTTACCTGGTTTAGGACGATAACGTGTTAAAATGGGCGGGGGATATAGATGACTTTGTTGACTATACGCTTGTTTAGTTATTGTTTCTTGTAATTTGTCATTTGTTTGCTTAAAAAAAACACACAGAAACACACTTGTTTTACTTTCCATTTCATATGGGTGCGACCATGGTAGATCTTTTGTGGGTGGACAATGTATGCTTCTTCAAGAACATTCAACTCTTGACTCATTACATACAGAATTGCACATTTACTTGTGGTTACTTTACAGACAGCTGCCGGGGACATCTTTCATCAGCTGCAGACATCTTTCTGATGACTTTTGTTTCTAATGTTTACCTACTGTTCACCAATGTTCATCAATGTTCACCTATTGTTCACCTACAGTTCACCAATGTTCACCTACTATTCATATACTGTTCGCCTAATGTTCACTAATGTTCTATCCCATTGAACAGTTGATGAAATTGTCTGCATGACGTCTTCTATACTGACAGGGGCGCTGTTCATAGATGGAGGTATTGAGCTTGCTGACCAGATCTTTGCACGCACCCTGTTTGAGGAGGAGCACCTGCTGAGTGTCTGGAATGACCTCCCCTTGCACCCACTCCAGGAGGAGGAGCCGAATGGTGACAGACACTGGATTGAATCCAGCTTCGTCCTACAGGTGAGGATCCTCTAGAGATTCCAGGGTAGAATTGGTCTGGTCCTACAGGTGAGGATCTTCTGGGGATTCCAGGGTAGAATTCATCCCGTCCTACAGGTGAGGATCTTCTGGGGATTCCAGGGTAGAATTGGTCTGGTCCTACAGGTGAGGATCTTCTGGGGATTCCAGGGTAGAATTCATCCCGTCCTACAGGTGAGGATCTTCTGGGGATTCCAGGGTAGAATTGGTCTCGTCCTACAGGTGAGGATCTTCTGTGTATTCCAGGGTAGAATTGGTCTGGTCCTACAGGTGAGGATCTTCTGGGGATTCCAGGGTAGAATTGGTCTGGTCCTACAGGTGAGGATCTTCTGGGGATTCCAGGGTAGAATTGGTCTCGTCCTACAGGTGAGGATCTTCTGGGGATTCCAGGGTAGAATTCATCCCGTCCTACAGGTGAGGATCTTCTGGGGATTCCAGGGTAGAATTGGTCTCGTCCTACAGGTGAGGATCTTCTGGGGATTCCAGGGTAGAATTGGTCTCGTCCTACAGGTGAGGATCATTTGGGGATTCCAGGGTAGAATTGGTCTCGTCCTACAGGTGAGGATCATTTGGGGATTCCAGGGTAGAATTGGTCTGGTCTTACAGGTGAGGATCATTTGGGGATTCCAGGGTAGAATTCGTCTGGTCCTACAGGTGAGGATCTTCTGTGTATTCCAGGGTAGAATTGGTCTGGTCTTACAGGTGAGGATCATTTGGGGATTCCAGGGTAGAATTGGTCCCGTCCGACAGGTGAGGATCTTCTGGGGATTCCAGGGTAGAATTGGTCTGGTCCTACAGGTGAGGATCCTCTAGGGATTCCAGGGTAAAATTGGTCCCCGGCCACCTAAGCTGGCCGTTTGAGGTTAGTTAATGGATTGGATGGAGATGCCAAATGACACCTCCTACCCAGAGTTCCATGCAGCAATCATAACACCTCTGTCACAGGCCAGCGCCATATGTCGATTCGTCATATCCAGTCCATTCAAGATATTGCATTTGTTTTTAATCTGTTTCACTTTGTTACGAGTCTACACGTTTAGATAAACATGTCATAGAACGGTTAACTTTTATTGAGAAATACCCTAAGACATGAAAAACTATTTCCATTTGCATAGTTATCCATTGTTTACATTGGTTGTACGGCTCCACATGCTGTCATGAAGCCCTACGGAGAACTAGCGATAGGGTCAGTGTGATGTGTAAATGTGTATTGTCATGCAACTCACTGTCGCAGTTGTAGGAGCATATCTATAAGATTACTCAAAACAGTATCTCAAGAGCTTGAAGGGTTGCATTAGCCCAGTCTGTTCTGATTTCAGAATAAGTGTGTTTGTTTACAAAAAAGAGAAAAGTCCAGTCACATAATATGCAAATTAGCCTGTGGCGGCGGTGTTATGCTGAGTCACCACTGAGACTGGGACTTGGTTGATTGCATTGTGTGGATTGTTGCTCTTAACATCAGTCACTGGACTGTCAGGCCAAGGCTCAATTATATACAGGCCACTGTCTGACAGAGAGAATATTGCTGCTGAAAAGAAAACACAAGGAAAGAAATGTTTTTTCTTATCTAGAAAATGTGAAATGAACCATTAGGATACATCGTTCCGTTATGTTGTTATCAGGGTACATGCCTTCTACTGTAGTGACAAGGGAGCACAGGTTTCTGTTAGTCTCTTGTTGTGTCCCTTGTTCATGCATGGATCTGCTGATTATGGGTTTGAATCCAAGATTTGTCCTGATTTTGAGATTTGCTTTGAAATACTGTTCAGGACTGCATCAAACTCACTCTAACGCTGATCTATCATGTAATTGTTCCGGACTGCATCAAACTCACTCTAACGCTGATCCATCATGTAATTGTTAAGGACTGCATCAAACTCACTCTAACGCTGATCCATCATGTAATTGTTCCGGACTGCATCAAACTCACTCTAACGCTGATCCATCATGTAATTGTTCCGGACTGCATCAAACTCACTCTAACGCTGATCCATCATGTAATTGTTCAGGACTGCATTCAACTCACTCTAATGCTGATCCATCATGGAATTGTTCAGGACTGCATTAAACTCACTCTAACGCTGATCCATCATGTAATTGTTCCGGACTGCATCAAACTCACTCTAACGCTGATCCATCATGTAATTGTTCAGGACTGCATCAAACTCACTCTAACGCTGATCCATCATGTAATTGTTCAGGACTGCATTAAACTCACTCTAATGCTGATCCATCATGTAATTGTTCCGGACTGCATCAAACTCACTCTATCGCTGATCCATCATGGAATTGTTCAGGACTGCATTAAACTCACTCTAATGCTGATCCATCATGGAATTGTTCCGGACTGCATTAAACTCACTCTATCGCTTATCCATCATGGAATTGTTCAGGACTGCATTAAACTCACTCTATCGCTGATCCATCATGGAATTGTTCCGGACTGCATCAAACTCACTCTAATGCTGATCCATCATGTAATTGTTCAGGACTGGATCAAACTCACTCTAACACTGATCCATCATGTAATTGTTCCGGACTGCATCAAACTCACTCTAACGCTGATCCATCATGTAATTGTTCCGGACTGCATCAAACTCACTCTAACGCTGATCCATCATGTAATTGTTCAGGACTGCATCAAACTCACTCAAACGCTGATCCATCATGTAATTGTTCAGGACTGCATTAAACTCACTCTAACGCTGATCCATCATGTAATTGTTCCGGACTGCATCAAACTTACTCTAATGCTGATCCATCATGTAATTGTTCAGGACTGCATCAAACTCACTCAAACGCTGATCCATCATGTAATTGTTCCGGACTGCATCAAACTCACTCTAACGCTGATCCATCATGTAATTGTTCAGGACTGCATCAAACTCACTCTTAACGCTGATCCATCATGTAATTGTTCAGGACTGCATCAAACTCACTCTAATGCTGATCCATCATGTAATTGTTCAGGACTGCATCAAACTCACTCTAACGCTGATCCATCATGTAATTGTTCAGGACTGCATCAAACTCACTCTAACGCTGATCCATCATGTAATTGTTCCGGACTGCATCAAACTCACTCTAACGCTGATCCATCATGTAATTGTTAGGACTGCATCAAACTCACTCTAACGCTGATCCATCATGTAATTGTTCAGGACTGCATCAAACTCACTCTAACGCTGATCCATCATGTAATTGTTCCGGACTGCATCAAACTCACTCTAACGCTGATCCATCATGTAATTGTTCCGGACTGCATCAAACTCACTCTAACGCTGATCCATCATGTAATTGTTCAGGACTGCATCAAACTCACTCTAATGCTGATCCATCATGTAATTGTTCCGGACTGCATCAAACTCACTCTATCGCTGATCCATCATGTAATTGTTCCGGACTGCATCAAACTCACTCTAACGCTGATCCATCATGTAATTGTTCCGGACTGCATCAAACTCACTCTAATGCTGATCCATCATGTAATTGTTCCGGACTGCATCAAACTCACTCTATCGCTGATCTATCATGTAATTGTTCCGGACTGCATCAAACTCACTCTAACGCTGATCCATCATGTAATTGTTCCGGACTGCATCAAACTCACTCTAACACTGATCCATCATGTAATTGTTCAGGACTGCATCAAACTCACTCTAACGCTGATCCATCATGTAATTGTTCCGGACTGCATCAAACTCACTCTATCACTGATCTATCATGTAATTGTTCAGGACTGCATCAAACTCACTCCAACGCTGATCCATCATGTAATTGTTCCGGACTGCATTAAACTCACTCTAACGCTGATCCATCATGTAATTGTTCAGGACTGCATCAAACTCACTCTAACGCTGATCCATCATGTAATTGTTCCGGACTGCATCAAACTCACTCTAACGCTGATCCATCATGTAATTGTTCCGGACTGCATCAAACTCACTCTATCGCTGATCCATCATGTAATTGTTCAGGACTGCATCAAACTCACTCTAATGCTGATCCATCATGTAATTGTTCCGGACTGCATCAAACTCACTCTAATGCTGATCCATCATGTAATTGTTCCGGACTGCATTAAAGTCTCTCTAACGCTGATCCATCATGTAATTGTTCAGGACTGCATTAAACTCACTCTTAACGCTGATCCATCAGGTAATTGTTCAGGACTGCATCAAACATACTCTAACGCTGATCCATCATGTAATTGTTCAGGACTGCATCAAACTCACTCTAATGCTGATCCATCATGTAATTGTTCCGGACTGCATTAAACTCACTCTAACGCTGATCCATCATGTAATTGTTCAGGACTGCATCATCAAACTCACTCTAATGCTGATCCATCATGTAATTGTTCAGGACTGCATTAAACTCACTCTAACGCTGATCCATCATGTAATTGTTCCGGAATGCGTCAAACTCACTCTAACGCTGATCCATCATGTAATTGTTCCGGACTGCATCAAACTCACTCGAACGCTGATCCATCATGTAATTGTTCCGGAATGCGTCAAACTCACTCTAATGCTGATCCATCATGTAATTGTTCAGGACTGCATCAAACTCACTCTAACGCTGATCCATCATGTAATTGTTCAGGACTGCATCAAACTCACTCTAACACTGATCCATCATGTAATTGTTCCGGACTGCATTAAACTCACTCTAACGCTGATCCATCATGTAATTGTTCAGGACTGCATCAAACTCACTCCAACGCTGATCCATCATGTAATTGTTCAGGACTGCATTAAACTCACTCTAACGCTGATCCATCATGTAATTGTTCAGGACTGCATCAAACTCACTCTAATGCTGATCCATCATGTAATTGTTCCGGACTGCATCAAACTCACTCTAACGCTGATCCATCATGTAATTGTTCAGGACTGCATTAAACTCACTCTAACGCTGATCCATCATGTAATTGTTCAGGACTGCATCAAACTCACTCTAACGCTGATCCATCATGTAATTGTTCCGGACTGCATCAAACTCACTCTAACGCTGATCCATCATGTAATTGTTCAGGACTGCATCAAACTCACTCTAACGCTGATCCATCATGTAATTGTTCAGGACTGCATCAAACTCACTCTAACGCTGATCCATCATGTAATTGTTCAGGACTGCATTAAACTCACTCTAACGCTGATCCATCATGTAATTGTTCAGGACTGCATCAAACTCACTCTAACGCTGATCCATCATGTAATTGTTCAGGACTGCATCAAACTCACTCGAACGCTGATCCATCATGTAATTGTTCCGGAATGCGTCAAACTCACTCTAATGCTGATCCATCATGTAATTGTTCAGGACTGCATCAAACTCACTCTAACGCTGATCCATCATGTAATTGTTCAGGACTGCATCAAACTCACTCTAACACTGATCCATCATGTAATTGTTCCGGACTGCATTAAACTCACTCTAACGCTGATCCATCATGTAATTGTTCAGGACTGCATCAAACTCACTCTAACGCTGATCCATCATGTAATTGTTCCGGACTGCATCAAACTCACTCTAACACTGATCCATCAGGTAATTGTTCAGGACTGCATCAAACTCACTCTAATGCTGATCCATCATGTAATTGTTCCGGACTGCATTAAACTCACTCTAATGCTGATCCATCATGTAATTGTTCAGGACTGCATCAAACTCACTCTAACGCTGATCCATCATGTAATTGTTCAGGACTGCATCAAACTCACTCTAACACTGATCCATCAGGTAATTGTTCAGGACTGCATCAAACTCACTCTAATGCTGATCCATCATGTAATTGTTCAGGACTGCATTAAACTCACTCTAACGCTGATCCATCACATGAATGCAGTATTGTCTGTATTCAGAAACTCCTGACGTTTGAAGAGTCCATTGGAGTGAACTATACCCACATTCGTCTCCTGGCCAAGGCTTTCACTCTGAGGAACGTGGGCTACAACCTGCTGACACTGTAAGTTGACCGTACCCCACCCGCTATGATAAAGGCGACGTTTTCGTTATAGATCCTTATTCCGTTGTCAAGCAAGACTGTCAACTTCTTAGTCATGCCTATCAAACAATTGACTGTGTTTGTTCTCTGACAGTGGTCACAACCAGAGACTTGAGTTTCTAGGAGACACGGTCCTGCAGCTGGTCGCATCGGAGTACCTGTTCCGGCACTTCCCCGAACATCATGAAGGTCATCTCTCGGTACGTCAAACCCTAACATGAACTGGAAATAATGATGATGATGATGATAATGATAATAATGATAATGATAATGATGATGATGATAATAATGATGATGATGATGATGATGACAATAATGATGATAATAATGATTATAATGATGATGATGACAATAATGATAATGATGATGAAAATAATGATGATGATGATAATTATGACAATAATGATGATGATAATGATGATTATAATGATGATGATGCCAATAATGATAATGATGATAATAATAATAATGATGACTACACTAATTCACCATATGTAGATATATACAACAGAGAGGGGACAGTGAGATAGTAAAAATATACGCATTCAGTTGTAGCGTTCAAAAAGGTATGTTTTGAGTCCAGACATAAGCACAGTGTGATACTAGATGCACTTTTGAGGCTGAAGGGAAGGGAGTTCCAGAGAGAGGCACCAGCATGAGTGAAGGATCGAGCACCGAAGGACTTGAGTCTGTATTTTGATAGAGACAGAAGTTGGTCATTTGATCGGAGATTTGTGGTAGATTTGTACATGCAGGCTGGCAGCAAGACACTAGGAATCATTGTCAGAGAGCCTCAGGGAGTTATTGTTTTTTGTCAATCTGCCATTGTTTATCATGTGTTTATGTTATTGTTGTTTAATAAGTTTGACAACAGTGTGTTATTGTGCCAGCGTTAGAAACTGCCACTGGTCATATCGTCCTTGCCAAACTGCCCAATAGTTGAAGTATCGTAAGGACAAGTAGTAATTTGCCGTTTTTAAGGGTTTTGCTACATGTTATTATCAGGACTAGTTGACTTAATCTAAGGCTCTTGTGATATTTGATAACATTACTACGCTGATTTGGGGGAAACTTAACTGCTCTTATGCAACATAGATTTTTGGTTGTTTTGGGGATATAGCCATGATATGAACCTGTTCGCTGCATTTCCTAATTTGCCAAAGGTATATCATATATGTCTTTAGTTTCCTACATAACAACCCCTTCATCTTCCTGAGGTAAGGGAGTTAACCAACTACAAAAGTCCAGTTTCCACCCTGGCTGAACTATGCTGGAATTTCGTGGCCGCCTATTGACTATTCAGATATAAACTCTCATATCACTTGCATTTGCTTTAAACAAAATGGGGCGGTCGGGTAGCCTAGTGGTTAAAGCGTTCGCTCGTCACGCCGAAGACCCGGGTTCGATTCCCAACATGGGTACAATGAGTGAAGCCCATTTCTGGTGTCCCCCGCCGTGATATTGCTGGAATATTGCTAAAAGCGGCGTCAAACCATACTCACTCAATTTAAACAAAATGACAGCATCTAGTCATGAGGATCTGATCGATATACAACATCTATTGTAATAAAACAGGTCTTACCTCCTGGGCTGCATCAAACCATGTGAGCTCCTTGATTAAAGACATGAAAAAAATGTGGAAAATATCTGTCACAACAAGTTGACAGTACACATGCTTTGTAAATCCTGTAGTCTATCGAAATTTGTTCATTGAATTCCATGTTGTTTACAAACCTAGATTTTGATTGGACTATGCAATGTGGAATTCCAGGCAAGTTTGGCAAGGTTGGAAACTGGATTTTAACTGTCAGTTAACTGGCTTGCCTGGGGAACATGTGAATCCTTCAGTGACACATTACTTTCTCACTCTCCTGTGGAGAGTCTCCCTGAACCTCGACATGCTGAGATGTTAAATACGTCTGTATGTGTCCTCTGCAGCTGCTGAGATGTTAAATAAGTCTGTATGTGTCCTCTGCAGCTGCTGAGATGTTAAATACGTCGGTATGTGTCCTCTGCAGCTGCTGAGATGTTAAATAAGTCTGTATGTGTCCTCTGCAGCTGCTGAGATGTTAAATAAGTCTGTATGTGTCCTCTGCAGCTGCTGAGATGTTAAATACGTCTGTATGTGTCCTCTGCAGCTGCTGAGATGTTAAATAAGTCTGTATGTGTCCTCTGCAGCTGCTGAGATGTTAAATAAGTCTGTATGTGTCCTCTGCAGCTGCTGAGATGTTAAATAAGTCTGTATGTGTCCTCTGCAGCTGCTGAGATGTTAAATAAGTCTGTATGTGTCCTCTGCAGCTGCTGAGATGTTAAATAAGTCTGTATGTGTCCTCTGCAGCTGCTGAGATGTTAAATACATCTGTATGTGTCCTCTGCAGCTGCTGAGATGTTAAATAAGTCTGTATGTGTCCTCTGCAGCTGCTGAGATGTTAAATACGTCTGTATGTGTCCTCTGCAGCTGCTGAGATGTTAAATACATCTGTATGTGTCCTCTGCAGCTGCTGAGATGTTAAATAAGTCTGTATGTGTCCTCTGCAGCTGCTGAGATGTTAAATACGTCTGTATGTGTCCTCTGCAGCTGCTGAGATGTTAAATACATCTGTATGTGTCCTCTGCAGCTGCTGAGATGTTAAATACATCTGTATGTGTCCTCTGCAGCTGCTGAGATGTTAAATACATCTGTATGTGTCCTCTGCAGCTGCTGAGATGTTAAATACGTCTGTATGTGTCCTCTGCAGCTGCTGAGATGTTAAATACGTCTGTATGTGTCCTCTGCAGCTGCTGAGATGTTAAATAAGTCTGTATGTGTCCTCTGCAGCTACTGAGATGTTAAATAAGTCTGTATGTGTCCTCTGCAGCTACTGAGATGTTAAATAAGTCTGTATGTGTCCTCTGCAGCTACTGAGATGTTAAATAAGACTGTATGTGTCCTCTGCAGCTACTGAGAAGCTCACTTGTAAACAACCGCACCCAGTCTATCGTCTGTGACGACCTCGGCATGCTGAGACGTTAAATAAGACTGTATGTGTCCTCTGCAGCTACTGAGAAGCTCACTTGTAAACAACCGCACCCAGTCTATCGTCTGTGACGACCTCGGCATGCCGAGATGTTAAATAAGACTGTATGTGTCCTCTGCAGCTGCTGAGAAGCTCACTTGTAAACAACCGCACCCAGTCTATCGTCTGTGACGACCTCGGCATGCTGAGATGTTAAATAAGACTGTATGTGTCCTCTGCAGCTACTGAGAAGCTCACTTGTAAACAACCGCACCCAGTCTATCGTCTGTGACGACCTCGGCATGCTGAGATGTTAAATAAGACTGTATGTGTCCTCTGCAGCTGCTGAGAAGCTCACTTGTAAACAACCGCACCCAGTCTATCGTCTGTGACGACCTCGGCATGCTGAGATGTTAAATAAGACTGTATGTGTCCTCTGCAGCTACTGAGAAGCTCACTTGTAAACAACCGCACCCAGTCTATCGTCTGTGACGACCTCGGCATGCTGAGATGTTAAATAAGACTGTATGTGTCCTCTGCAGCTGCTGAGAAGCTCACTTGTAAACAACCGCACCCAGTCTATCGTCTGTGACGACCTCGGCATGCCAGCGTACGTCATCTACGACAAACAGGGTCGAGAGAAGATTGAGATGAAAACGAAGGAGAAAGCTGATCTCCTGGAAGGTATGTAGCTGGTGATTTCTGTATTGTCTTCATGGTCAACTGTCTGGTTATTTACCTATTAAATAGGAACGCAGTTTGAAAGGGAAAGAAACTTGGAACAGTGACTCAATTCAAACCTAGAACACATCAATTTATTCAAAGCAGAATCAACCTACTTTAGTCAAATAGTTTGCTGTGTAAACAACTCAAAGATGGGCCAGTCTGTTAAGTTCTAGGCTTCACATATTGCCATGATTGTGTGTGTTGAAGATGCAACATTGATGATCAGCAGCCTGGTGAATAGGACTACTTCAAGGTTTTTTAGTGAATCGACCACGGTCACCGGTGACTTTTCTTATGTCTTTTGCCACATTCATGTAAAGGTCAAAGGTCAAAGGTCAAAGGTCAGGGTAGCAAAATATATAGTGAAATATTTATTAGGTCACTTTTTGATCATTGTGATACTTCGCTGTGTTTTATGCACCATCTTCCTCCAGACTTTGGTTTTATGTGTCATCTTGAGGGATAAATATCCTCCAAATACGTAACTCATCCTAATAGTAGAACAGCAGTGAACAGTTGGATTTTGATGTGTGTGTTTTCTGAAAAATGATGTTTTTCATGTCGTGAACTTTTGCTTCAACATTTGTGCGACCTATAACATGATAACTAGGTGCAAGGATTCTTTTCAAATTTAGGGAACAGTTTCCATCCTAATAGAAGAACAGCAGTGAACAGTTGGATTTTGATGTGTGTGTTTTCTGAAAAATGATGTTTTTCATGTCGTGAACTTTTGCTTCAACATTTGTGCGACCTATAACTTGAAAACTACTTCATAGATTCTTTTCCAATAGGGGTTACAGTTTGTTTACAAATAGGAAAGTTTGTGAAGTTTGTTTTCCATATTTCAATTTAGATTTTGAATTTTTGTCTTGTTACTGTTGTTTTTACTCCCAAACATTCATAAATAATATGTATGAGCAGACAAAAACATTAAGACATCCTCTTTGTTTTGACAACTTTTTTTCAAGCATGACCTTTGAATATCGATATCTTTATTTGGACAATCATTGTTCCTGTGTTCATAGCCTTGATTCGTCTTTTAGCTTTGCTGGGGGCCCTGTTTGTGGACAAAGATCTGAAGTATTGTGAGGTGTTCTGCAATGTCTGCTTCTTCCCAAGACTGAAGGTCAGTTTAACTGAAGACATTCTTACCAATTAACGGGGCGGTCGGGTAGCCTAGTGGTTAAAGCGTTCGCTCGTCATGCCGAAGACCCGGGTTCGATTCCCGACATGGGTACAATGTGTGGAGCCCATTCTGGTGTCCCCTGCTGGAATATTGCTAAAAGCGGCGTTAAACCCAACTCACTCACTCTTACCAAACAACCTCAAGGTAGGACAAATCTTGCTCAGCCGAAAGCTCTGTGCAGAGTTGTGTCCTTGGTTTACCAAGGTGATCAATATTGAAACTCTTAACATTTAGGTTTTTGTACTGCCCTTCCAAATAAAGAAATGGCCACCTAGACATGCATCACACTCATAAAAACCTCCATTTACTTGCGTTGTTAAAATAGTCATCGAAAGATCTGCAGTTCACTCGACAGAATTTTGTTGTGCCAGGATGCAGCCCGCATTGTGATCCATGCTTTTAGGTTTGCTGATGCTGCAACAGTATTCCAGCAATGTATCAGCAGGCCAAACAAGTACAGCAAATGGGACATAACGTGTACGCGAGAGTGGCAGCGCGTTACTGCCCAAGACAGGGTCACTTGTACATGTGACTGCAAGTCAGTAGACTACAGATGTCTGCAACGAGCACAAAAAAGTCTATTATTATCATTTATCAAAAATATGAAACAATGTTAACATGATTAAGTACAGCTTTAGAAATTATACTTCTTACCGTATTGTGTGGAATAATTGTTTTAGAAATAACAATTAAAGTCAAATTTGGAGAAACAAGTTGTTGTTTGTTTTCAAACTCTATTAAGCTTCTGAGGACAATAAGTTTAATGTTCGTAGAGAAGATTTAATCATAGTGTGGCAACAAAGAAAGTTTGTTGTTGACACTAGTACACACAGGAAAGAAGTGAGGTTTCCTGCCCTGCGCATATGCAAGAGGCTCAAGCAGCAAGATACTATTACCTGCACAACTGATTATTGATAGGTGACAGTGAAGAGGACTTCTGTTGAAAATTTGAAGATTTATTTAGTGTGATGACAGCCATGGAAATGATGTAACAGAGATAGTTTCTTAGAATCATAACAATCATACCTATTGTTTTGATGTTTGAATAGGTTAGGCTACACATTTTTTTTATTTTTGTTTCACAGACTCACTCCCTCTACTGAAAAGCAGCCAGTCTAAGAATGTCTCCCGCTAGAAATACAAACCCTCTTATACAATATTAAATGTTATGATTTTATATATAGTCCATGTCTACTACCACTGATTCAAAAGGCCACCTGCAGTTTTAACTCTACAGCAAAATGACTTTCATATAAATAAATAAATAATTAATTGACATTTATTTTATTTCGACTGACCATTCGCGGAAAAGCTGAAATATATCTGTGAAACATAAGATTAAAACGTGTGACCTGATGTATACAAGGAATGACAGGGAAGTCTTGTGTAAATGTTGTGTCCGTGACTATCTGCAGTACCCATATGGTAGGAGAACCAAACCCAGGCCTAAGTGTAAGGAGCTAACGCCTCAACCACTAAGCTATACAACTGTCCTGATTTGATGCGAAAGAAAAAAAAGAACGTAGCCCTATTGATATGTCAGATATGATAATAAAAGCAAACCAAATTGCTCTTCCAGATGTTCATCATGAACCAGGACTGGAATGACCCCAAGTCTCAGTTACAGCAGTGTTGTCTGACCCTGAGAGAGCTGGACGGTGGAGAGCCGGACATACCTGTCTATAAGTAAGTGTTGTCTGACCCTGAGAGAGCCGGACATACCTGTCTATAAGTAAGTGTTGTCTGACCCTGAGAGAGCCGGACATACCTGTCTATAAGTAAGTGTTGTCTGACACTGAGAGCCAGACATACCTGTCTATAAGTAAGTGTCGTCTGACCCTGAGAGAGCCCGACATACCTGTCTATAAGTAAGTGTTGTCTGACACTGAGAGCCAGACATACCTGTCTATAAGTAAGTGGTGTCTGACCCTGAGAGAGCCGGACATACCTGTCTATAAGTAAGTGTTGTCTGACCCTGAGAGAGCCAGACATACCTAGGGGCGGTCAGGTAGCCTAGTGGTTAAAGCGTAAGACCCGGGTTCGACTCGGACATGGGTTCAATATGTGAAGCCCATTTCTGGTGTCCCCCCACCATGATATTGCTAGAATATTGCTAAAAGCATCGTAAAACCATACTCAGTCACTCACCCACACATACCTGTCTATAAGTAAGTGTTGTCTGACCCTGAGAGAGCCAGACATACCTAGGGGCGGTCGGGTAGCCTAGTGGTTAAAGCGTTCACTGAAGACCCGGGTTCGATTCCTGACATGGGTACAATGTGTGAAGCCCATTTTTGGTGTCCCCTACCGTGATATTGCTGGAATATTGCTAAAAGCTGTGTAAGACCATACTCACTCACTCACCAAGACATACCTGTCTATAAGTAAGTGTTGTCTGACCCTGAGAGCTGGACGGTGTAGCGCCAGACATACCTGTCTGTAAGTAAGTGCGCCGCGATTCGCTGTGCAGAGTTGCATCCCTGTGCTCGTGGGTTTCACCGAAGTGGTAAACATCTGAGACCTGCATCACTTTAGGCTTTCCTCCCACATTATGCTGACAAGCCATGATATAACTGTAATACTGCTGAAAGCAACTCACTCACTGTAAGTAAGTTTTGTCTGACAGTGAGAGAGACAGACATACCTAAATAAGTGTTGTCTGACCCAAAAACTATGACAGGCTTTAGAGAAAGCTCCAATCTATGTGGTCTCCCTAAGGACATGAGAAATCCTACACAATTGATATATAAATTATACATGCATAATCTGCCCTCAAGAGCAGGATTGCATGTTGATCAGGCATACATGGAACACGTGTCATCATTATCACAATTTCTCCACAGGGTCATAGAGTCTCGTGGTCCGACCAACACCAGGCAGTACGTGGTGGCAGTGTACTTCCGGGGGGAGCGGCTAGCCACGGGCATGGGTCACAGCATCCAGCGGGCAGAGATGAAGGCAGCCACTAATGCTTTGCAGAATAGAGCAGGTAAGGAAGGGTTTGTGTTCCCTGTGGGAGTGCTGTCTGCCCCAGTACCCCAGGCATGTGGGAAGAGCAGACTGGTGGGGTTAGAGTGGTTACCCTGTGTGACCTGACCTGACTGGTTGTGTGACCTGACTGGTTGTGTGACCTGACTGGCTGTGTGACCTGACTGGCTGTGTGGCCTGACTGGTTGTGTGACCTGACTGGCTGTGTGACCTGACCTGACTGGTTACGTGATTTGACTGACTGTGTGACCTGTGTGGCTGTGTGGCCTGACTGACTGTGTGGCCTGACTGGTAGTGTGACCTGTGTGGCTGTGTGGCCTGACTGCCTGTGTGGCCTGACTGGCAGTGTGACCTGACTGGTTGTGTGACCTGTGTGGCTGTGTGACCTGACTGGCTGTGTGGCCTGACTGGCTGTGTGGCCTGACTGGCTGTGTGACCTGACCGGTTGTGTGGCCTGACTGGCTGTGTGGCCTGACTGGTTGTGTTGCCTGACTGGTTGTGTGACCTGACTGGCTGTGTGACCTGACCGGTTGTGTGGCCTGACTGGTTGTGTGACCTGACTGGCAGTGTGGCCTGACTGGCTGTGTGTCCTGACCGGTTGTGTGACCTGACCTGACTGGTTATGTGATTTGACTGACTGTGTGACCTGACTGGTTGTGTGACCTGACTGGCTGTGTGACCTGACTGGTTGTGTGACCTGACTGGCAGTGTGACCTGACCGGCTGTTTGGCCTGACTGGTTGTGTGACCTGACTGGCAGTGTGACCTGACTGGTTATGTGATTTGACTGACTGTGTGACCTGACCGGCTGTTTGGCCTGACTTGTTGTCTGACCTGACTGGCAGTGTGACCTGACCGGCTGTTTGGCCTGACTGGTTGTCTGACCTGACTGGCTGTTTGGCCTGACTGGTTGTGTGACCTGACTGGCTGTGTGACCTGACTGGTTGTGTGACCTGACTGGCAGTGTGACCTGACTGGTTATGTGATTTGACTGACTGTGTGACCTGACTGGTTGTGTGACCTGTGTGGCTGTGTGGCCTGACTGGCTGTGTGACATGACTGGTTGTGTGACCTGACCTGACAATGTGACCTGACTGATTGTTTAACCTGACTGATTGTCTGACCTGACTGGCTGTGTGACCTGACCTGACAGTGTAACCTGCTCTGACTGGCTGTGTGACCTGACTGGCTGTGTGACCTGACCTGACTGACTGTGAGACTTGATTGACTGTGAGACCTTTCAGGCTTCCTTTATAACTGGAATACTGCTGACTGCTGCGATAATCGGGTGATTATCACTCATGAATAGGTACTCAATTTTAGAACGAGGTTTTAATAAGTGCTTTGTGAAGTGATAATCATTAACCCCTAGTTTTATGTACGTCATCTTTACAAGTTCATTTCACAGCATAGTCCTCTCTGTGTGTGAAACTATTTGGAGTTTTGCAACTGTGAGAGACAGCTGTGAATAAATTGTACATTGTTTATAATTATTAATGACACATCCGGTTACCGATATCTAAATAAATAATGTCTCTTGTGGTATGGCTAAAAATCTATATTAAGGCTCCAATGACTTTTTAGATCCCATCCGAGCCCCTATTATGTGATACCTTAATGGAAACTTTTCTACATGAATTTTGTATTAAGATGTTGAAAGCTACTGTGAAATTAGTGAATAGATTTTGGGTAAATCCATCCTTATAATTCTTGCCTGCAATGATCATAGTTTCTTCATCTTGTCTGCGTTCATAAGTCCTTTTTTCGTTTTGCAGAATTGTTCCCAATATTGGCTCATCAGAAACGTTACCTGCAGACGCGGCACAAGCGGAAACGAAAACAGAGCAAGCGACAAGGTGACAGCTCACATGACTGAAAAATTAAGAAAGGAAACATGTATGTACACAAAGGAAGAACCAGAAAGACTTTGTCTTGTCAGCAGGGACAACAAACAACTGGATGTATTCTTGTCTGAAGATGAATGCAAACTTAAGCGAGGGACTTATTATATCCAGAACACAAAACTATGGAAATTTTTGTGTTTCTGTTATCCAGAACACGAACCTTGGGAAAGGAAAGGCGTTTTCTTGTTTGGAACACTAAACTAAATGAGAAGCTTTCTGTTTTTCCAAAATATGCACCCGAGGGAAGGGAAAGTCTTTCTCTTGTGTGGAAAAACAAAAGCTAAGGAAAATGCTTATTGTTGTCGGGACCATCACTGTGAGGGAAAGGCTTTCTCGTGTCCAGATTACAAAAACCAAGGGATAGGCTTTCATTTCTCCAGAACCTAAAAATAAGGGAAAGGCTTTCTTGTGTATGGACCACAAAACTAAATAAAAGGTTGCCTGTTGTCAGGAACGCAGGCCTAGGGGAAGTGAAAGACTTTCTCATGTCCAGATAGGCAAGCTATAAGAAGGCCTTTCTGATGTCTGGAACATGAAAGTACGGGAAAGGCTTTCTCATGTTTGGTACACTAAACAAAGGTGAAAGTCATTGATCCAAAGGGAAGGGGCGATTTATCGCATCAGGTCTCAAGTAAATCACACATGAAATCATGTAAACATCCAAGATGCTATTGATGTGTTCTATTTCAGAGTGCTAGTATATACATATGTGTCTGTCTTGTAGCATCAGCCACAGTTCTGTGAGGTGTGCCAGTTGTATGTGAGGTTGAACAGTGAGTGGAAGTGATTATTTTGTGAAACCTGCAATCCTGTCTTAGATGTATTTCCCCTTGAGTGTAATAGCAAAATGAAATGGACGGATGTGAGAATAAATTGTGCTGTCTCTTCCCTGTAAACATGATGTTTTTGAATCATGCAGCTGTGCTGTCTATTTTATATCTATTTTGCCACGGTTTACTATTGTTCATTGTACATACATCACATGGTCTTTTGATGCCACAGTAAAAACGCTTATTGTAGTCTTGTGTTGTTGTGATTCTCCAGACATCAAGACCACTTGGTGGGGGTTCAGGGACAGTATCCCTCCTCAGCATCTCTGTTTTAAGATATACTACTCAAAAGAAGTTAAAAGACCACCTTATGCTTTCATATTACTATAGTTAATCTGTCAAGGTAATAAGGGACGGCCAGGTAGCCTGGTGGTTAAAGCGTTCGCTCGTCACACCGAGGACCAGGGTTCGATTCATGACATGGGTACAATGTGTGAAGCCCTTTTCTTGTCTCCCCCGCCATGACATTGCTGGAATATTGCTAAAAGCTGTGTAAAACCAAACTCACTCACTCAAGGCAATAAAAACTAACCATAATACTAATATGAAAGAATCGGGTGATCCTTAACTTCTCCGGAATAGTATATTACTGGTGAAGTCTGGTTGGTTACAATGTGTGGCTGATAGCTTACATGCTGTGGTATAACTGAAATATTGTTCAATGCACCTTTCAATCAAATCACGAATGATTGGAGTGATAAAGTTATTGCCTCAACAATGTATCTCACAACTCATCACAAAGACACTGGAAGGATGAAGATAGGACAATGGAAGAACTTTATTTACATTGATACACGTTAGCTAATACCAAGTGAGAACTGTTGATACTAACAATATTTACTGACATCAGTGCTACCAGATGGATATGATGCAGATGCATGCAAGTGCCGGAATACATTTCTGAAATTGACAGTAATGTACTAACAACATATGTGCAGAGGATGAGGCACATTTTGCACAGTTGAAGCATATTGAACAATGATACATTCAGAGTTGACTGTATAAATAAATATAACAATGTCAGGTTGACATCTATATCAATAATAGTTAATAGTCGTGAACTCCTGAGGACAAGAAAAAATGGTGACTTATCCATGGTTCGACACATCCAACTCGACATCAGAATGTACCACATTGCATTTTTGAGTAAATAACATTTGCATTAGTGTTAGAATTGGCATTGGTCCTATAGTCCTTGCCAAAATGTCCTCTAGTTGAGGAATCGCAAGGACAAGTAGAATTTTGCCCTTTTTACAGGTTTTTCTATGTGTCATTATAAGGATTAGCGGACTGAGAGTGTTAGTTTCTATTGCAGAGACAGAAAACATCAAAAGCATTTAAACATGTTAATGATCAGTATGATTCCCAAAATAAACATGGGGATTCAGAAGTTGAAAGAAGATGTAAAAAGAGGCAAACTTTTTAGATAACTGCTGATCCAGCTACAAGATTGATTTAATGTATTTCGTGTTGTTATCAATTCCAAGCAGGCACATATAAACAACCTTATGACTGCCCCCGGCACACTTGAACAACAATAGCATGTATCCCTGTAGTGTACGCATGATCCGATATATCAGAGAGCATTTAAGACAAAGATATAGAAGACTTCTAATGAAGCCAGGAACAGCATGTGTGCTCCATGAACTCGGACACATGCAATCTGTTTATGAACCTCATTCTTTACATTTTCATCATGGATGACATATTTTGAAGTATGTCAAGATATCTCATCTATTATCTAGCCTCACTGCACTATTCATGAAAATATTAATTTATTTCCTTGTTAATAGACTCTTCTCTTCAAACATCTAATTGAACATTCATTTAGTTTCAAGATGTATGCAAGTGTGTACCATATTTGACGTAATAAGCGCCCAGGGCTCTCTCAAAATCGAAATACGAGTTGAAAGATAAATATTGTTGTTTATGCTAAAATATTTATGTACAACAGATATATTTTTCCATAATTTAATTGCCCATAATTAAGGGTGCATATAACACATGAGTGCGTATTGGGATTGTTCCCTAGCCAATATATTAGCAAATGTCACCGTGGGCGCTTATTAGAGCGGGGCGCTTATGATCGAATACGGTATGCATCATTTATGTACATAAAGTACCCCATAATGAATACGCTACATTCTCATACATCCCAGTGTTATAGTTTTCTAGCAATCATGCTCTCATGTTTACAAAATGACATTTCACAATATAGAATAAATGTGAATATTAATATAAGTACAATATTCTCAAATATACATTTCATATGTGCGCAGTGGTTGGAAGTAAGAGCAACATCTCTCGGCATCAGGCTGCACTGAATAGCAATCAACCAAGTCAGTTTATCCAAAGTCGGTTTAGTCTCAATTCAGTTGTCTCTTCTTTAAAAAGCAGTAGGGTGCTAAGGATCTATTCTGTCCCCAGGTCAAAAAAGGGCGTGAAAAGTCTTATTAAGTATACAGACAGTTGTGTCAAATTTTGAGTAATGGCATGGATCTTCTTGTCAAATACATACAGTAACGGTTTTGGTAGTTATATAAAATATATACACTAATGGTTTTGATAGTTACCATATTCATTAGGAACCTCTGCCAGAAACAAAGACTCACTGGTTTAGATAGGTATATAACATATATACAGTATTGACTCGAGTCGATATGTTAAATCTATTTACAATGATAGATCAGATAGTCATGTCAAATATATACGATAATGACTCGGTTATCTTAAATATACAGTTATGGCTCAGATAGATTGATATAGATAGCTATTGATATATTCTTTACATTTTCATCATGGATAAATATCGTGAAGTACGTCAAGATATCTCAGCTGTTATCAAGCCTCACTTCACTATTATATATATATATATTCATGGAAATATTCCTTTATTTCCTTGTTAATAGATTCTTTGCTTCAAACATCTAAATGGACATTCATTTATTTTCAAAACACACACACATACACAGAAATGAATGAGTATGTCCTTTACAATAATAATAAATAATCTGATAATCTTGTCAAATATATACAACAATGACTGATGGTCTTTATATACAGTAATGGCACAGATAATTATTTGAAATATACAGATAATCTTGTCAAATATATACAGCAATGGATCAGATAGTTGTGATGGTATTTAAAAAAATACAGTTATGTCTCAGATAGTCCTGTAAAGTATATATACAGTAATGTTTTAGATAGTTTTATAAAATATATACAGTAATGACTTTGTTATTTTAAATGTACAGCAATGGATCAGATAGTCTTGTCAAATATACACAGAAATGATTCAGATAGTTACATAAAATCTATACAGTAATGGCTCAGATAGGCCCAGCAAATATACCAGTTTACAGTTAAGGCTAAGAATGTCCTTAATCATAAACACTATCTGCTCTGGTAGTCCTGTCAAGTATAAAGTAATGGCGCAGATAAATATTATTAACATACAGTGATGGTTCAGTCTTGGTACCTCGCACAGATAGTCTTGTCAAATATGTACAGTAATGGATCAGATAAAAAAAAATTAATATACAGTGATGGCTCAGTCTTGGTACATCGTACAGATAGTCTTGTCAAATATATACAGTAATGGCACAGATAAATATTATTAATATACAGTGATGGTTCAGTCTTGGTACATCGCACAGATAGTCTTGTCAAATATAGACAGTAATGGCACAGATAAATATCTTTAATATACAGTAATGGCTCAGTCTTGGTACATTGCACAGATAGTCTTGTCAAATATATACAGTAATGGCACAGATAAATGTTATTAACATACAGTGATGGTTCAGTCTTGGTACATTGCACAGATAGTCTTGTCAAATATAGACAGTAATGGATCAGATAGTCTTGTACAGTAATTGTTTAAATAGTACTGGCTCGGATAATCTTGTCAAATGTTTACAATAATGACTCAGATAGTCTTTTCAAATATGTACAATAATGGCTCAAAATGTCCTTCAATCATATACTCTATTTGCTCACATAGTCTTGTCAAGTATAAAGAAGTGTTTCAGATAACTATTATTAATACAGTGATCACACAGATAGTCTTGTCAAATATATTCAGTAATGCATCGGATAGCCCTGTCAAATACAAGTATACAGTAATGGATCAGATAACTTTATAAAATATACAGTTATAGCTCAGATAGTCGTTTAATTATATTACATTATTTGCTCACATAGTCTTGTCAAATATATGCAGTATTGGATCAGATAATCTTGTACAGTAATGGTTTTATGTAGTTATTTTAAATATGTACAGTAATGTCTCATATAGTTTTTGTCAAATATATACAATAATGGCTCAGATGTTCTTGTCAAATACACAGTAAAGGCTCAGATAGTCTTGTCAAATATATGCAGCAATGGGTCAGACGATCTTGTACAGTAATGGTTAAATAGTTATTTATAACATATAGAGGATGTTATTTGAGTGTTCATATCATACAATATTAACGACACGAGACATTGTATGACATAACGCGAATCTAATGTTCTGTTTATTACCGAGGAAGATGTCTACATACAGAGCCGAATTATGTGTTTACCAGTATAAGGACAGCAAGTTGCAACAGTAGCGGAACCACAATTTGTCAAATGACATTGACAATCTTCAGCTATGGCTTTGTTTATAGTGTGACATTCCGACCTCACATCACAATAAGATTCAAATGATGTCAACATTGCTGTCCGGAAGACTGAAACAATAGACAGTATCGTGACGAGATGTGACCCTAGGGCACATGAGACTTTTATCAACCTGATATGTTTGCCCCCGTAGGTAATAAATACAGTAATGTCTCAAATAGTTTTTGTAAAATATATCCAGTAATGGTTTGGATAGTTGTGTCAAATATATACAGTAAACACAGACAGTCACAGTAAATATATCCAGTAATGGCTCAGATAGTTGTGTCAAATATATACAGTAATAGCATAGACAGTCACAGTAAATATATCCAGTAATGGCTCAGATAGTTGTATCAAATATATACAGTAATAGCATAGACAGTCACAGTAAATATATCCAGTAATGGCTCAGATAGTTGTATCAAATATATACAGTAAACACATAGACAGTCACAGTAAATATATCCAGTAATGGCTCAGATAGTTGTATCAAATATATACAAGAATAGCACAGACAGTCACAGCAAATATATCCAGTAATGGCTCAGATAGTTGTATCAAATATATACAGTAATAGCATAGACAGTCACAGTAAATATATCCAGTAATGGCTAAGATAGTTGTGTCAAATATATACAGGAATGGCATAGACAGTCACAGCAAATTTATCCAGTAATGGCTCAGATATTTGTATCAAATATATACAATAATAGCATAGACAGTCACAGCAAATATATCCAGTAATGGCTCAGATAGTTGTATCAAATATATACAATAATAGCATAGACAGTCACAGTAAATATATCCAGTAATGGCTCATAAATATTTTTAAAAATACAGTAATGTCTTAATTGGTCCTGTAAAATGTATGCAGTAATGGTTTAGAAAGTATAAAAAATATAATACAATAATGACTCAGTTATTTTTAATGTACAGTAATGGTGCAGATAGTCTTGTCCAATATATACAGTAATGGCTCAGATAGGCTTGTCAAATATATACAGTAATTAAACAGTGAACTGTTGGTTTTTTTAACTTTAATACAGAATTCTCCTTGCAACTTGTATTAGAACATGTTATTGACAAGAAACAGCCAACATCATGTATGTATGCACACTAGGTCTACTTCTAACTACTGGATGTATTTATACAAAAATAGTGCCATGGCACTGTAGCTCAGCAGGATATGTAGTCAACCGTTCCAAATGTCTACAAAAACAGCACCTTTTTAAATAAAAATAGATAACTATTCAAATATTTTCTGCAAAAATACTGGGGTCTAAAACATATTTGAAACAAGTAACTAAATTACCTCAATATTTCTATATCTACCTGTACAACACTGCAAAGTACAATATATATATATATATATATATATATATATATATATATATATATATATACAAAAATGAGGTAAATGTTCACTCGGTGAATATATATATATTATTTTTTTCTATCGCCATACAATTTTGCGAAATGTTTAAAAAACACAAAAGAAACCCTTAAAAATTCTCATGAAATACATCTCCCAAAGTGACACAGAAAACATTTCCATGGATACTTCTACCATCTACCATCATGGCAGAAATAAATCAAGCTGTCATTAGCAAAGCACATCGGCAAAAACATGTGTGATGATAACATAAATACCAATATCAAAGATCGTCCATCCACAATAACAATACACTATTTGCCATAATAAGCGCCTTGGGTGCTTTGAAAATTTACAAAGGGGGCAATTATTGAAACCATACATATTGAGTTCCATTTTGAGTCAAAACTAGCAAACTTAATTCGAAAGGTCGGTGAAACTAACATGTTTTTCATATTACCCCTTCTACCCTGTTGTTTTCTGTGTTAATAAAATGTGTAATATACAAAAGAAAATATATGGCCTGTTATGTAAATTTTCTGTCTTAGCTTGGGGTGCTTACATAATCACCTCCAGATTTGTCTAGAAGTGGGTCAGGAGGCGTTGTTCATAGGAGCAGGGCGCTTTATACTGTGGGGCGGTACACATAGAGGTTATCACGCGAGTGTGTTTGGGGATGGTAAATATCCTGCATTAGGAATAAACATTGTATTTAGCGAGCCTTGGCGAGCCAAATACATAGTGTTTATTCCTAATACAGGATATTTACCATCCCCAAACACACAAGCGTGATAACCTCTTTATCATATAATGTCATTCTTTAATTCTGTGCTTCAAAATCGCTTTCCCTCTCTCACAAACATTACCAAAACATTGCGAGTTTTCCTGGAATGCGCGCATTAATATTTATTACGTCATAGAGTAAGTGATGTGTCAGTCGGACAGTGACAGTAGCCAATATAGTTCCAACTGAAATCTGTTTCTTATCCAGTGGCGAAGCAACATATATGCAAAACAACAATTGTTTTTAATTGCCTTTTGCGGCAATCCATCGGTCTGTCCGCTAGAGTAACTGCCCTTTGTCAAAGGGAAGCTACTCTAACCCTAGTCTATGAGACGTCATGGCCACAGTCCGAAGTTGTTGACAGTCAGTCTGTCCTGTCATAACATTAAGAAGTGTAGTCAGATGTACACACAGCAACAAAACGAAACAAGGTAACAATTCAAATATATTTCGGCCAAATCCAACTATTTTAATTTGTGGAGAAGGTTTCAAGCCGCAGAGGTCTACAAGCACAGATATGGCTACTGATCCTGCTTGGCTAGGCCTCGTGCCCTCGCAAAATTTGTCTCGAAATTTATATCTCCAAAGTTGCCAAAACTTATAAAATGCCTTAGCTACGTCACAGTTAGACACTGATTTTCAGTATATTAGACTGTTCGTTTGAAAATGATGGCAGTTATCCCTGTAGTTTATCCAGATTCCCGATGGTTAATTCTGACTCGATCGCCGAACGACGAGGGTGACGCCATGTTTGTTTATAAACAGTGAAAGTAGTCCCTACTTGACCTTTGATATTTGCATTTCTATCCGCATATGACCCCAATGGATATCGTTTTTATCCATTGGCTTTATCCTGCCGAGAAACCTACCCATTATATGATAAAAAGTTATACTGAGTAGATATCTACAGATATTGGGTACATGACATGATACTTCACATTCGGAACACAAACTACATATGTACCTGTAACATGGACGGAACAAACTGTATTGTACAATTGTATATCTAAACTCAAAGTTACATGTTTCCTCTATACATATATATACATTGAAAATATCAAAGTATCAGGCTGCATATAAGCAGTCACATTTGATGTAAATGGTACACTTATTGCCTGAATAGATCATGTACCAGGAACAACAGAGTTTAGATCAATCAGACTCTCTGCTGGGTTGGTGTCAGCAGACAAGAAAGAAAGAGAGCTGCACATGCATTGTCTTCTCATGAACAGGACAGAATCCGGATTATATTCTTGGTAGCTTGTGTGGGGTGGCCTCAGCTTCCTGGCAGCTTTCCTGTCTTCTTTTTCTTCCACACCTGTGGACAAATGACAACAAATAAGTGGAACTCACAACGACTGATGGTAATGTATGGTTTGTTTCATTGCTTCTTGTTTAATGCAATGCTCAGCAGTATATCAGTTATACAGTGGCAACCTCCAAGCCGATCACAGTATCTTGACAAGACTATCAAGGGATTGATATTATGAGCTACAATCCACACCATTGCGATGACACGCCATCAACCAAGTCACCGAGTCTGACCACCCGATCCATCAAGTCCCCTCTGACCTAGCATTCCCACGGGGCAGTAAGGTATTTGATTCTTTAAGTCTTTCATCCATTCCAACATATATGGGGCGGTCGGGTAGCCTAGTGGTTAAAGCGTTCGCTCGTCACGCCGAAGACCCGGGTTCGATTCCCGACATGGGTACAATGTGTGAATCCCATTTCTGGTGTCCCCCGCCGTGATATTGCTGGAATATTGCTAAAAGCGGCGTAAAATCATACTCACTTACTCACACTCCAACAGATATGAATGGTCAACCAATGCTTATACCACTGTATGCACAGTTTCCTTTTCTCATCATGGTAAACAAGATAAAAGTTGCACACAAACAATGACTGGGCGTGGGATAAGTAGAAACAAGGGCTATAAAATATTGATTCTTGATGGCATGATCTTTAATGATGTTTTCAAAACGAAAGTTTTTTCCATGTCCCCATGGTGATAATGTGCACCATGTCAAAAGATCAAACAAGTCCCATAACTCTGTAAAATATTATTAACTCGCTGAACATATCTCATAATAATGTAGGAAAAATGTCTTCCTTTTGTCCTCAGCGGTTTCTGAGAAAATGTGTCTTGTTTTAGGGTACAGTCTGCTACATGTATGTCCCAATCTCATTCAAATCCGATCTTAGTTCTCGCTACCGCTAAACAAAGATCTGAGGACAAACCATTACAGGTCACGTCAGACCCACTTTGCGCGAACTTTGACCGACCAATGGATTGACCAATCAGAAGGGAGCTTTCTTGTTCTTTACGGCACCAATTTCAAATTGGCGACTACGCTTCGAAACATATTTTGACAAATTTTCTATTACAAATTTGAAACCTGAACAAAAGAACATTCTGGAATGGCTTATAGATGATCTAGATTGTATGGATTCAGTCATTAAAACACGTAAGCATCGTTTTGGAATACCCCCTGTTATGCATTTCGGGGTAGAAATCACATTCCGACTGACACTTTTATAATCTGGTAAGCGACGCTTTGATTAGTCGGATGAAAGGTCGTTCAGACGCAACATGGGATGTCTTCAGATCTTTGTTCAGCGTTAGCGAGAATTAAGGTCTGATTTTAATGAGATTGACTGTGTCCAAACAAATGCATCCTAAACATGTTTACAATATTAATTTGTGATGCCGTGTTTCCCTTAATAGTTTATGCATCCTAGTGTTCATAGCAGTTTCCAAAAACAATTGTCAAACTAATATCCCTGCCCTATTTCTTTGTGGGACATAACATATTGTGAAGAATTCAAGATTTGCGTATTCAAAATTCAAGGTTATGTTTCTGTTATACAAAGAGTCGTTAGATCCCTCGGACACACTCCTGTCTACTTACCTTTTAAGGATGACGTCTTTCACCCCTTGGCTGCTACACACCTCCAGCGGGGATTTCCCATGGACATCTCTGATGTCAAGATCTGCTCCTGCCTCCAACAGTCTCCACACTATACCTTCATAACCTCCTTGACATGCATAGTGTAGCGGTGTACTGTTATTGGCATTCACAGGTGATGGCGAGGCCCCATTCGCTATCAACAACTCCAAAGGACCTTCTTTTCCTTGTTCACATGCCACATGCAGGGGGGTGTCTCCACTGGCAATTCGAGCTTCCAGCAGTGCCCTGGCTTGTATCAGAAGAGCAACACACTCGGCATGTCCTTCATAGCAGGAGATGTGTAAAGGAGTCTGTAGCTGACCCCCACTCTCTGTCTCCATCTGGCCTCTGTCAGTACGACTTGTGCAACTGCCCTCTGGCATGTCTCTAGTTATGTTGCTTCCATGATTAATATTAACATCATACTTGAGTAATACCTTCACTGTGTTGAGGTAGTTGTACTTGCAAGCCACACAAAGACAGTGATTTAGATTGTTGACGTACATTTTCTTCCGTAAGTCACCCTGGTTCTTGTCCTGTAAACACTGAACTTGTATTTGCACCCATGATCTGCGAAGCAATAACTCCAAAATAGACCCATGTTGTCGTTCACAGGCCAGCATAAGTGGGGTCTTTTCCAGTTTGTTTGTTGCTAGGATATCACTCCCCATGTTGAGAAGTGCCTTGACGGCATCAGCATGTCCCTCACCACATGCTATATGAAGAGCAGTATTACCATGAACATTGCACTGTGTGTCCCTTGCTCCCCACTTGGCCTGGAGAACCATGACATCACCTGCACCTGATCTTGCAGCCAGATGCAAAGGTGTTTCTAAACCATTATCTAATGCATTCATATCTGAGCCAGCCTTCAACAAAACTTCAGTGACATCTTTTTGTCCTGCCAGACATGACAAATGAAGTGCTGTTTGTCCCTCGTTGGTTTTAGCCTGGAGATTATGGTCATATTCTAGCAGGAGTTTCACGACATCCACGTGTCCCCTCTCACTAGCTGTATGCAAAGGTGTCATATTGTTAGAATCACTCACACTTGAAGATGATCCTCGTTGCAAAATCAGTTTTGCAATGTTTGTACTTCCACTTGAACATGCATGAAACAATGGTGTCCTTCCTTGCCTATTTCTGGAATCACAGTTGTACCCTCTTCTGATCAAGGTATTTACAAAATCTAAGCTCCCAGTTTCAGCTGCGAAGTGAAGGGGAGTATTACCATATGGATCAACATCAATCTTTTCAGCCATGATCAGTCTTATAAAGTCTTCACCGCCAATCTGTTTGATAAACTGCTGAAGACGCAGCACAGACAGGTCCCTGGTAGGAAAGTGACAGTATGCTATCATCATGTAACAGGTCATGTCATAGTGTTCATGATTGACTGCTTCATGGAGAGGCGTTCTTCCTTCATAATTCTTTGCAGTGATCGCTGCATCTGAGTTGTTTATGAGCATTAACAATGGTAGGTTGCCCTCCTTGCATACAATATGAAGAGGGGTATTACCACCTTTATCAACAGCTAAAATACTAGCTCCAGCTCCTAAGAGTTGTGCAACTATGTCGGCATTTCCACCATAGCATGCAATGTGCAGAGCAGTTTGATCAAAGTTGTTGACTATTTCAACATCAACATGTTTATCCAAAAGAATACACACTTTTTGTAGATTCTGTTCGAATGTTACAATGTGAAGTGGAACATTTCCATTTTTGTCACGCAGCGATAAAACCTGGGCTAAAACGTCTCTGTTCAGAATTGCATCCATCATAGCTTTAAGACAAGGCGATGACCCACGGCAAGCCACATGGACTGGTGCATCTCCATGAGTATCCACCACAAGCAACCAGGCTCCAGCTTTTATCAGTGGCTGAACTATCTCTTCTGATTCTTCAATGCAGGCAATATGAAGAGCAGAATTTCCATCACTGTCTTTTTCAGCAAACATAACCTCAGAGTTTGAAAGTAACTGTATTTTGTTGTCCCGGCAAATATGATGGAGAGATGTCATACTTATTCTTGGACGACTTTTTGATATTTCACACCAGAGGTCATACAAGCATGTCACTCCATAGTGCTTACTAACTATAGCAAGGTCAAGTGGACTCATAGCTCTCATGTTCTTTTCATTGATACTAAGTCCCTTCTTGATCAGCCCCTTAGCCATTTCAAAGTGTCCATGTGCACATGCTGCATGGAGAGCTGTATCTCCCCCTTTGTCCTTAGCCTGGACATGTATTCCTTTTCCAATCAAGTAATCCACTAGTTCAATATTCCCTACTTTGCTTACAACATGAAGCATTGTTCCTCCTTGTTCTGTTGTCTCCAATAAATCAAATCCTAAATCTGAAACTTTCTCTAAAGTGTCTGTTTCACAATCTTCCATTTCACATAATATCTGCAATGCATTCCTTCCAAATTCATCTTTCAGTTTGATATTCAACCCATTATCTGCTAGTACAGGTAGAAGTTCAGAGTGCTTTGCACTGATGGCAGTTGCAACAAGAGAAACCATAGAAGGAGATGACATAGAATTGTCAGGGATAAAATCTATCAACCTCTTCACTATTTCATCATGACCTCTTGAACATGCCCGTTTAAGCAATGACACAATGTTATCGGTTTTATGAAGCATTGTTCCTCCTTGTTCTGTTGTCTCTGATAAATCAAACTCTAAATCTAAAACTGTCTTTAATGTGTCCATATCACAATCTTCCATTTCACATAATATCTGCAATGCATTCCTTCCTAATTCATCTTTCAGTTTGGTATTCAACCCATTATCTGCGAGTACAGGTAGAAGTTCAGAGTGCTTTGCATTGATGACAGTAGAAACCATAGAAGGAGATGACATAGAATTGACAGAGAGAAAATCTGTATACTTCTTCACTAGGTCATGCTTTCTTGAACATGCCCATTCAAGCAATGACACAATGTTATCGGTTTTATCAAGATATTGTTTTGCTTTGTGTAGTAAAATGTTGACAATAGCAAGGTTGCCCCACAGAACGGCATGGTGTAATGGAAGCTTCCCATTGTTATTTTCTTTCATTGGATCAGCTCCACAAGAAAGCAATAATCTCACAACATGTTCGTGACCCCCAACACATGCTTTATGTAATGGAGTATTGCCACGGTATCCTGCTACATTGGCACAAGCTCCATTCTGCAACAGGAGTGCGACACAGCCAATATGCCCTCCTTCACAAGCATATGAAAGTGGTGTGTCACGCTTCTCAGAACATGGTGCAATGTCCGCTGATGACTTTATCAAAGCGTCAGCAATGTTTCTTTGTCCATCTCTACAAGCAAGATGCAGGGGAACCAGTAAATGTTTATCAGGCACATTTACATCCACTTTACTTTTAACCAAAAGTTCAACTATTTTCAAATGACCCTCAGCACATGCAATATGGAGCGGTGTCTGCTTGTCTGTGTCAGTCATATTTACATCAGCTTGCTGTGCTAAAAGAATGTTCATGATGTCTTCATTTCCATTCTCGGCTGATTTATGAAGTGCACACTCCTGGTTCTTATTGCAAGCCAGCACACTTGCTCCTCTTCCACAAAGTATATCTACACTTTCCACATCACCCTTCATACATGCCATATGCAGAATAGTATTTCCATCTGAATCCATCCCATTTATGTCACGTGTCACTGTACAAAGAACTCGGAATAATGTTTTCAGCTTCACTGCATGATAGACAGGTGTGTGTCCATCATTATCAGTAACAAATACCGAAGCCTTGTACTGAAGCAGTGATTTTAAAACTCCTGTACATTTTTCTCTACATGCAATATGAAGAGGTGTTTCTCCATTATTATTTCGACAATGAAGAATATCACGAACACACTTACAATTAAGAAAGCGTTCTTGTTCTTGATCATGATATCCATTGTCTGTTTTCATCCAAATATAATGTAGAGACAGCTGAAGTAATACCTCATGACCAGGCATAGACACAGAGTGTAGAACCGTGTTTCCAATGATATCTTGTTTAGTTATATCTGCACCATGGCTTAACAGCAGTTTGGCAATGTTGACATATCCATAACGACATGCAGTAAATAAAGGTGTTTCCAATCGTTTGTTGGTTTGTGATACATCAATACCTTTGGCAATAAATATCTCAACTAAGCTCCACTCCCCTACTTCACATGCCAAGTGCAGTGATGTGTTGCCATCATCATCACGTGCATTCACATCTACACCGTGGCTAAGTAGCAACTCTACAAGAACAACATTTTTCACTTTGAGTGCTTCAGTCAGACATGTTCCAGAGTGAGTACAGCCACATCTTAGCAGGACATTACAGACTTGTACCAATCCATAATGACATGCTTTTTGTACTAAGTTATCACAGGAATCATGAACATGTGGGATGCTATGCAATATCTGAAACACTGCAATGTGACGATTTTCTATAGCTTTCAACATCAGACTCAACAGGCAATAATTGGAGACCACTCCTGTCATGTATTCAGTAAGCAACTCAACACCACATGCATCACCATTGGCAACGGCTTTCTCCAGTAAAGACGTAATTAGCATGCCTGGGAAAGTTTCCACATCAGATTTATCGCATATGTCTTTCACTATATCTAGATAATCAGAATAGGAACACCACTCATTCAATGTGGGGCAATAGTGTCTAGACAACACTTCTTTCAGCACCACAGATGCAACTTCTCTCTTACCTTCGGTACTCACTTTCTTCAAAATAGAGTGAAAACAACCTAGAGATATGTTTAACCTATCATTAAAAAGTTTGACAATATCAGTATGACCCCCCCTACAGGCCCATAACAGAGGTGTGTAACCAGCAGCAGCAGCAGCAGACACATCAGCTCCTTTCTCTATCAGCAGTTTGACAATGTCAGTATGACCCCCCCTACAGGCCCATGACAGAGGTGTGTCACCATAATCAGCAGCAGCAGATACATCAGCCCCTTTCTCTATCAGCAGTTTGACAGTATCAGTATGACCCTCACTACAGGCACATGACTGAGGTGTGTCACCATAACCAGCAGCAGCAGATACATCAGCCCCTTTCTCTATCAGCAGTTTGACAATATCAGTATGACCCTTACTACAGGCCCATGACAGAGGTGAGACACCATAATCAGCAGCAGCAGACATATAAGCCTCTTCCTCTATCAGCAGTTTGAGAAGGGAAGAACAATCCCCCCTACAGGCACATGACAGAGGTGTGTCACCATAATCAGCAGCAGCAGATACATCAGCTCCTTTCTCTATCAGCAGTTTAACAATGTCAGTATGACACCCCCTACAGGCACATGACAGAGGTGTGTCACCACCACGTCCACCACCAGCAGATACATCAGCTCCTTTCTCTATCAGCAGTTTAACAATGTCAGTATGACCCCCCCTACAGGCACATGACAGAGGTGTGTCACCACCACGTCCACCACCAGCAGATACATCAGCTCCTTTCTCTATCAGCAGTTTAACAATGTCAGTATGACACCCCCAACAGGCCCATGACAGAGGTGTGTCACCACCACGTCCACCACCAGCAGATACATCAGCTCCTTTCTCTATCAGCAGTTTGACAATGTCAGTATGACCCCCCCTACAGGCACATGACAGAGGTGTGTCACCACCACGTCCACCACCAGCAGATACATCAGCTCCTTTCTCTATCAGCAGTTTAACAATGTCAGTATGACCCCCCCTACAGGCACATGACAGAGGTGTGTCACCACCACGTCCACCACCAGCAGACACATCAGCTCCTTTCTCTATCAGCAGTTTAACAATGTCATTATGACCCCCCCTACAGGCACATGACAGAGGTGTGTCACCACCACGTCCACCAGCAGCATACACATCAGCTCCTTTCTCTATCAGCAGTTTGACAATGTCAGTATGACCCCCCCTACAGGCACATGACAGAGGTGTGTCACCATCATCAGCAGCAGCATACACATCAGCCCCTTTCTCTATCAGCAGTTTGACAATGTCAGTATGACCCATCATACAGGCACATGGCAGAGGTGTGTCACCATCATCATCAGCAGCAGACACATCAGCTCCTTTCTCTATCAGCAGTTTGACAATGTCAGTATGACCCTCCCTACAGGCACATGGCAGAGGTGTGTCACCATCATCATCAGCAGCAGACACATCAGCTCCTTTCTCTATCAGCAGTTTGACAATGTCAGTATGACCCCCCCTACAGGCACATAACAGAGGTGTGTCACCACAACCAGCAGCAGACACATCAGCCCCTTTCTCTATCAGCAGTTTGACAATATCAGTATGACCATTCTTACAGGCCCATGACAGAGGTGTGTAACCATCATCATCATCATCATCATCATCATCATAATTAAAGGCAGCAGACACATCAGCCCCTTTCTCTATCAGCAGTTTGACAATGTCAGTATGACCCCCCCTACAGGCACATGACAGAGGTGTGTAACCAGCAGCAGCAGCAGCAGATACATCAGCCCCTTTCTCTATCAACAGTTTGACAATGTCAGTATGACCCCCCCTACAGGCACATAACAGAGGTGTGTCACCACAACCAGCAGCAGACACATCAGCCCCTTTCTCTATCAGCAGTTTGACAATATCAGTATGACCATTCTTACAGGCCCATGACAGAGGTGTGTAACCATCATCATCATCATCATCATCATCATAATTAAAGGCAGCAGACACATCAGCCCCTTTCTCTATCAGCAGTTTGACAATGTCAGTATGACCCATCATACAGGCACATGGCAGAGGTGTGTCACCATCATCATCAGCAGCAGACACATCAGCTCCTTTCTCTATCAGCAGTTTGACAATGTCAGTATGACCCTCCCTACAGGCACATGGCAGAGGTGTGTCACCATCATCATCAGCAGCAGACACATCAGCTCCTTTCTCTATCAGCAGTTTGACAATGTCAGTATGACCCCCCCTACAGGCACATAACAGAGGTGTGTCACCACAACCAGCAGCAGACACATCAGCCCCTTTCTCTATCAGCAGTTTGACAATATCAGTATGACCATTCTTACAGGCCCATGACAGAGGTGTGTAACCATCATCATCATCATCATCATCATCATCATAATTAAAGGCAGCAGACACATCAGCCCCTTTCTCTATCAGCAGTTTGACAATGTCAGTATGACCCCCCCTACAGGCACATGACAGAGGTGTGTAACCAGCAGCAGCAGCAGCAGATACATCAGCCCCTTTCTCTATCAACAGTTTGACAATGTCAGTATGACCCCCCCTACAGGCACATAACAGAGGTGTGTCACCACAACCAGCAGCAGACACATCAGCCCCTTTCTCTATCAGCAGTTTGACAATATCTGTATGACCCTCCTTAGAGGCTGAATTAAATATTTGTGTATTGATATTATTGTTTGTTCCTGACCTGAGCAAGGCACTGACAATGTTTGTACGGTTATTTCCCACAGCCATTTCAAGAGGTGTGTTTCTGTCAGCACAAACTGATCTACCAGCATCATGTTGCAGCAGTATGTTCACAATCTCTGGGTATCCATTCTTGCATGCTGTATGTAAAGGAGTTTTGTAACCATCACACGGCAATGGATAGGATATTCTATTAAGCAGCAACTGTAAAACACTGGAATAACCATTGCTACATACAACATCTATTGGCGAACAGTTGTTAAAATTTAGCATTGTGAGATCGGCATTTCTATTAAGTAGAATATCCACAACATCTGCCCTTCCCTCTTGGCAGGCTAGATGGACAGGTGTGTTTCCATTTTTATTCCGGGAACAGATTTTACACACATTTGCTAGTATCAAAACAATACCTCCATGGCCTGCTTCACAAGCTAAGTGTAGGGGAGTGTTTAATTTGCAGTCGACAAGATTGAGATCAGCATTGCTTTCCATCAGACACTTCAGTACTCCTGTATGTCCTCTCTGTGCTGCTACGGCAGCTGGTGTGGATCGCGCAGCAACTTGTCCTGCCTCATCACCCTGAGGTTGCAGCTGGAGATTCACATCATATCCATACTGGAGGAGCAGCTGAACAATATCTGTGTGTCCGTAGTAGGAGGCGAGATGCAGTGGCGGAAGATGGTGAGATGGGAGAGACTCTGGTTGCCCCTGACAACTGTCAATACCATGGACTACTTGTAACCTGGGTGTCGAGGACAGCAGTCCATCCAGTTCCATGTCCTCTAGGAGCAGTTGCAGTATTTCTGAATTGCCACTCACACAACAAGGTATGACACATTCTTTCCTCTCCTCCTCTGGTATGTAGCTCGACAGCACTTTGTATAATTCAGCATTTTTTCCAAAACACATCCAGCTTAAGAAGTTACCACCATGAATTTTATCACATATCTTAAAAAGTTCTTTCACATTTCCTGTGGCAGTACACATTCTAATCAGCATTGAGGCAAAAGTATGCTTTCCACAGGCTTGATGAGTCAAAGTAAAAGCAAAGTTGCGTTTTTCTATCTCCCCTACGAAGCGTAGCCCCAAATCCTTCTGTCTGTTCTTATCTAGGTAAAGGGTGAGTCCTTTACCATTGCTCAAAGAATCCCTGCTACCCTGCACCTTAACATGTCTGTAGATAAACAGGAGATCTACATCATTGATGTATTCAACTGCAGTAGTCATGAGGATTTCTTCTATATGAGATTGTGTTTGTTCATGCCTGAGCTGTACTACTGAACCCTGAGGTCTGAGTAAGGATCCACTCAGGCTATACAAGCACTGTCTGAACTGCTCCCCACTCATTTCATCTGTCCTGGTCAACTGACATGCCCACTTCATGTGCATCTGTAGAGAACAGTCTTCAGCTGGACCATCCAAGTCTGACAACATCAGTTTTCCTTTCTCCAAACAAAGTAGTGTTAGAGCTGTAAAGTTTGACTTCTGATTTTCAAATAATGCCTCACACTGTGACTGTAGTGGAACATGGTCTGCAAAACACAATTGTGAAACTTGACATTTATCTTCTTATACATGCCATGACACTACCAGGAATGTTTGGGGTTAAATATTAAATTTGGGGTCCAACTCTCAGCAGTTGGTTGGTTGGTTGGTTGGTTTGTTGTTTAACGCCGCACTCAGCAATATTCCAGCTATATGACAGCGGTCTGTAAATAATCGAGTCTGGACCAGACAATCCAGTGATTAATATCATGAGCATCGATCCACGCAATTTGGATCGATGACATGTATCAACCAAGTCAGCGAGCCTGACCACCCGATCCCGTAAGTCGCCTTTTACGACAAGCATAGTCAACTTTTACGGCAAGCATGGGTTGCTGAAGACCTATGTTCTATCCCGGTTCTTCACGGGTCTCTCAGCAGTTAATTGCTGGGGTCGCAATTTATTTTTTAAATGGAGGTCCCAGAGAAATGTTAGAATTTGAATACATTGAGGATATATATATATATTCTTTTCAAAGAACATGTACTTCTCATTGAGTGACTTGACAAAGTCAATGTTTTCATGACAGGTGGAGCCTTATTATTTGCTTGGTTTTTGTTTTATTTTATTAAATACGTAATATCATATACAAGTTTTACAAGATCATGAAGCATTTGACTGTCGTGAATTTATTTTATGACAATGTCTGAAAATTAATCTTTAGTGGTAACAAATTATGAAATAGCATCTTTTTTCTAAACATGCATACACAATTTCTACATCCCAGTGTATACACTCTGTATTTTTTTCTGCATCCATTTTACATTTGTATGCGTACAGGATGCAGGACTTCACGTCCAGTAGATGCGGTAAATACTTCTAAGTAGACACAAGAAGGGTACTAATGGTAGTGCAGTATATGCTCACTGCTTCCCAAACACCTTGTGTCTTCACTGTAATAACAACTGTAACATCATTGCTTTTCTGAGTGTACCAGACCTGTGATTAACCCATTAAAACATCACCAGTCAATGCCCTAGAAAATGAACCATGTGTCCTGGTCATGATGGCAAGTGTAAAAGTGAAGTAAGTTAGCGACTTATTACACCATTATTCGTTTATACCATTCTGACCATTATCACATAAAATATTGTCATTTCAAAAGATCTAACATTGAGATATTATCTATTAAATATTGAAAAACTAGTTTGCTCACTAAAAACACTTCACTCAAAGATAACTCACCAAGTGGGTGTTCGCAAGACATGGTTGAATCATCAACGTAAGTTCCCAATTCCATGGGCCCTGACTGATCCTGTGCATTATTGTCTGCTGTTACGACCTTCATATCTTCCTCTCCTGCCTCAGTTTCATCAACACTTTGGATACTACTGTCAACACTCACGTTCCTGTCTTCAGTTTTCCCTACCTTGTCAAGTCCAGTGGCATCTAAAGGAGCATGATCAAGTTCACCCACTGAAGGATCTACATTCTGACCTCTAGATAATGAAACACATGGCATTTCTTCTGAAGATTTCACATTTTCATCTTCATTCATTTCACAATCCATGATAGGAGGCTCCCTGCCTGACACATCAGTCGATGTCTGTGCTTGGTCCTCTGCCTGGGAGACTCCCATCAGCATCTCAGGTGGCTCCCTGCCTGACACATCAGTCGATGTCTGTGCTTGGTCCTCTGCCTGGGAGACTCCCATCAGCATCTCAGGGTCTGCGTTCTCACCTGCAGCCCCAGCAGGGGCCTCCACCGCGCGTGTCGTCTCCGCAGCTAACATCAGTCTCTGTTTCACATACTGTCGGTACCCCGCCACATGGCAGTTCCTCATCACGCCTGGCGCCACTCCTGCAGCAAGAGCCTCTGCCGCCTGAAACATGTTCACAGAATCACAAATCAGGAACATAACCATGTTGGTGGGTTAACCATTTCTATTTCCTATTTAGTATAATATACCATTTGTCATAATATACTCCCCTCAAAATGATAGTGTGTATTGTGTAAAAGGATATTTATTCCTCCTCAAGATTTCCAGTTGGCGTAATGTCTAAGGTAAAAACGTCCATTGGAAGACAGAACTTACTGCCCCGGATCAACGCTAATCATCTTAATAGCACGGATATCTTATAGCTTTGACAGATACTAGTTTTGCAGGACAGAATTAATGAAGAGAAGCAGTAGAAAGTGACAGTTTTCACAGTGATAAAGGGAGATATTCAGGGTTATACAATCGTCTTTTTGCCAGGTCTGCTAGTCACCCTTCATCTGTTTATACCACAGTTTTTTGTTTAATTAGATTTTATTGATTTTCCTTATGCTCATACAATTATATGTGTAGTTGCAAAACTCATTTGACAGACCTGTGAGGATCCAGGGGTAGAATAGGTCTTCAGCAATCCATGCTTGCCGTAAGAGGGGACTATGCTTGTCGTAAGAGGCGACTAATGGTATCGGGTGGTCAGGCTCGCTGACTTGGTTGATGCATGTCATCGTATCCCAATTGCGTGGATTGATGCTCATGATGTCGATCACTGGATAATCTGGTCCAGACTCAATTATTTACAGACCACTGTTATATAGCTGGAATATTGCTGAGTGTGGCGTTAAACAACAAACAAATAAACAAACAAACCTCGTTTGACATATCACTTATTGACAATGTCATATAAATTTTGTACTTGCAGATTTTGTCATACAAATTTTGTACATGCACATTTTTTGTCATATAAATTTTGTACATGCACATTTTTTGTCATATAAATTTTGTACATGCACATTTTTTGTCATATAAATTTTGTACATGCAAATTTTTTGTCATATAAATTTTGTACATGCACATTTTTTGTCATATAAATTTTGTACATGCACATTTTTGGTCATATATATTTTGTACATACACATTTTTTTCACACAATATGACGAAACTAAACATCTTGTATTTGTGTGCAACTGAATTGTTGATGACAACAACAACAACACTAAGAATAAGTATAAGAATAATATACTCATTAAAAAGTTAAATGACTAAAAATGTTTGTGGATAATTTATATAGTAATGCTAATTTGAAGTCTCAAGTCATGAAGTGATGAAATAACAAACTGACTTTTTTCAATATGTTCAAGGGTTGTTGTGATTTGGTGCTGCTCATCTTTCTACTGTAAAATTACCTTTTCTACCAGTCTGGGGAATTTGTAGGTGTACGCATCAGTTTATTGTTTTCATAAGTTTTATATGTTCAATTTGTTAAATTATTGCTAAACATTTAAAGAAATTGGAGTATATTGTCCTGACAAACATAGTAGTGAGTATAGTGAGTATATGGTCCCCATTGACTTAGTGAGTATATTGACCCCACTGACATGGTGAGTATATTGTCCCCTCTGACATAGTGAGTATATTGTCCCCACTGACATAGTGAGTATATTGTCCCCTCTGACATAGTGAGTATATTGTCCCAACAGACATGGTGAGTATATTGTCCCCACTGACATGGCGAGTATATTGTCCCCACTGACGTGGCGAGTATATTGTCCCCACTGACGTGGCGAGTATATTGTCCCCACTGACGTGGCGAGTATATTGTCCCCACTGACATTGTGAGTATATTGTCCCCAATGACATGGTGAGTATATTGTCCCCACTGACATAGTGAGTAAAATGTCCCCACTGACATTGTGAGTATATTGTCCCCACTGACATTGTGAGTATATTGTCCCAAATGACATAGTGAGTATATTGTCCCCACTGACATAGTGAGTAAAATGTCCCAACGGACATGGTGAGTATATTGTCCCCACTGACATAGTGAGTATATTGTCCCCACTGACATGGTGAGTATATTGTCCCCACTGACATAGTGAGTATATTGTCCCCACTGACATGGTGAGTATATTGTCCCCACTGACATAGTGAGTATATTGTCCCCACTGACATTGTGAGTAAAATGTCCCAACGGACATGGTGAGTATATTGTCCCCACTGATGTGGCGAGTATATTGTCCCCACTGACATTGTGAGTAAAATGTCCCAACGGACATGGTGAGTATAATGTCCCCACTGACATATTGAGTATATTGTCCCATCTGACATGGTGAGTATATTGTCCCCACTGACATGGTGAGTATATTGTCCCCAATGACATATATAGTGAGTATATTGTCCCCACTGACATATATAGTGAGTATATTGTCCCCACTGACATGGTGAGTATGTTGTCCCCACTGACATGGTGAGTATTTTGTCCTCACTGACATAGTGAATATATTGTCCCCAATGGTATGGTGAGTATATTGTCCCAATTGACATGGTGAGTATATTGCCCCCACTGGTATGGTGAGTATATTGTCCCCATTGACATGGTGAGTATATTGTCCTCACTGACATAGTGAGTATATTGTCCCCACTGACATGGTGAATATATTGTCCCCACTGACATAGTGAGTATATTGTCCCAACTGACATAATGTGTATATTGTCCCCACTGACATGGTGAGTATATTGTCCCAACGGACATGGTGAGTATATTGTCCCCACTGACATAGTGAGTATATTGTCCCCACTGACATGGTGAGTATATTGTCCTCACTGACATAGTGAGTATATTGTCCCCACTGACATGGTGAGTATATTGTCCTCACTGACATAGTGAGTATATTGTCCCCACTGATATGGTGAGTATATTGTCACCACTGACATAGTGAGTATATTGTCCCCACTGACATGGTGAGTATATTGTCCCCACTGAGGTAGAGAGTATATGATCTTGTCACCATGAGAACGAACACTCCACAGCTGCTGCCATCAGTCTGTGGGAATACTGGGCGCTGCACCAGCTTCCACGACCTGAGTTCTTCTTCTACCGCCTGACTCCGGTACTCCATATACTTCCTACGTGAAGAGCAAAAGTAAATGTTATCACTCACATTCAATATGCCTGTGAAATTATAATGAATGCAAGTACAATGTTCAAAATACTAGGGTACCAGACACTTCTCACTTTTATCATCCACATTCATTTTCTTGAAAATGTACCATGAATACAAGAATGACGTTTAAAAGAAGTTACATGTACCACACTTCTCATCTGAGTGACCATATCATCATTAGGAGACTGAAACTGTGCACAGTGTCTGACCAACAGGATTGTTATGAATGTGTCAACTTACATCCAGTGCTGAGTAACTTCCGTTTCTAGATCCTTTGAAGGCTTAGAATTAATGACACACACTGTTCTATCCAGTACATTGGCTACCAACAAGACCCAGTGACTGTTTATACAGATGGGCATCAGCACCAGGTCGCACTTCCTGAGCTGAATCTGTAACGCAGTTGTTTAAGTGTATGTGGAAAGAAAATAATAATGATGATGATCATTACAAGTGTGTCAGTTAAATGGGAGGGATAAAGGCTTAAAATGATAGAAGTCTCTGACATTTAACAGTTTCGTGACCTTTTCCTTTATGGAATTGAAGTGTAGTTGTATTTAACTGGGCATGAGATGGACTACCATAGTTGATGTTTCTTAGTACTTTTTAAGATATTCAGATTTCATATTCTTTTCACCCATCTTTGAGTCTCTATACCTTTTCCTGCAACCACTCAGAGTAGTGTTGCCTTTCCCAGAGTTTATAGTGGAAACATTCCATTATCCTGACATCCCGTGTCCTGGCATCACTGTGTTGCTTCTGGACGAGGTACAGATACGCATGGATGACCTGCAACACCAAACACAAGTCTTTGTGAAAAAAACTTAATTGAGTCCAAATATACAACATGCTGAACAACATAAACTGATACTGAAAAGTTGTTCATAGCAGAAATATACTCTCATGCACCAACTCATTCACATTGAAATAGTCTTAGGACTTCAAATGTGAACACTGCCAAAACACTACCATCATTAAAACCTAATATCGAGAGCTGTTCGTATAATCACGAGTGGGTTATAACTGTTTGTATTGCTAGGACACCCCAGGAAATGGATTTGTACAAGAAAACTGACTTCTTAAAATCCGCTGATAAGGCAGCTGATTCCAAGGTTTGCAATCTTCATTTCATCAAAACATTTCATCAAAACAGTCACTCTAACCACCCGCAAACGTGAATGATGAAACGTGAGATCCAGTACCTGTGTGATTATTTGTATCCACAGGCCATCATACTCACACTATCATCAAGCCAGGATGTGCCCTCTAATCTCAGGATGTCACGTCCAGAGATTGTGTAGTTACCAATCCGGTACCGAGCATCAGGATTAACGTCTGTAGCTCTCTTTTCAATCCATGTCCTAAGCAGATGACATGGATAAACCTTCAAGGTCTCCAGAAATGCTAAACAATCAGATTTGGTTTCATAGGCGCCAACAACAACTGCTGCCAGCGCTTCAATCAGTGAAACATTATTTAGGGTGTCTCTTCCTGGGGAATCTGATTTGAGTATTAACTGTCGTGCCCCTTGAAAGACTCTCGCCCACAGCCTGGATACTTGTGCAATGAGAGAAACAGCTGTTTCTGGTAGGGGTGTTTTGTCTTGTGAGGTTGACTTGCCAATGTATATTACAGGTAAAGTTTGAGAACATGCAGATTCTGAGCTTGACAAAGAGGTTAACTCCTTGTTTTCAAACTCCACTTCCGTCTTCAAGGTTTCTTTCATCAGTGCAATGACATCAGTCAGCTGCCCAGTGTTTTGAGTTTCAAAGAAGCACTCCATGGAGCCATGTGTGGTTTCAGCTACAGAACTGACTTTTAGTGGTTGAAGAGTATCACCGTTAGAACCACTGGCATGCACATCTACGTCCATCACACCTGTTTCAGCAATGTTATCAAGTGTTTGTCTTTCAACAGAATCTGTGACACCATCACATTCCACTGTACCGGATGAGGATACGCCGCCATCTTGAATGATCAGACAAATATTCTGTGGTGCTTCCATTTCAACCACATTACTAAGGTTTGGCACATCAATGTTTACATTATTCGCTGGTAAAACACAGTCAGCGTTTTCAATTTCCATCACCGAAGTTGTTGCTGGATCCTGAGACGACTGTTGAGTGCTGCCAGAGTACACATGGCCTGTGTTTGACTGTGCAGACTGCATAGAGCTACATGTTTGACTCTCAGTCCCTGAAACATTTCCCTCATTGATGCACATCCTATCATCACAACTATCCACTCTGTTAGGTTGCCCTGCCATGTTTTCTTGGTAAATTGTTTCACACAGTTCGGCAAGTTCATTTAATCTGGATTGTGGAGACATGACATCTGTTGCCGGAGGAATGTCACCTTCAGTGCCATGGTTTGAAGAAACTAGATGTTCCTGAGTGAGATTATTTGAAGCGGCAGTAGGGTTGTCTTGTTCCACCTCTTGACAAACTCTCTTCTTCTTCTTCTTTCTCCTTTTTTCCTTAACTTTCTTGGGTCTCCCCTTCTCCCGACACCTGGTGTTGCTGATCTGGGACAATGATCGAGGTGTCTTTACCTTAGAAACAGCAGACGTCTGTGCCTGATCTTGCAGGTGTTGTAGAATGTCTCTTGGTTTGATGGTGATGTCCTTTATAGCCTGGATGACCGAAGGACAGAGACGTGTATATAAATTGGAGGCATCCTTTGAATTACCATGAGGAAGATCCACAGCAACACTTTCATTTCCGAGATATTGAAACAGGACCAGGTTATTGTGGTCTCGCATCAAAACGTAAGCATGTTTCCTGAATCGTTTGTCCTTGCCTCGATTGGTTCTCAGTACGAAGAAGTTTTTGTAAAATTTAGGATCAGCTCTGGGTTGCTTACGTATGCCATCATGTTGAAAGTGATACTGATCACATCTCCAGTCATCTGGAAAGGAGAAAATAGATCATAAAAGTATGCCAAATGTGCAAATTAACACTTGCAACACTGTCATGAACCACAACCACTCTGTCTAATATTACATAATGTCAGGATGTGTGAAATACTGTGTTTTATTGGGGTACTTCAGTTATATCTTTTATGTCTGTCTATTGCTGGTGTGTCAAAAATCATAGCCACAGAGTCAAATCGTTAAAGGTACAGCTTCATATATCAAAGAAAAGGTAAATCCCAAACAACGTTTCATAAAAGTGAATGAAAGTAGAGAAGCAACTATCTATAAACCATGGCGTCACTGATGCAAATAGATACGTAAATATGCACGTTTTTAACAATTTGCAAAATAAACAGTGCACCAAAGACGTATATGTACGTCTTTGAGTACACCAACATATAGTTTTCTTGAAATAAATGTTGTTTAAAATATACAAAATTAAATGCTAAATGTTAGATTACTTATACGAAACAGTTCACATGCATGGTGACTGGCTTCCCTGACATGCCTCGAGAGTAAGGTGTGATTTTCGTACTTAGTGTGTGCACATTAAAATGTACACTAAAAACATCTTTATTTCTTGGACAAATCTAAAAAAACTGAGAAATACTTATCTAAGTAAAAGCTTAATTTCTCAATACAGATACAGTGAACAACCTTACAGGTAGATTTTTATTGCAGAAACAATGCGACGTTAATTTTAAGCAACATCACGTAAGGATTCGATAATGTGTGTGTGTGGGGGGGGTATAAGAAGTGAGAATCCTTGACAACTAATTTGAAAGTACTTCCGTGGTATCTGATTCGTTAAGCTTTATATATATATATATATATTGCGTTTATTGTTCCATAATCCGAAAAACATAGCCCCACGCCCACTAACAGCTTGACTGCTGTTTCCTGGTAAGCAGAAATTCCTGAAAGCAGAAACAGTAACATTTTGTACAGCCTTTTCACAATTGTCAGTAAAATGCACAAGCTTTGAAAACTTTTACCTGTATTTACTATAATGATGACTCCCAGAATACTATCCGACCTTGGCAATTCTATGTACAGTGGGGTTCAGTTTGGTATTCTCACAATGTTTACGTGGATTATCTGCACCTTTTCTCCCAATACTGATTGTCATAATCTCTCTCACTTTTGGGTGCGATCCGCCAGCTTTTGCGTTCATCTGCGTTGCCCAGCCACATCTTACCTGACACTTAATTCTCTCCAAAAAATAACGCCGTCCAATTTACGTCATCAAGTTGTGGTCGCATGTTCCAGAAATGATGTCATGATAGAACATTGTTTTATCGTGAAACGAACAACGCTTCGTTTATCTTTGTTCTTTGCAATTTATCGCATATATACGTATCTTAAATATCTCCATAGAGGTAAACATTATTGAAGTCAATGTTTAATTATATGCACCAACATGTTTGAAAGCGATTCAGTCACGGCAAGTTGTATTTTTACCTTTCCTGCTGTCATCCTTGTAGTGGAAAAGAAACACCTCCCCCGCCCTGGGCTTGACGGGAGGTTCTCGGATCACCCTCGACCAGTCGGGGTGGTGGAGTATGTCCAACACCTCGCGAGAGGTGAAGGACGTCACGCTGTTCTGGTATGGCATCGTGCCCCGGGTTCATAGTTTGTTCTGTTAAAAACACGAAAAAAAGGCAAAAAGGTATATTAAATTATCTTGAAAAACAAAAGTGGTATGGAGAAAATCGCTACACGGCCGACTCTTTCCAAGGTTTAGATTTCGGGTAAGAATGTAGGTCTCCAGCAACCAATGCTGGTCGCAACTTGCGACTAAATAAATGGAGAGGTCAGGTGACCTGTTTGATGGATGTCACAGTGCATTTCATGATGTCAAACGCCGGACTGTCTGGTCCACACAACCCAGAGTCCGATTTGAATATCGATATTGCGTTAAAGTAACAAATTAAAAAGCTCATACATTTGTAAGACAAACGATTCTTTGATGACATCACATACATCACGCGGAACTTCGACACAGAGTGTCGTGCGAAAAGCCGGTGGTTCGATGCCCGGCCACGTCACACCAAGAGACGTTGAAAGATGACACTTGTTATCCCAGCCTGGTGCTTAGCATTAAGGGATACAAGGACAGGTGGACTCAGAGTCAGTATACTGTGTCGGAGGAGGGTATCCATGTTAAAACTGCAGTATGTCCACACACACACACACACACACACACACACACAAACACACACACACATGAGCTCACACGTCGCTATAGAAGTGCACTCATCTTAAGTGCGATGTATAACCCCATTGAACCTCATCGTCTACTTGTCATATAAACAAATAATTGCTGTGAATGCCGCCAACAACGTCCTGGTTGTATAATTTTGGCCTGAAAATGGAATTGAAAGAAGTTAATATCCTGATCCTGCTGCTTCACCTTTCACGTGACTGGTGACCCGTGAAGATCCGGGGTAGAATAGGTCTTCAGCAACTCATGTTTGCCCTAAAAGGCGACTATGCTTGTCATCAGAGGCGACTAACGGGATCGGGTGGTCAGGCTCCCTAACTTGGTTGATGCATGTTATCGATCCTAATTGCCTGGATGGATGCTCATGATATCAATCACTGGATTGTCTGGTCCACTCTCGGTTATTCACAGATCATCGTCATGTAGCGGGAATACTGCTGAATGCGGCGTTAAACAACAAACCAATCAACCAAATCATGTGACTGGTAAACAAAAAACTGGGAAGGAACTAACGTCTAACTAATTGTTATGTTTGATCCATTTACATATTTTCCCCGGTCCCCCGTGGACAGTTCGACAATGGCATAGGTACCCTACTTCCTCGACACTCTTTACCCCAGGCGTTTAATCGATACCCAGCAGGGCTCCAGATAAAGATAAAAGGCCGTATCGGCGTATGTACGGATGAAAATATGCAAGATGCATAGAAAAATTATCAGATACGTATCACAACACACATGCATGCACAACGAAAAAAGTTTTATTTATTGTTTACTGACCTGTTTACACAAGAGTAGCAAATTCCCAGCATTTAATTGAGGAATTACGGCATCCACAAAATACCTACGCAAAACATCTGTGCCAAAGTATATCATAATCTGTTTGTTTGTTGTTTAACGCCGCACTCGGCGATCTGTAAATAACTGAGTCTGGGCCAAATAATCAAGTGATTGGCATCATGAGATCGATCTAAGCATTTAGGATAGGATGATATGCATGAAACCAAGGCAGCGAGCCTGATCATGACCAACCGATCCTGAAGTAATACCATGAGTTATGTTACATGGTAGAAGTTGCCATGTTGTTTACAGGAACACGAAATGAGATTGGCATGGTGATGTCAGCTGAGAAATAGAGAATCTCATCCGTATGTGTTTTTTTATTAAATAGATCAACACGAGTTGAGGCTTGCCGAGGATTTTTTTCACTTGTATCAACGGGTGTTGATCTATTTGATATCAAAAGACACAATATAGATATCGCTTGATCTCACCCAAGCGATATCCCCTGTGGGAGCCAGTTTTTTATGATAAATAGTGGTATAGAGTAATGAGAATGTATAACCGCATGGTCAAATTCATTGAGATTTGTTACATTTTACGGATTTCCATTAAATCTTTTATATTTATATTTATGTATTTGTTTATTTCTTTGTTTGTTTATTGTTGCCACAAATATCTTTCGTTATATATGTTACGGCGGCCTTAAATTAACGAGTCTTGGCCAGACAAACCTGTAGTTAATATTATAAGCAAAACCATACACCGCCGGGTTATATTATGACATATACAGTCAACCAAGTTTGTTTACCCGAACCATTTTAATTAAGTTAATGAATGCTTGAAATGGATACAGTTTCACAATGGACCTTACCTGTCACTGCAGTCTCTTTATCCACAGCGAAGAACACAACCAATAGCTAACAATACAAACAAGTCATGGAAATTCCATGTGCTAAAAATACCCATTGAACGCGCGCTTGGAAATTCCCATCTATAAATAGGACCCCGTCATGACTTTGTGCAGTTGCAAAATGGCAAAATGGCTATGCTTAAGATAAAGTAGATACGCATCGATAACCATTGAGTAAGTAGAGAAGTAGGACACCTGTTGCGTGACTTTGTCACTGTCTCTGTCAAAATAGTGTCAATAGACTCGATACGTGGAATATGGTCAAGGGCGTAATTCAGTAGAGCGATACTTAGACTACCGTTGACCTAACGCCCATACTGAAACATAAACTTTCGACAGTCGTGGCTCTAACGTCACTCTGTGGAAGGATACCAGGAGTCACATACCTTTACATCCTGGAGTAGTCCGGAGCTCACCTGCACAGGTGCGCAACAATCCACTTTGTGTGCTCGTTGCGAGCTTAACGCGTTTCTATAAGGCCACTGAAACGATCACGTGACTAGAGTCGCCAATCCATTTGCGTAGACTGCTCATTGATCTGATATGACGTAGGATTCGAACAAAAACATGCTGCACGTTGACACCAAATGAAATCATAGCTCCCGGTCCGTGCTTTGTAATCCGCAAATTGTAAAACTGAAATATCTCAATATCGCCTCCTAACTCGCATGACTTTTATAGAACGTGAATATAGCCGATTTTAGTGACTCGGACAACCACGGACACTTAATACAACTAGGACAACACATGCTATGGCATCGTTCGATGTCCAGTAGACAATGCGGTGTCTACATAATGACAACTGTCTTATGGCTATAGTATGGTGCATACTGGCACAAGGCTTGTTATCCCAGAATATATAAATAAATTCTTATTTGCACTTTATTGAAGTTTCTTGACTTTGGGTTTGTCCTGATATGCCAAGTATATTTGTCATGTACATATTATGTTTGATAGTTTCCTCAAGTGAGGATAATTCATTACTTTTATATTCACATTTTCTGCCACAGAGTATGTGAGCTGCATTTTAATCGCTTTGAGCAGCATTTCACCATACGTGTGTAGCGACCAGAACTGGGATACGACCAGAACTGGGATAAACACCGTAGAGAATTATATGCGGGTCTTTAAACGTTTTCCAGTTTGGTGATCCCATCAATCAAGGATCATCATCATTGCTAATTTGGGATTCGAACGCGGGATCTTTAGATGTCATGCATACGAAAACGCAACTCTGCACATCGAATTGAGGATCCTTAGGAACTTGACCGACCATGCCACTCGCCAATCCCAAGTATCAGAGTGTTACCTCCTGCAGATATATTGTAATGTTAAATAAATATACAGATTTCATTTCAATACATACCATACAAGTATTTGTCAAGTGTGTGTGTGTGTGTGTGTGTGTGTGTGTGTGTGTGTGTGACTCATACAACTATGACAACATATGTTATGGCATCGGTCGGTGTCCAAACAATAATGCGTTGTCTATACACCATGACAAATAACATGGTTCATACTGGTACAAGGCAATTTATCACATGCAGTCAATACACATGTGTCACAGTCTGTAATTAGTAAACTGAAATACAGATTCCGCAAAAAACACAAACCGTTTACGATCTTGCCCGATCAGGACGTAGATGTGCGTTGTATCTTTCAGCCAATCAAAACGCCAGGGCTACTGACCTAGGAGTTTCCCCGACAGAGCACTCGGTTTGACTTCATTTAGCTCACCTGCGTGCTCATAGGCAAAGAGTAACTCCAAGCTGGAGTTTTGACTATATTTCAGCCCGCCGTCAATTGTGCAGACGACTCCAGATTCACCCTAGAATTCCTTGATAGACGTGGTCGTGTTTGGAGACGAGCCAGTGGACATTACGCCAACGTTAATGTCCATCAGCACGACGTGTGGTGTGGTGGGTCAGTGACGTGTGGTGTGGTTGGTCAGTGATGTTAGGGTTGTCGTCACCATGGAGGACAGAACACAAATCCATGGGAGTGTTACAGAACAGTATTACCCTGACATCATACTGACACATATCGTGCTACTGTTTGCACCACGCGCTAGTCGACGTATTGCACACGGTAGTGGGATCGTCACTTCCTACTTGCATCAACAGGACAACACCACATTACCAGCACTGAAAGCCGACAGAGCACCAGTGGGACATCATCGCCATCAACATCCCAACCCCACTAGCTGAACCATAGGCCTTTCGCTTCGAAAATAAGCGGGCTATGATTCCCAAAGTCACGTCGCATTAACTGGGAACCAAAAAAAGCATTATCTGATCCGAGGGTATGAAGGTTTAAAATGATTGTTCAGGTTAACATTTGCAATTAAGTACACCACCCCGTAAGTAGTGATACAATTAAACAAATTATTATGGTTAAATTCAGGAGACACACACCATTCATGCATACATTTGTGGAGTCACTTTATGTCACGTGTAAACAGTTTCTGGCTATGTTTTGTCAGCATTTGTAAAGGTTTCGAGTAATACGGAAGTAAACCAACCAACTGGTCCTTGTTCGATCTGCCCTGTCACGTGTCTCAGGCTATGTCATCTGATATTATTCAACCACTAAACATGGAGCTCAACACATTTTCTCATCATGTTCAAACAAATAAATAAATGTGTATGTATAACCCTAGGTATGCTTCCATTTGCACTTTCGTCAAAGTACTGACGAAGATTACAAAGTTTACATGCAAGGATGTACTATCCTGACTTTCGACAATGATGTGACTATGTACACAGCAAATCTATTCCACGAAAGTAGAAAATTAACAATCGCTGATAAACTCCAAGTATTTACATGTATCCCCAGCAGCTGGGCAGAGAGTAAATGTTGAGAAAAGTGATCATGTACTCGTACATGTGCGAGGCCAATCCGTGGTTCAAATACACGCACCAAAAGTCAAGTAGATATGTGTGTCAATTATGCCTTTTTTCATACAAGCTTGAAACTTGGAACAAAGGTCGCTCTTGGTGCGCTTGGTTAAAAGAACGTTTCATGGGTGGAGTCACTTCAATTTCGCTTTCTGTCGGTGATGGTTACCGAGGCGATCATTCTGGTTGACAAACAGGATCAAGAGGGTCAACAGGTATGGCTTATAAAGAACTTCCTGATAAAAGCTGAGTTACATTTCACGGATATAGAATTTCCGCGAAGTAAAGTAAGAATGCACCGTGTTCATGATACGTAACTAAGGCATATACCACAGGGGAGTGTGTGTTGAGGGGGCGGGGGTACACGCACAATTGTGTCTGTAAGCGTACCAGTAGCCTATGACCGTAGTTCGATTCCCAGAATTACACAGACATTACAGATGTTGTGTCTTGGTTTGCCAGCAACAGAACCATCGGTGGTCCGTACTGTTATAAATATGACGTAAAGAAGCATCTGTTTCATCAATTTCCATTTAGCGAATATTGGAGAAATATAGTTTGAGTGGCTGGTGTTTTAATCCGCAATTTGTCATTTCAATTTAGAATTAAGTTAATCTAGCATAACGTCGATAATATCTCAATTTGTCAATATTCAATGTCAGAATGTTATCTGTTTCTAATAAGGGAAACGTTCATATTCAACACATCATTATGATCCAGATCCTCAATTATCCAGTGTATCATACATCATTTCTATGATTATATATATCCTAGACCTAATACTTTACACAGAATTTCTCTCGCTGATAAGCTCGAGTTGTGAAAGATGTGCAGTGGAAATCACATTCGCCATCTCCAGCTGCATTTTACATTTCACGGATCATTCTTTCCAATCAGTAATAGAAATTCAAACAATCGTCATATAGTAATAGTTTAAGGTTTTATTACGATTACAGCCTCATAACATACTCAATGTTTACACAGTATAGCAGAAATAAAGGGTTCTATATCCAAGCAGGGGTACATCAACATTGTTACAATAATGAAATCAAGTGAGGTATCTTTCTCACCAAAGTACCGCACACATGAGCAATCAATCGTTAAAGTATGTAACATATCTCAGGGAGCTGCATGTCCCACATAGGGGTACATAGTCTCGTTGTCTTGGGTAATGTTACATTTCACGGATCATCCTGTATATATTAGTCAGTGTCTATAATCATGCAATATGTATATGACCATTGGCGCTTGAGCTCAGTGATAACAGTTGAAGTCATTTCACTACCATTATCACTGCAAAATCCGAGGTGGACCATGCAATAATAAACTGCCCATCAGCCCTCCCCCCGCAGCACCTTCAGATGTCAGTGGACGCAATACACAATACTTCGTGAGATCGTCCTGATACACCACTATCCACTTGTACGAGCCCTTAACCATTGGCTACATGTCGACCAGGTCGATCTGGCCCGGAGATGACATCAGATTGCTTCCAATATATTGTGTAAACTGCTTACTCAAATCGTATGATCATAATAGATCCAAATTAAAATGATATTAAATTAATATGTATACTGACTGAATATTTTCAGCCAATATCGATATTGCCTTGTTTATAGACGAGGCAGGTCCACCATGCAGACAGGCATGCTGTGGGGCAGGGCTTGCTCCAGTAATTCATTCACCCTCTCCAACTGTACATTTCACGGATCATTCTTTCCAGAACAGTAATAGAAAACTCAAGATAATCTGCATATTGTAATCTTTTTAACGTTTTATTAAGATTAACGTTTCATAATATATCCAATGTTGTCACAGTATAGGAGAAATAAAGAGTTCATAATCCACGCAGGGGTACATGAACATTGTTTACAATGACAAAAATATTCAAGTGAGTTATCATTATAACAAAACTGCTGCACACATGTAGTCCATGTTAAGGAAACATTCGTTAATGCAGGGACACTATACTAAGATATATACAGACTCCCTGGTTAAAATATGTAATATATCTCGGGGAGCTGAAGTTTCTTTCTGCCACATGAGTATATGGTGTCAGTCTTTGGTAGTGTTACATTTCACGGATCACACTGTACACACGAGGCATGTCTACCGTGCAGACAGACATGCTGTCGGACAGAACTTGAACCAGTACTTCAACAGTTGCTTGTCTCCCCTTCAGTTGTCTCCACGTGTTTAACATGACGAATATCTGCATCTGAGGTGATGACTGTGACAGCGTGCATCTCTTCACACTGACATACGGAAGGCCCAGTCTCAGTCCCAGGACCTGGAAACCCCCACCAATGTGTTGGGACACCTGCATTAGTGCCCTCTCGGACACACAGGACCTTCTTTCATCTTCTGTCAGGCGGTCCTCGTCCTCCAGGTCCTCGTCTGGCGGCACCAGCTGGCGACAGTGGGAGAAACAGTGAGTTCAGCATGTGACATGAGTAGATAGAATATCAGTAGTTTTATTTGCGCCAAAAGTAACTTTCAACTTCTATGGGGAATAAATAAGTGTATTGTCAGATCAATATGTATCGATACACAAAGTGACATTGGTAAAGGTGATGCGTCAGTAGGGATTGGGAAGAAAAGGGTATTTAAAAAATGAAGTTATAAATGATATAGATTCATTCCTTGAAATATTTATCATGCTTGGCCTTCGATGGTTATATACATTCAAATTCCAAACATAGATGAAATGTGATTGAAAACTGTTTATTTCAGGGCTACTTATTATCACTTGATAAATGGATCAACTCATCTTGGGGGAGCTGTTTTGGGATAGGAATTACGACGGACGAAACAAAGTAAATTAACCACAGATCAGAAACTGAGGACATATAGCGGCAGGTGGAGTGACCTACCTGATATCCTGACCAGACACAGCAACACAGGTTTATCGTGTTGAGGCATATTCTTCTGAAGGTTGACAACCTGTTACATCTTCTGCCTGCCATGAGTATAGGACTCCGGGAGCGTTCTCTCCGACCGACTGCAGATCAACTGACAGGCCCTCTAATATCTTTACGTCATATAAGGTAAATCGCAATACCTGAATCGACGGATCTATTGGTTTGACAATGTGTACATGTACATATAAAACTGGAAAAGTTAAACAGGTTAACTTTGTACTGTTATTTATAAGTGATCCGTTAAATGGTCAGTAAGCAGATCAACCTATAGAGACACAGTTGGTATCACTTTTATACACAGAGTGCGTACGTTTTCATTTTATACTTCGGTAATGTAACAGTTCACGGATTACCCTGTATACGGGCGGTATGTTTACCGTGCACAAAGGCATGCTGCCATTCTTTCAAAAACAGTTATAAAAAAATCACAAGAAAGTAGTATTGTTGTACTTTGAGGTTTTATTAGGATTACAGCTTCATAAAATATCCCATGTTTACACAGCAGAGAGGAAATAAAGGGTTCAAAATCCAAGGAGCATTATTACAATAATGAAATCATCAGGCGAGTTATCGTTTTATCAAAAGAGCTGCACACATGAAGCCATGTCAAAGAAACATTCTTGAAAGCATTTAAATATCACAGGCAGCTGAAGTTTCTTTCTGCCACATGAGTATATGGTGTCAGTCTTAGGTAGTGTTACATTTCACGGATCACCCTGTACACACGAGGCATGTCTACCGTGCAGACAGACATGCTGTCGGACAAAGCTTGAACCAGTACTTCAACAGTTGCTTGTCTCCCCTTCAGTTGTCTCCACGTGTTTAACATGACGAATATCTGCATCTGAGGTGATGACTGTGACAGCGTGCATCTCTCCACACTGACATACGGAAGGCCAAGTCTCAGTCCCAGGACCTGGAAACCCCCACCAATGTGTTGGGACACCTGCATTAGTGCCCTCTCGGACACACAGGACCTTCTTTCATCTTCTGTCAGGAGGTCCTCGTCTGGCGGCACCAGCTGGCGACAGTGGGAGAAACAGCGAGTTCAGCATGTGACATGAGTAGATAGAATATCAGTCTAGTTTAATGTGTGCCAAAAGTAACGTTCAACTTCTAATGGGAATAAATAAATGTATTTTCATATCAATATGTATCGATATGCGTCTGTAGGGATTGGGAAGAAAATGTATTAAAAAATGAAGCCATAAATAAATAGATTCATTCCTTGAAATATTTATCATGCTTGGCCTTCGATGGGTATAGACATGTACATTCAAATTCCAAACACAAATAATTTGTGATTGAAAACTATTTATTTCAGGGCTACTCATTATCACTTGATAATGCTGATTTCGGATAGGAATTACGACGGACGAAACAAAGTAAATTAACCGCAGAAAATAAGAATGTTAACGGGATGGAAGTTATGACGGACGGAATAAACTAGATTAACAAAAGAAATTGAGGATGTATAGCGGCAGGTGGAGTGACCTACCTGATATCCTGACCAGACACAGCAGCACAGGTTCTTCATGTTGAGACCTACTCTTCTGAAGGACGGCGGCCTGTTACATCTCCCTGCCATGTGTACAGCGACTGCCAGAGCGTTCTCTCCCCTACTGCAGATCAACTGACAGGCTCGCTAATGTCTTTACGTTTTATCGGAAATTCTGATTCGGCGGATCTATTTTTATCACAATATCTACACATAAAATTGGAAGACTTAAACACGTAAACTTTGCATTGTTATTTATAACTGATCCGTGTAATGAAACAAGCGTGATATACTATTGTGTCATGCGTTACCCGTTTGCCCAATATTGATTAATACAATTTGCGGATCCTAGGAGTGCAGTGACAGAATGTCTTCATGCTGTATGAACATGCACTGCCCATCCTAAATCACGCCTAAAACACCCAAGACTAAAAAGACAACTATTATTGTATCTGTTACACACTGTGTTATGATTGTTTTAACGTAATTTAATATCAAAACCCTTCAAAGGCTTTCAATTCCGTGAATTGTAAATGTGGCATCATGTTTTATGTCACCATCGGAAGCGACAGGAAACGAGTACATTATGACAGACACAATAGATACGCGGAATAATAAAACTGCTAGGGTCAGATCACCAGTTTACTCATTTTTATGCACTTCCTGGTTGGTCACATGAGGGAGATAACTGTGAACAACACTTCGTGAATTTCAAGTTTATCAACACTATTACTGTTAAATATTGTGCAGTTGAAATCAAATATCTAAAATATAAGGCGATGATGCTGAATACAGTGTGTGTGTGCGCGCGCGCGCGTGTGTGTGTGAGAGAGAGAGAGAGACTGTGTGTGTGTGCGCGCGCGAGAGAGAGAGAGAGACTGTGTGTGTGTGTGTGTGTGTGCGTGCGTGCGTGCGTGCGTGTATTATTCAGGTATGTGTGTTTCCTTACTATCGGAGTCCGAACTAACGGGGTTTAGCAGTGACAGTCTCTCTATGGTAGTCTACTCTTGTTTCCCCGCGTATTATATAGACCCCCATATCATTGATAACCTTATAATAAGTTCATCACTCGTTGATAAAAGTGGAAAAACTCCTCGGCAGCCCTCAGACTTTTTCCACTTTTATCAACTCGTGTTGATAGATTTTATATGAAAAGACACTCGGATGAGAATCTGTATGTACATAAAACTGAATATTTTATAAATACTAGTATAAGTATCTTATAGTCCTATCCACAGGACCATGTAGATCTAACTATAATAATAATGAACAAACTCACACAAAAATTCGTGGACGAGGTCTGGTCTGCGAGTCTGTTTGTTATTATTATTAGTTGCATGGTCCTGTGGCCTATCGTATTTATTCAGTACATGTAGATCTATGTCAGAGTACCGGGGATGGGGATGTTCTTACCATTTAAATGATAGCTTTTCCTTCAGGTGCTCAAAAAGTGATATTGAAACAATAGTCGTTATCATACAAATGCAAAGTACACACGTTTTATATCTTCATGGAAATTAAGAGTGTTTACTGTAATCAAACAGTAGATGTCTGGCATAAACAGGCTAGACGCCTGGGCGTATAAGCCTAAGGCGTCTCTGAAATACTAGTAAATAGACGTCCAGGCGTCTATATTCCGTAATTTGCGGTACCCCGAGGAACCGGTTGACAAAATATTTATCTTACCGGCATAAATTTCGTTCATAGAAAACGATTTCATTCTATGGGCCGGGGATCGAACAGTTTCACGGACATCCTGACAGCTAGCAGACGACATAGCATGACTGGTACCCTGCCCTTCGCCTTCTAGCAGCTGTGGTGCGACGAGGAGCGCAAGCGCTCTAAGACAGAAAAACCAGACATAACCACATCCACAGTGATCTCCCTTGCATTACCATCGGAAATGCTCGGTTAAGTTCGCTAAACCGTATTTATATGCGTCTTGTTTCGATGACACATTAGAAATTCGGCATTTCCAAGAGGGGTATGTGAAATTTGTACCAATCATCCGTCAGCGAAGCACAAGGTAGAAAATTCAGTAGAGACTATTTTCATGCACGGGAAGGTAAATATTTTCAACAGCTATAAAGTCTAACTATACATACGACACACTATATTTTGTGTCGGGATGTGAAGTGCTTATGCCCCCATTTCTCTACGACCACGAATATGCCGAATCACCCCGAATTGTAAATTTTTCATTTTCGTAGATAAATCTCAGTCATTTCTTGAAGTTCTTAAATGAATCTTATTTGATTCACAAACATTCGTACAGTTCGCGGGAGTTCGTCGAATCGGCGAGAAAGTTTTTGTTTGTCAAAAACTTTCGTGGAAGGGTCCCCGAATTGCAAATTCGTGGCTGTATCGTAATCCTTTCGTAATTAATTGTTATGTTCCGTACAGCTTCGTAATCGATTCTTTTGCATTCTTGACTATTCTTAGCGATTCGTGGGTCACAAAATTTCTTGTCCTCAACCCGAAAACATCCCGAAACAGCCACGGATGTCCCGAGTCAACTACGAATCATGTAAGAATTAAGTATGAACAACAAAATTCCCCAAGGACCAGGACCAGAGCAACACGTGCTCTCCGTTGAACCCCCATGGTGGAAATGATTGTTGACCGGTACTTATCAGGAAAAGTACCGATTTTCGCAAACTACTCGTAAATATGTCGTATTAGTCGCATCTTATTCGTTGCGATCGTCCAGCATTCGTACATGCATACGGCATATTCGTAAGTCGTAGGTGATTCTTACAATTTGTGCATGATCCATACGTGAATCTTGTAATTCGTACATGTTTCTTAACCCATTCCTGGCATTCTTCATATTTTTTCAACCTAATTAGCCACGAGTACTCGTAACTCCGTCGTACCTGTGCCGTAACTGCTTCGTACCTCCTACCTATTCTCACGAAAGTTTGCATATTTGGCCAAATTCTTACGATTCGGGGTAATTCGGGATATTCGTGGTCGTAGTGAAAGCGGGGCATTAGGCTGCTAACCTCCTTTCGGAACGTGGGATTCAGGGTCAGTTTAGAGACTCAGTGTATTAGGAATTCATAGTGTGGCACACGGTACGCAAATTAAATAAAATTTGGTACGCAGTTTCAAAATTTAAAAGAAAAATAATTCCCTTCATATTTTGTATTTTATCGATAGTTTGTCAGCAATTTAAATCGCACCCTTTTCTAAATGATTCTCAGATTTGTGTAAAGTAGTATTCGGGATTCAAGGGATGGGTGTTGACATCACCAGGGCTGGAATCTTTTTTTTAAAAAGTGTGTTTTATAAATTCAGATTTTTCACACACACATTTTAAGTATTCCCTTAATGTCCTGAATGGTTTGTTTTGTTGCCCTTAAAATATTTCATTGGAAAGAAAAACGTGTTTGTATTGATAAACGTAGTTCAAAAATAAAATATTCACTATTAAGTTAGTGAACAATCCCAGCACCCCTTCCGATTGATTAATGTACACAAGACTTATTTATTCGCGTATAATAAGCACTCGTTATATGCACACTTAATTATGGGCAATTAAATTCGGGAAAAATATATCTGTCGTACATAAACATTTCAGGCTGTCAGCATAAACCACGAAATTCATCTTTCAACTCAACTTTTTTTACACCAAAATAATATTCTAATTTTGAGAGCGCCCTGTGCGCTTTTTACGTCGAATGCGGTAATTAAGTCTACGCTAATGTTTTTGCATTTATTATTAACTCTAACGTTAATTTCGAGATTGACAGTACATACCATTTAAAAGAATTTAAAGAACCCCCGATTCCTTCATATGACTATGGTTAGTCATTAGAGGAAGCGATAGAGCGATAGAGCGAGAAAGCGATAGAGCGATAAAGCGAGAAAGCGATAGAGCGAGAAAGCGAGAAAGCGATGTCCCCTCTCGGCCACCATAGTTTAGCGATGAATCACGATTTCGTCTTCACCGGCGAAATGGAAGACAACGCGTTTATCGCCCGCCGGATCGCATTCGAGAGAATCGGGACGCTGTCGGGACAGATTTGGTCGGTTTTTAGCATGCGTAAGATACAAATAGGATCACATTCGGATTGAGAATCGGGACGAATTCGGCTGGAAACGGCTGAATCGGGACGCTTCCTGAACAATATCTGATTGTTTGTGAATTTCCCGCCACGAATCACAGGATCTTGATAAAACCTTTAACAAATTTTAATCAGGAATGGTCCTACCAAGGACGGCAGTAAAAATCCTGAATCTGTGACTGAGCCCTAACTGAATGATTTGTGAAAACGACATAAATAATAAACTTGCCCAATAAACCCGTGACAACGTTTATGACTTTGCAAGTGAAAACTGCTTTTCGGTTTCCCAAGAAAGCGAATCTTCGATATTAACTCAATCAACATCTTTGTGACATTTTATCAGTGTAAAAGTACATGTACACTTTGTTTACATGCAGCAACATGGCATACGTTTCATAATCCCCGAAAATTTATTATTCTTGTTTTTAAAATATATGTTGATTAAAAAGATGCATGTGCAAGGTGAAAACAACCGCATTCATTATGTTACTTTAATATTTCACGACCTTCATACATGCATGTACTACAAGTCACTTTCTTCAAGAAACAAGAACATTAAACATTCATTGATGACTATTCATTGCGTTCTCATTGCCTGTCCCCGAGGCGAGGTGGAGTCATTGTTAAACGTGTACTTGATAACTGTGATAATTAATTTTTTCTCAGAATAAATAGACTTAGGTCTTGACTGATAATTACTTTCTGATAGCCAAAGATTTGGCAAAGGATTCCAGGTGAGATGGAAATTGTGTTAATTTTATATGTATGAATCTTTTTCAGTGTCGTTTGGAACTTGTTTATTTATTTTACAAAACCATTTCAAATAGCTCACCCATGACCTAATAATGCCTACGGTTATGGCTACAGGAGATGGTTTCATACACGGTCATTTTTAAATCAAGACTCAGAGGAACCTGTTCTGTTGAATGCTGACCAGGTCGTCGCATTTTTAAGGTAAGGTGAGGTTTGTTGACATCGGTTTGTGTAACGCCTCGCTGGGCAATATTCAAGCTATATGACGTCGGCTTGTGTAACGCTTCGCTTGGCAATATTCAAGCTATATGACGTCGGCTTGTGTAACGCCTCGCTTGGCAATTTCCAGCTATATGACGTCGGCTTGTGTAACGCTTCGCCTGGCAATATTCCAGCTATGTGACGTCGGCTTGTGTAACGTCTCACTAGGCAATATTCCAGCTATGTGACGTCGGTTTGTGTAACGATTCGCTTGGCAATTTCAAGCTATATGACGTCGGCTTGTGTAACGCTTCGCTTGGCCATTTCCAGCTATATGACGTCGGCTTGTGTAACGCTTCGCCTGGCAATATTCCAGCTATGTGACGTCGGCTTGTGTAACGTCTCACTAGACAATATTCAAGCTATGTGACGTCGGTTTGTGTAACGCCTCGCTGGGCAATATTCCAGCTATATGACGTCGGCTTGTGTAACGCCTCGCTTGGCAATATTCCAGCTATATGACGTCGGCTTGTGTAACGTCTCGCTTGGCAATATTCCAGCTATATGACGTCGGCTTGTGTAACGTCTCGCTGGGCAATATTCCAGCTATATGACGTCGGCTTGTTTAACGTCTCACTAGGCAATATTCCAGCTACATGCCATCGGCTTGTGTAACGTCTCACTAGGCAATATTCCAGCTATGTGACGTCGGTTTGTGTAACGATTCGCTTGGCAATTTCCAGCTATATGACGTCGGCTTGTGTAACGCTTCGCTTGGCCATTTCCAGCTATATGACGTCGGCTTGTGTAACGCTTCGCCTGGCAATATTCCAGCTATGTGACGTCGGCTTGTGTAACGTCTCACTAGACAATATTCAAGCTATGTGACGTCGGTTTGTGTAACGCCTCGCTGGGCAATATTCCAGCTATATGACGTCGGCTTGTGTAACGCCTCGCTTGGCAATATTCAAGCTATATGACGTCGGCTTGTGTAACGTCTCGCTTGGCAATATTCCAGCTATATGACGTCGGCTTGTGTAACGTCTCGCTGGGCAATATTCCAGCTATATGACGTCGGCTTGTTTAACGTCTCACTAGGCAATATTCCAGCTATATGACGTCGGCTTGTGTAACGTCTCGCTGGGCAATATTCCAGCTATATGACGTCGGTTTGTTTAACGTCTCACTAGGCAATATTCCAGCTATATGACGCCGGTTTGATTAACGTCTCAAGAGGCAATATTCCAGCTATATGACGTCGGCTTGTGTAACTTCTCACTAGGCAATATTCAAGCTATATGACGTCGGCTTGTGTAACGTCTCACTTGGCAATATTCCAGCTATATTACGTCGGTTTGTTTAACGTCTCACTAGGTAATATTTCAGCCATATGCCATTGGCTTGTGTAACGTCTCACTTGGCAATATCCCAGCTATATGACGTCGGTTTGATTAACGTCTCAATAGGCAATATCCCAGCTATATGACGTCAGCTTGTGTAACACCTCGCTGGGCAATATTCAAGCTATATGACGTCGGCTTGTGTGACGTCTCACTAGGCAATATTCCAGCTATATGACGTCGGCTTGTGTAACGCCTTGCTGGGCAATATTCAAGCTATATGACGTCGGCTTGTTTAACGTCTCACTAGGCAATATCCCAGCTATATGACGTCAGCTTGTGTAACGCCTCGCTGGGCAATATTCTAGCTATATGACGTCGGCTTGTGTAACGTCTCACTTGGCAATATCCCAGCTATATGACGTCGGTTTGTTAACGTCTCACTAGCTAATATTCCCCTCTCGGCAATGTTCCAGCTCGAGTTCGGAAAGACAAACCGGTGACTACTATTATGTGCAGCGTCCTTCTCGCAATGAACCAAGTCAGCGAACCTGGCAACACCGTCCGCCTCAGACGAGAAGTTTCTGAATGTCAGAGCAACACTGACAGTCCTTGTTTCTGATTGTCAGAGCAGTACTGACAGTACTTGTTTCTAATCGTCTGTGCAGTACTGACAGTATGTGTTTCTGATCACCAGAGCAACACGGACAGTACTTGTATCTGAATGTCAGAGCAACACTGACAGTTCTTGTTTCTGAATGTCAGAGCAACACAAACATTACTTGTTTCTGATTGTCAGAGCAGTACTGACAGTACTTGTTTCTGATCACCAGAGCAACACTGACAGTACTTGTTTCTGATCGCCAGAGCAACACGGACAGTACTTGTTTCTGATCGTCAGAGCAACACTGACAGTTCTTGTTTCTGATTGTCAGAGCAGTACTGGCAGTACTTGTTTCTGATCGTCAGAGCAACACTGACAGTACTTGTTTCTGATTGTCAGAGCAGTACTGGCAGTACTTGTTTCTGATCGCCAGAGTTACACGGACAGTACTTGTTTCTGATTGTCAGAGCAGTACTGACAGTATTTGTTTCTAATCGTCTGTGCAGTACTGACAGTATGTGTTTCTGATCACAAGAGCAACACGGACAGTACTTGTATCTGAATGTCAGAGCAACACTGACAGTTCTTGTTTCTGAATGTCAGAGCAACACAAACATTACTTGTTTTTGATTGTCAGAGCAGTACTGACAGTACTTGTTTCTGATCACCAGAGCAACACTGACAGTACTTGTTTCTGATCGCCAGAGCAACACGGACAGTACTTGTTTCTGATTGTCAGAGCAGTACTGGCAGTACTTGTTTCTGATCGCCAGAGCAACACTGACAGTTCTTGTTTCTGATCGTCAGAGCAACACGGACAGTACTTGTTTCTGATTGTCAGAGCAGTACTGACAGTACTTGTTTCTGATCGCCAAAGCAAAACTGACAGTACTTGTTTCTGAATGCCAGAGCAACACGGACAGTTCTTGTTTCTGATCGTAAGAGCAACGCGGACAGTACTTGTTTCTGATTGCCAGAGCAGTACTGACAGTATTCATTTCTGATCGTCAGAGCAACACTGACAGTTCTTGTTTCTGATTGCCAGAGCAGTACTGACAGTACTTGTTTCTGATCACCAGAGCAGTACTGACAGTACTTGTTTCTGAATGTCAGAGCAACTCTGACAGTACTTGTTTCTGATCGCCAGAGCAACACGGACAGTACTTGTTTCTGATTGCCAGAGCAGTACTGACAGTATTCGTTTCTGATCGTCAGAGCAACACTGACAGTTCTTGTTTCTGATTGTCAGAGCAGTACTGACAGTACTTGTTTCTGATCACCAGAGCAGTACTGACAGTACTTGTTTCTGAATGTCAGAGCAACTCTGACAGTACTTGTTTCTGATCACAAGAGCAACACGGACAGTACTTGTTTCTGATTGTCAGAGCAGTACCGGCAGTACTTGTTTCTGATCGTCAGAGCAGTACCGACAGTACTTGTTTCTGATCGTCAGAGCAGTACCGACAGTACTTGTTTCTGAATGTCAGAGCAACTCTGACAGTACTTGTTTCTGATCGCCAGAGCAACACGGACAGTTCTTGTTTCTGATTGTCAGAGCAGTACCGACAGTACTTGTTTCTGATCACCAGATCAGCACTGACAGTATTCGTTTCTGATCGTCAGACCACAATGCGACTACAACGCAATGACTACAACATCGTTGCATGTTATAGATTTCTTTTTAGAACAAAGTTCGGACATTTATCCTGTATTTAGGTCGCAAATTGTTTTCCGTCTTTCGTTGTCAGACTCTCAGTCATGTTTTTGTTGTTGATGTAGACGTAAGTTCCATCGAGTGTCACAATGATGTGATCCCAACATAATGCATCAACGTAGCAACAGAATGCACATCTTAACACTGCAGTGGTTGGCTCGTCCCTCATTCGACTCAAAGGTGATCTTCTGATTTTAACAACCGGGATCTATTATATCTGATTTCAAAACATCCATGCTTGCCGTAAAAGACGACTATGCTTGTTGTAAGTGTAGTGCTGAATGCGGCGTAAAACAACAAACAAACAAACCAATCTTCTCTTCAAGGTATTTTTTGTGTGTATGAGCCCACTGTGTTTGGTATCGTTTTTTAGCATTTCATATTTTCTCTTTTACTTCAAGTTGTATGTGTCTACTGAAATATCTTACAGGGGTACAGAGGGATGCACGGATGCATTGGGTACGACTGGATATGTACCTGCCCTTATCTGTAATGCAAACAAGGAATAAAGTTCAAACTTGCGTAACGCTGCAATAAGCAATATTCCAGCTTGATCATGGATGTCTTGAGTGTGTTTGTTGTTGTACGCCGTAATCAGCGGTCCAACTATATGACGGCGGTCTGAAAATAATCGAGTCTGGACCAGACAATCAAGTGATTGACATCAGGAGCATCGATCTTCGAAATTGGAATACGATGACCAAGTCCTGACCACCCGATCCCGTTAGTTGCCTCTTACGACAAGCATAATCGCCTTTTACGGCAAGCATGGGTTGCTGAAGACGTTTCCTACCCCGGATCTTCACGGACCTTAGAGAGATGGAATAATACGCATCAGTCAAAAACGCGTGTGTCCTCCATTGGCACGAAAACATGCTATAACTCAACGTCAGAATTCCGATGAAGGCTGTTGGAATCCAGCATCAGTCAGCAACCTTGTGGTGTAGGTGGGGGAACTGGTACAGAGCTGCAACAGATGCTCCATTTTGACATATCTGAGATCTTGGCGGTCAGGGCAAGACGTTGATTGTTGCTGGTCGTTACCCTCACTGTGTGCATTCTGTGGTGGCAACTGTGTGCGGTCTGTGGTGGCAACTGTGTGCGGTCTGTGGTGGCAACTGTGTGCGGTCTGTGGTGGCAACTGTGTGCGGTCTGTGATGGCAACTGTGTGCGGTCTGTGATGGCAACTGTGTGTTGTATGTGTGCGGTCTGTGGTGGCAACTGTGTGCGGTCTGTGGTGGCAACAGTGTGCGGTCTGTGGTGGCAACAGTGTGCGGTCTGTGGTGGCAACAGTGTGCGGTCTGTGGTGGCAACTGTGTGCGGTCTGTGATGGCAACTGTGTGCGGCCTGTGGTGGCAACAGTGTGCGGTCTGTGGTGGCAACTGTGTGCCGTGTGTGGTGGCAACAGTGTGCGGTCTGTGGTGGCAACTGTGTGCGGTCTGTGGTGGCAACTGTGTGCGGTCTGTGGTGGCAACTGTGTGTGGTATGTGTGCGGTTTGTGTTGGCAACTGTGTGTGGTCTGTGGTGGCAACTGTGTGCGGTCTGTGATGGCAACTGTGTGCGGTCTGTGCTGGCAACTGTGTGCGGTCTGTGGTAGCAACTGTGTGCGGTCTGTGGTGGCAACTGTGTGCGGTCTGTGGTGGCAAATGTGTGCGGTCTGTGGTGGCAACTGTGTGCGGTCTGTGGTGGCAACCCCGTGCGGTCTGTGGTGGCAACCGTGTGCGGTCTGTGGTGGCAACTGTGTGCGGTCTGTGGTGGCAACAGTGCGCGATCTGTGGTGGCAACTGTGTGCGGTCTGTGGTGGCAAGTGTGTGGTCTGTGGTGGCAACAGTGTGTGGTCTGTGGTGGCAACTGTGCGCGGTCAATGTCACAGCGATTTAGTCCCGTTTACCGATTAGAGATGGCTCTGCATGTGAATTACATTTTTTATCATTTAAAGCAATTTCTTACATATTTTCACAAACGGTCATGTAGGCCGCGTTTGGTTGAAACATATCAAACTGTACTTTAATATTATGCAGCAGTTGGTTGAAAGTTTGGACATTCTAAAAAATTGGCATCGTTTCTTTTGCCCGTTAGTTTATTAAGAAAACAGTTACTGTATTTCAGTCTTTGTTTTGTTTATCGTTTCTTTTGTTTGTTTTTTTCTTTCTTTTTGTTGTTTTTTGTTGTTGTTGTTTTTTCATTAAACGTCACGCTCAGAAATATCCCAGCTATATGGCGGTGGTCTGTAAATAATCGAGTCTGGGCTTGACACCATGAGCATCGATCCACGCAATTGGGATACGATGACATGCATCAGCCAAGTCAGCGAGCCTGGCCGGCCGATCCCATTTGTCGCCTTTTACGGAAAGCAATGAGTTGTTGGAGACCTCTTTAACCCTGGGTCGTATTGTTTATCGAAAGCACCATAAATACCTATTAACATACGGCTTGTACCGTGTGTTTCGCAGCATTAGTGTTTAGTTCATATGAGTAATCTGACATGATGACGTATCCAAACATCCCATTGTGACGTTTCACTTTTGAACAGTGACCTCCAGCCTGCTGACAGGGAAGTTTTAATTTCAGAGCGTGGCTTTTTCGTCAAGACGTGGAAGAAGGTAGTCACCGGTTCCACAATGCCAAGGCACACCCCATCGTTTCTGCTCCTTATTAACACAATGGCCAGACTGATTTACACGTCAAGCAGCCAGACGGTCATCACTGAGTACGCTATGCGCCAGAACAGCTTCAGCGACAGGCTGCTGTCCCGGTTCCTCATCTCAAGCTCCACTCAAGGAAGCAAAGTGATGTGCCTACTGCATTGTTTCCGGGATGAGCGCTGCGTCAGCTTCACCTTCAAGAAGGCGAACAGCGGATGTCGTCTCCACGGGGTATGTTTCTCCAAGCCCAGTGATGCGCCATTATCGCCTGGAACAGAACTGTTCTACCTTTCCAGGGGTGAGTATTAAACGTTCAGTACAGTAAACTACGGTTATAACGAACACGCTTATAACGAACTGACGGATATAACGAACTTACTTTTTAGTCCCGAATATTTGCTGTAGTTATGCTGTATATATGCTTATAACGAACTACGGTTATAACGAACTAAAAATAGTAGTCCCTTTGAGTTCGTTATAACCGTAGTTTACTGTAGTTACTTGGAATTGGTACAATTTATGTTTGTTTGTTTGTTATTTAACGCCGCACTCAGTAATATTCCAGCTATATGACGGCGGTCTGTAAATAATCGAGTCTGGACAGACAATCCAGTGACTGACATCATAAGCATTGATCCACGCAATTGGGATCGATGACATGCATTAACCAAGTCAGTGAGCATGACCACCCGATCCCGTTAGTCGCCTCCTACGACAAGCATGGGTTGCTGAAGACCTGTTCTATCCCGAGTTTCGGGTCAATTAACAGTCCAAGGGAGTGCGAATCGATTGACAGTCCTAGAAAGTGCAAATAACGTCTTCTGCACAGCACAATTCTGGTGTTGTCATATGGTGTTGCGTTAATTGTATGCTTGTTGTTTAACGCTCCACTCAGCAATATCCCAGCTAAATGATAGTTATATAGATAGTGGAGCCCTGGCCAGACTCTTTGTTCCATATCTGTTCTCGCGGGTTTCATCAAAGGCTTAATTGTCCACGACCTGGATGACGTTTGGCTTTCCACACCCATCAAATGGACACGCCAACATGTAAGTGATATCCTGTTCGAGTGACCTAAAAGAATACAACATACATAATTCCATAGGAATGCTCCATTTCAACTGTCTTCCCGCTTTCAGCCATTGGATACATCGGTTACCCATGTGGTTCCAACACTGACTGTAAAACACCCACTAGTACCTGCAACGCTGGTGTCTGTGACTGCGAGATTGGCTACAGCTTCTCTGTCAACGACAGGGGCTGCGTCCGACGTAAGCATCGTCTAAGTTCCGTGTCCTCCATGTGTCAATTTCGAGGGGTGGGGGTGGTGTGGGGTGGGGGTGGGGGTGATGGTGGGGTGTTTGGGTGTGGTAGTGCCCTTAATTTCTTGTTCAGAAATAGACCTTACCGATGTAAGTTTTGTGGCAGATAATGTCTTCTTCTTTTTAACAGTCTGAAGTATATTTATTACAAGACAATATATTTTTTGCAAATTACCTACCAACAATTTATGAATCACCATCAAATAGATACGATACCGTGTGTTCGCAAAAGGGTGAGCGTAACCTGCCTCACTGGTGCCACCCATCAAAAACACATGCAAAGGCAAATTCATAATTACAAATAAAAGTCAAAAATAGGGAGTTGCAACGGACATCAGTTCAGAAATGTCCTCCACATATCTACCACAAAAGAGTTTGAAAGCTTTTCTGAGACCCCAATGTTGAAACCTTCATCAAACGACGTTCGAGCAAGAGTCGTATCAATTTCTTTGGCATCATCGTTGAAAGAGCAGGCTTGATTGTACCTCAAAAGTTGTGAAATGTAGGCATCAAAGCCTGGAGATGCTGGAATATCGACATGAATTACACAATACTGGTGTGTTGAGTTTGTCTTCTATGTCGCTGGTTTCATTGAGAGGTTGCTCATGAAACTATGTTTGTTCCACCAGTATTGGTTCCCCATCCCTTCATCACTCTTCAAGGTTCTTAAGGTAAACTTGTGTAATTTCGGTGTTCCCAGTGCTAAAAATTATCTAGAGTGAGTGAGTGAGTTGGGTTTAACGCCGCTTTTAACAGTATTCCAGTTATATCACGGCGTGTCAGCTGGGAGGAAAGCCCTTAGTGATGCAGGTCTGACGTTTACCACTCCGGTGAAACCCACGAGCACGGGTATGGTGCTGACAAACCTAGAAACATAATCGGGGCGAACCGGGATTCGAACCCACAATCATAGGTTTCTGGCGTGCCCAAGGGACGCAGCTCTGCACAGCGAATCGCGGCGCCTTAGACGACTGGGCCACCCGTGCCCCCAAAAATATCTAGAAGGTATTTCATATCATTGAATTCCAGTGTATGTTTAGATAGATCACAGAAGAGTGTTTCTTTTATAGTTTGACAATTTTCCTTATTTGTTCCTTTAACATAGAGATATTTTACTTTATTTTTTTTATAGTTTTCACTTTCTTACTTTTTTTAAAGAAATGATGAGAAAAGATTTGATTTTCCCCTTTGAGAATTAATTAATTTCGTTGTAGAATCACTCGTACATGTATTTTCATTGTTAACATCATTCTTGTCTAATATTGTTTCTATGTGTTTACTGATTTAACATAATATATATTAAGAACTTAGTGGTGTATTTACTTTCTAGTTACTTGGATTTTGTTATGTACAAAGAGCACTTACAAATGTCACAGTGAGAGGCAAGATTGATGTGTCAAATGGGACTTGTTTGTTTGTTTGTTTAACGTCGCACTCAGCAATCTTCCAGCAAAATGACGGCGGTATGTAAATAATCGAGTCTTGGCCAGACAATCAAGTGATTGACAACATGAGCAACGATCTACGTAATTTGGATACGATGACTACATCAACCAAGTCAGCGAGCCTGACCACCCGATCCCGTTCGTCGCCTCTTACAACAAGCACGGGTTGCTGAAAACCAATTCCAACCCGAATCATCACGGGTCCGTTAAATTTGCTTTATCTTGTGAAACAAGAAGTATCAAGTCTTGCCTATTGTCTCTGATCGTTTCCTCGCCAAGTTCATGTTCTATCCTGCTGGCTGCTATTTCTCCACATATATTCTAAATCGTGGTTCTCAGCATCTTCTAAACCTGTCTTACAAGGTTTGGGATTGTTAACATACGAGTACGTGTAATTTTCTCAATCTAATGAAGACGTATGTGACGTGTGGTCAGTTGGTCATCATCCATAATCGTATGATGTATTTTATCAACATTTTTTCCTTTGTGGTGGCAGTCGAAGGTCTTCCTGGTCGTGGGTCGTCTTCGAGGCTTCCGCTCCCCATTTTAGGCCACAGGAGTCTGTATCTAAAAATAGACGCCCTCATGCATATTCATGGTCATGAATATGCATGAGGACGTCTATTTTTAGATACAGACTCCTGTGGTTAGGCTCAGACCTTTTCAGACACCCCTTGTAGCTACCAGTTTCCTGAATCCTGACAAAGTCTGAGTCACGACACCGGCCAAAAACAAAGACAAGCTTCATGTGAAAAATAGTGACCGTCCCTCGCATACGTGGCGCCATATATTCAACAGTGCATCAGTTGGAAGTTGGAAGATTACATGTCCGTGATTTTGTATGGTTGTTCAAAGAGGCACAATGGCCCACAATGGGTTATATAATGTCAGTCTAGGTCTAGGTCTAGACGATGCTATCACAAATTATATCTTCAGATGTAAGATACATTGTGTGTATATTCCATCACATTGTGTGCGGGAGCACGGATGGCCCAGTCGTGCCGCGATTCGCTGTGCAGAGTTGCGTCCCCTGGACACGCCAGAAACCTGTGATTGATTTTCGGTTCGAATCCCGGTTCACCCCGATTATGTTTATAGTTTTGTCAGCACCATACCCGTGCTCGTGGGTTTCACCAAAATGGTAAACGTCTGAGACCTGCATCACTTCGGGCTTTCCTCCAAAATCAAGATGACACGCCGTGATATAACTGGAATAATGTTAAAAGCGACGTTAAACCCAACCCACTCACTCACTCATATTGTGTGTATATTTCATCACATTTTGTGTATATTCCATCACATTGTGTGTATATTTCATCACAATGTGTGTATATTCCATCACATTGTGTTTATATTCCATCGCATTTTGTGTATATTTCATCACATTGTGTGTATATTTCATCACCCCCGATCAAGATGACACGGTTTGATATAAATCAAATACTGTTCAACGCAGAGTTAATCCCAACTCACTCACTCATTCCAGATTGTTCAAGCTACGGCACCGACTTCACCGCCTACATCGAGCGTGGTCTGCGGGACACCAACACCTTCCGCGACTGGGGCTACAGCGAGGAGGCGTGTCTGGGTTTGTGTACGTCCGAGTCAGGGTATCTGTGTCTCACCGTGGAGCGGTACCCCGCTGACGGCTTCTGCACCCTCACGCACGCCACGTGGTTCGACGTCGCCGCCACCGACCGCGACACTGCGGCGTACGGATACGTGATGTATCACAGAAACTGTGCCCTCTGAAGGCTGGAGACAGGTGTCGTACAAAACAAACCTAACGCTACGGCTGTCGTAAGTCTATGTCGAGGTATGGGAGTTATGGGAGTAGATCGCCTTCGCGCTGAGATCGCTATGTACAATGGCACCTAGTACAGAGTGTCCAGGGTCCACTTGCACAAAGCGATCTTAGCGCTAAGATGATCGTAACTCCCATTCTTTAACATAGACTTACGATAGTCTTAGCGCTAAGATCGCTTTGTGCAAGTGGGTCAGAGGTATTCTGTATGTTGCAGTGCAGTACACTGGATGTCATGAAGAAGTGTTTAAAATTAGAACGCAGTTGTCAATGTTGAAATTTATTTTTCGTCCTATTTTCTTATGAACTCGCGTGGTCCTGCATTATATGTGAACGCTTTACTTTTAACAGTTGTGTACACTGATTAACATAAAAGTCCTTAAATTGGATGCCGGATGCTTTGTTTGTTTGGTTGGTTGTGAGTGAGTGTTTGTTTGTTTAACGTCACACTTACCAATATTCCAGCTATGACGGCCGTCTGTATATAATCAAGTCTGGACCAGACAATCTAGCGATTGACATTATGAGCATCGATCTACGCAATTGGGATTGCAATTGCAATTGCATCAACCGAGTCAGCGAGCCTGAACACCCGATCCCGTTAGTCGCCTCTTGCGACCGACATATATAGTTTCCTTTTACAGCAACCTTGAAGACCTATTCTCTGCACGGATCTTCAGGGGTCTGTTGGAGGGGTAGGGTGGGGGTGGTGATCGTGTGACCCCTACACCCAGGTCATTCAGGTTTTATCTGACCGCCTCTATGGTCTAGTGGTAGAACGTCCGCCTGGAGAGTGGAAGGTCCTGTCTTCGAGTACGGACTACTGCTTATTTTATAGAGCTAGCCTTCGGAGATACCATGATCAAGTTGAACATGAATACCCCACTCAAACACAGTATACCGACTCCGAGCCGACCAGTCTTTGGCCCCTTCATGCCAAGCGCCAGACAGGGTAACAAGAAATACCTTCTTTTAGCGTCTTTTATATGACGCGGCTAGAGACGGAGGCCCGAACCTCTACCCCTAGACCACTAGAGGCGGTCAGGTAAACCAAGCATCATAATGAAACAACCATTGTTGGATTCCGGCACATTTGAGGAACGCATGTATCCCCGAATGACATGGACCACCACAACACTATCCCTCCAAGACCCGTGAAGATCCGGGGTAGAATAGGTCTTCAGCAACCCATGCTTGGCGTTAAAGGTGACTATGCCTTTGGTAAGAGGCGACTTAGGGATCGGGAGGTCAGGCTCGCTGACTTGTATGATGCATGTCAGGTATCCCAATTGTGCATATCGATGCGCATCATGTCAATCACTGAATTGTTTACTCAAAACTTATTACTTGCAGACCGCCATCATAAACCTCGAATATTTGCTGAGTGTGGCGTAAACAACAAATAAACAAAGAAAAAAAACCTCCAACACACATACACACAAAGAGAGAATGAAGACTTGGCTATTGATCAACAAAGTTTATTACAAGTGTTATCTAATAGCACTTTAGCAGCAATCACAGAATGCCTTGCATCAAGGTCACGCAACAATGCTCCATACATAAATTGATTCCAACAAACACTTAACAACCACATGACCACACCTACAGAATTATCTATATCTCATCAAGTTAAATATATTCTACACTTCAACAAGTTACACAGAAACTTGCTATCAGTAACAAAAATCCACCCTAATCTTCCTGGGCTAAAAAAAGCTGGCAAATGTTGTATAATAGCCAAAACATGTTACATTTGAGAGTACCTGAAGATTTAGTCAGGACCCTCTTGCATAAAGCTAAACCTCCATAAATTATTATCAAAGTGGGAGTTAGCACTAAGAGTACTTTGTGAAACTGGGTCCAGATCACTTCACTCTTGTTTAAAGAATAAGCCTGACATTCAATATTGCAATTTTTCAAAGTAAAAAATAACATTTGGTGAATCATGTTTAGACTGCATTTTCGCAATCATATTCCAGACTGTTGTTAGTCAGTGATATTCCAGACTGTTGTTAGTCAATGGTATTCGAGACTGTTGATAGTCAAAATCATATTCCAGACTGTTGTTAGTCAATCATAGTCTAGACAGCTGTTAGTCAATCATATTCCAGACTGTTGCTAGTCAATCATATTCCAGACTGATGTTGGTCAATCATATTCCAGAGATGTTAGTCAATCATATTCTAGACTTGTTAGTCAATCATATTCCAGACTGTTGATAGTCAATCATATTCCAGAATGTTGCTAGTCAATCATATTCCAGACTGCTCTTGGTCAATCATATTCCAGACTGTTATTAGTCAATCCTATTCAAGAGTGCTGTTAGTCAGCACTGTTACTAGAGTAACTGTCTTGGGCTTCCTGCTACATGTACATGATCAGTGTAAGCCAGGCTGTATACAACATACCAACCATATATATCACCACATCATTCACTCTCAATCATCATCAATCATCTCAAAACATAACAAGGCAAAAAGTGAGCAGGGTTCACTTTGACTCCAACATATTTCTATGTAAAAAGAGCAATATTTTCTCAGAAAATCCACCTATCGAAATCAAACTTTTTCACTGCACCTCTCCTATTGGCATAGAAACTGTACACCCAATTGGAAAAAAATCTATTAAGTAGATTTCAAGTTAAAGGTCGGATAAATGTTGAAGTAAATAAAATTCTACGTTCAAAACATGACAAAAATCATGTTGTTTTTAGGAAAAAGACATATCACAAAGAAGCTTAGCACTTCTCCTATTAGTATAGAGTGAGTGAGTATGGTTTTACGCCGCTTTTAGCAATATTCCAGCAATATCACGGCGGGGGACACCAGAAATGGGCTTCACACATTGTGCCCATGTCGGGAATCGAACCCGGGTCTTCGGCGTGACGAGCGAACGCTTTAACCACTAGGCTACCCGACCGCCCCCTATTAGTATAGAAAGTGTTCCTTAAATTTGAAAAGAACCTATAGAGAAATACTCAAGTTATAGGTTGCACAGATGTTTAAATAAAAAGATTCTAAGTAAAAAAAGAAAGAAAAATAGCTATTTTTTTTCTGAAAATCCAAATGTTGAAATCAAACTTCTCTGCACCTCTTGTGTTGTTATAAAAAGTGTTCACCAAGTTTGAAAAGAATCTATGCAGTAGTTTTCAAGTTGTAGGTCTCACACAAAATATGCCTTCAGAAGGACGAATGGAATTCCTTGGTATAACTATATACCCCCGTCCTTTTAGTTTGGGGGTATAATGGAACTTGATATTCAGAGGCCTGAGAAGAATTCTGAGCACTTTTCGGCGAAAGCCTTGAGGAACCCCCATATATGGTCTCCTTTAAGGTGGGACTCCCATATATGGTCTCCTTTAAGGTGGGACTCCAATATATGGTCTCCTTTAAGGTGGGACCCCCATATATGCTCTCCTTCAAGGTGGGACTCCCATATATAGTCTCCTTTAAGGTGGGACTCCCATATATGGTCTCCTTTAAGGTGGGACCCCCATATATATGGTCTCCTTTAAGGTGGGACCCCCATATATGGTCTCCTTTAAGGTGGGACTCCCATATATGGTCTCCTTTAATGTGGGACCTCCATATATGGTCTCCTTTAAGGTGGAACACCCATATATGGTCTCCTTTAAGGTGGGACCTCTATATATGGTCTCCTTTAAGGTGGGACTCCCATATATGGTCTCCTTTAATGTGGGACCTCCATATATGGTCTTCTTTAAGGTGGGACTCCCATATATGGTTTTCTTTAAGGTGGGACCGCCATATATGGTCTTCTTTAAGGTGGGACCGCCATATATGGTCTTCATTAAGGTGGGACTGCCATATATGGTCTTCATTAAGGTGGGACCTCCATATATGGTCTTCTTTAAGGTGGGGGCCTCCATATATGGTCTTCTTTAAGGTGGTATTCCCATATATGGTCTCCTTTAATGTGGGACTTTCATATATGGTCTTCTTTCAGGTGGGGGCCTCCATATATGGTCTTCTTTAAGGTGGTACTCCCATATATGGTCTTCTTTAATGTGGTATTCCCATATATGGTCTCCTTTAATGTGGGACTTTCATATATGGTCTTCTTTAAGGTGGTACTCCCATATATGGTCTTCATTAAGGTGGGGGCCTCCATATATGGTCTTCTTTAAGGTAGGCTGACTGGACTGGCGGATTCGCTCAGCAGAAACAATACTTGTGTGCACAAGAAGCTCTACCTGACAGAGGCACCAATTTCTTTACAGAAATATCAATGAATGGTTGACTACCAGACCAAAACTTGACATAGCATATTGATGAGATCCCATTTCACATTTTTCATATCAACAGGTTACAGTTACAGGAACAGATAAAAAGAAAGGGAGCAGATCTCTTGGGGATATGCAGGCTGTACTGGTTGATTAATAGAGCATGAGAAAGATTTTCGTCAATAGGGCTAATTATGTCTCTCTTGGGAGTTATCTCCTTTGCAAAGTTTGCCACCTCTTAAAAAAATTACCAGTCTCCCCTACTTTTAGTCAGTCGTAACTTTCCCCCACCAAACAAACATGTGAAAATTACCTGTTTCTAATTCTTTCAACATCATATTCTCTGAAGGAACTTAGATAGGTCTACATGTCATTCACACAAAGTTCAGTCACAATTTTCTTTTTTTTTAATATTTCGATACTAGGTGGCTACAAATAGATGTATATATTAAACCTCAAAGCAAAGCGAAATGTTATTTCTTGCACTAAAAGTAGACAAGGGGAAACCCTGATGGTAACCGACAAGCTGACTTCATTTGAAAAATATACTTACATGAATATTGCCGATGTTTTGTTCAACAACAAAGATTGATATAAGGCAGTGTTAGAAATTGGCACAAGTTCCGTAGTCCTTGCCAAAGTGCCCAATAGTTAAGGTATCATAAGGACTAGTCAAAATTTGCCATTTTACAGTTTGTGCTATATGTATCATTATGTGTGAGTAGGTTGGGTTTATCGCCGCTTTTAACAGTATTCCAGTTTTATCATGGGTGTCAGCTTAATGTGGGAGGAAGTGATTCAGGTCTCAGATGTTTAGACTTTGGTGAAACCCACAAGCACAGGCTATTATTATAAGGACTAGTGGAAGAAATATGTTAGTTTCTACCGCTGTAAGGTACTTTATTTGCCTGTCCACCGGGACAGGAATTACCAGTCCAAGCCTAATTTGACCTAACTTGTAATTACCGGTAAACGGATCACTTGTAATTGTGGAACTCTTTCTCTGTGTTTCAAGCCAACTGTTTCAGGCATTTGTCAAGGTTTCTACTTTGCAATAAGATCAGAAACGTGCTTACAATATGTACATACTGATATTAATATCCTTTCCTTATGCTTCAGTAAAACAGACTTACATTCATACCAAGTGCCTGTTTCCTAACAGCAACTCTTGTCCTGTAGTGATATTCATACCAAGACATACATACAAGTGCCTGTTTCCTGACAACTCTTGTCCTGTAACGATATTCATACCAAGACATACATACAAGTGCCTGTTTCCTGACAACTCTTGTCCTGTAGCGATATTCATACCAAGACATACATACAAGTGCCTGTTTCCTGACAACAACTCTTGTCCTGTAGAGATATTCATACCAAGACATACATACAAGTGCCTGTTTCCTGACAACTCTTGTCCTGTAGCGATATTCATACCAAGACATACATACAAGTGCCTGTTTCCTGACAACAACTCTTGTCCTGTAGAGATATTCATACCAAGACATACATACAAGTGCCTGTTTCCTGACAACTCTTGTCCTGTAGCGATATTCATACCAAGACATACACACAAGTGCCTGTTTCCTGACAACAACTCCTGTCCTGTAGAGATATTCATACCAAGACCTACATACAAGTGCCTGTTTCCTGACGACTCTTGTCCTGTAGCGACATTCATACCAAGACATACACACAAGTGCCTGTTTCCTGACAACTCTTGTCCTGTAGCGACATTCATACCAAGACATACATACAAGTGCCTGTTTCCTGACAACTCTTGTCCTGTAGCGATATTCATACCAAGACATACACACAAGTGCCTGTTTCCTGACAACAACTCCTGTCCTGTAGAGATATTCATACCAAGACCTACATACAAGTGCCTGTTTCCTGACGACTCTTGTCCTGTAGCGACATTCATACCAAGACATACATACAAGTGCCTGTTTCCTGACAACAACTCTTGTCCTGTAGCGACATTCATACCAAGACATACATACAAGTGCCTGTTTCCTGACAAAAACTGTTGTCCTGTAGCGATATTCATACCAAGACATACATACAAGTGCCTGTTTCCTAACAACTCTTGTCCTGTAGCGATATTCATACCAAGACATACATACAAGTGCCTGTTTCCTGACAACAACTCTTGTCCTGTAGCGATATTCATACCAAGACATACACACAAGTGCCTGTTTCCTGACAACAACTCTTGTCCTGTAGCGACATTCATACCAAGACATACATACAAGTGCCTGTTTCCTAACAACTCTTGTCCTGTAGCGATATTCATACCAAGACATACATACAAGTGCCTGTTTCCTGACAAAAACTGTTGTCCTGTAGCGATATTCATACCAAGACATACATACAAGTGCCTGTTTCCTAACAACTCTTGTCCTGTAGCGATATTCATACCAAGACATACATACAAGTGCCTGTTTCCTGACAACAACTCTTGTCCTGTAGCGATATTCATACCAAGACATACATACAAGTGCCTGTTTCCTGACGACTCTTGTCCTGTAGCGACATTCATACCAAGACATACATACAAGTGCCTGTTTCCTGACGACTCTTGTCCTGTAGAGATATTCATACCAAGACATACATACAAGTGCCTGTTTCCTGACAACAACTCTTGTCCTGTAGCGACATTCATACCAAGACATACACACAAGTGCCTGTTTCCTGACAACAACTCTTGTCCTGTAGCGATATTCATACCAAGACATACATACAAGTGCCTGTTTCCTGACAACTCTTGTCCTGTAGCGACATTCATACCAAGACATACATACAAGTGCCTGTTTCCTGACGACTCTTGTCCTGTAGCGACATTCATACCAAGACATACATACAAGTGCCTGTTTCCTGACAACAACTCTTGTCCTGTAGCGATATTCATACCAAGACCTACATACAAGTGCCTGTTTCCTGACAACAACTCTTGTCCTGTAGCGATATTCATACCAAGACCTACATACAAGTGCCTGTTTCCTGACAACAACTCTTGTCCTGTAGCGATATTCATACCAAGACATACATACAAGTGCCTGTTTCCTGACAACAACTCTTGTCCTGTAGCGACATTCATACCAAGACATACACACAAGTGCCTGTTTCCTGACAACAACTCTTGTCCTGTAGCGATATTCATACCAAGACATACACACAAGTGCCTGTTTCCTGACAACAACTCTTGTCCTGTAGCGACATTCATACCAAGACATACATACAAGTGCCTGTTTCCTGACAACAACTCTTGTCCTGTAGCGACATTCATACCAAGACATACATACAAGTGCCTGTTTCCTAACCCTTCGTCACACAGACTATTAACTATGAATTTCACGTCATATATTTCAATAGCAGTTCCCAAGCAGTACACACTTTATTCTATGGTTATGTATACAGGCAAACTACTTGGGTGCAAACGATGTCCTCTTCAGGAAGAGTGAGCTGAAGTCGTTGAGGCTGGGTTTAGGGGCGAGTCCCAGCATGATGGAGAGTCGGGCTGCCAGGCTGGCTGGCTTGGCCATCTGCAGCTCCTCGTCCTTCATAACCTGGGACAAGAAAACATCAATAACCATCAGGTTAAGGTGAAATGGGGTTTAACGTCGCATACAAGATTATTGCACTTATGTAGGTGAGATGAAATGGGGTTTAACGTCGCATCCAAGATTATTGCACTTATGTAGGTGAGATGATATGGGGTTTAACGACGCGTCCAAGATTATTGCACTTATGTAGGTGAGGTGAAATGGGGTTTAACGTCACGTCCTAAATTATTGCACTTCTGTAGGTGAGATGATATGGGGTTTAACATCATGTCCTAGATTTTTGCACTTCTGTAGGTGAGATGATATGGGGTTTAACGTCACGTCCTAGATTATTGCAGTTCTGTAGGTGAGATGATATGGGGTTTAACGTCACGTCCTAGATTATTGTACTTTACTTATATACCAACATATATGTGTGTGTGTGTGTGTTCATGTGTGTTCGTGTGTGTGTGTGTGTGTGTGTGTGCGCGTGTGTGTGTGTTCGTGGGTGTGTGTTCGTGTGTGTGTGTGTATGTGTGTGTGTTCGTGTGTGTGTGTGGTTCGTGTGTGTGTGTGTGTGTGGCAATTCAATAGTGCTAGCCCACTGAGATACCATGCATCAGTTTAACATGAATGCCCACTCACACACAGTATACTGACTCCAAGCTGATCAGTCCATGTTTTAGCCCCTATTGCCGAGGCCAGGCAGGGTAACAACAAATACCATGTTATAACGCCTATTGGAATGATGCGGCTAGGTATCGAACCCCGGACCTTCCGCTCTCCAGGCAAACGCTCTACCTCTAGACCACGGAGGCATGACAAGATCATACAAACAATAGTGCCACAGCACTGTAGCTCCAATGGCTATGTAGTCAACAGTTTGAAATGTCAAACAAAGACAGCCACTAAACAAAAGTTGTTGTGAGCACTGATATTCAAAGATTTTCAGCATTTACACTGAAAGGGAAATTCTAACACTAAAATCACTCATGATCCAAGTGGAAGGGCAAAATTTCATATATTGTAAAAAAACAAACAAAAACCTGTTGAGACCTTCCAACTACACAAAACAACTACTGAAAAAAATGGATTGGGTAATAACCATAAGAGGTTTCAGGTTTCACAAGAGTTGAAATGTTTACATTCTTATCAAAAAAGCTACCTGGCGGCCACATTGAAATTCCAGTTTTGATGCCCTGAACAAATTTGAACCCCCTCATAAAAACAAATGTGAGTGAGTTGGGTCATAACATTGCCCTTAACAGTATTCTAGTTACATCACAGTATGTCAGCTTGATGTGGGAGTATTCCAGTTACATCACAGTATGTCAGCTTGATGTGGGAGTATTCCAGTTACATCACAGTATGTCAGCTTGATGTGGGAGTATTCCAGTTACATCACAGTATGTCAGCTTGATGTGGGAGTATTCCAGTTACATCACAGTATGTCAGCTTGATGTGGGAGTATTCCAGTTACATCACAGTATGTCAGCTTGATGTGGGAGTATTCCAGTTACATCACAGTATGTCAGCTTGATGTGGGAGTATTCCAGTTACATCACAGTATGTCAGCTTGATGTGGGAGTATTCCAGTTACATCACAGTATGTCAGCTTGATGTGGGAGTATTCCAGTTACATCACAGTATGTCAGCTTGATGTGGGAGTATTCCAGTTACATCACAGTATGTCAGCTTGATGTGAGAGGAAAGCCCAAAGTGATGCAGGTCTCAGACGTTTACCACTTTGTTAAAAGCCACGAACACAAGTATGGTGCTGACCAACCTAGAAACATAATCGGGGCGAACCGGGATTCGAACCCATGATCACAGGTTTCTGGCATGCCCAAGGGATGCAACTCTGCACAGCAAATTCCAGCACTTTAGATGACTGGGCTACCCATGTCTCCCTGCTTGAGTGAGTGAGTGAATGATGCTCAACACTGCAGTAGCAGTCAGTTATCAAGCCTGAACCACTGTGAAACAATCACCATGCTTCTCGTAAGAGTTAACTAACAGGATTGGGTGGTCAGAGTCGCTGGCTTGGTTGATGCATATTATCGTATCCTAATTGCGTGGATTGATGCTCATGATATCAATCACTTGATAATCTGGTACAGGCTCGATTATTTACAGACCGACATCATATAGATGGAATATTGCAAACAAACAAACAAACAACAACAAAAACACAATGATAATTTGTATTCCTAATATTTGATATATACTATTCAAATGAAGTTAAAGAACACCAGATTCTTTCATATCACTATAGTTAAACCCGTCATGCCATACCTTTAACTTCTTTTGAGTAGTATACCGTATTCGACGTAAAAAGCTCCCAGGGGGCATTCAAAATTAGAAATAGGGGGCTCTTATTAGAATAATATTTTGCTGAAAAAAACCAAGAGTTGAAAGATATATTTCGTGATTTATGCTGACAGCCTGAAATGTTGACATACAACAGATATATTTTTCCAGAATTTAAATGCCCATAATGAAGGGTGCATATAACACATGAAAGCGTATTATACGCGAATAAATAAGTCTTTTGTACATTGTCCAATCGGAAGGGTTGCTATTTGGGATTGTTCACTAGCCAATATATTAGCAAATATCGCCGGGGGCGCTTATCAGAGCGGGGCGCTTATTACGTCGAACATGATATATGAAGATATTTATCTGGGGTCCGTTCCCCAAAGCTATCAAAGTGCTGAGGTGATCGCAACTTAAACACTGACTTATGACTGTCTTTGTGGAACAGGGCCCTGTATATATTTCACAGTCGACATTAATACAGGTCCTTCCAATGGAGCCTCCCTCTCTCCATCTACTCACCCGGTCGACCCGGTGTTTATGGACAAAGCCATCAGAGCCAACAGTGAATATGGAAAACCCATCGTGCCATCTGCAACCACAGAAACAACACTTGAGAACATCATCGATGAATATGAAATACAGCGTTCAAAAATAGTAACTCGAATCATGAGGCTGAAAATAAGCGTTGTCCAGAGATCCTTGATATTCTCTTCATAAGATTCCCCAAATTAAAGGTCTTCACCTTTTCAAGGACTCATTGAAGCAGCAGCTACCCTCACTGGTCCACTTACTCTGAATTAGCATCTCGGTTTTTCCGATAGTTCCACGGCATGAACTTCCAGATGAGAAGCGTCTTGAGCTGTGGCAGACCGCTGATCCGCCATCGGATGCGGACTGTCCCGTCGTCGGGGTGATGAGTGATCTTCAGCACATTGAACTGAGCGTGGGCGTACATGAAGTGTGTCAGGATGCGGATCTTCGTCACCTGGGTCACGTAGGCTGTTATTCCCCTGAAGAAATGCAAATAAGAACATTTCCATTCACTGAGAATGATTTACATTTCAAACCACACAACAACAACTCATTCTTATACAAGGGCAAAGGTGAGCATGGCTCACTAATACCCCCGACCCGCCTAGTGTGTCAGTAGTTTCAAATTAAATAATGGATAGGGTAAGGGTTTGAAAAATTAATAAAAAAATTAAAAATTAAAAAAAATATTTTTATTTTGACTGCACCCCTCCATATTACACAGATTATATGTACTAAGTTTGAGATGAATCCACTGAATAGTTTAAGAGAAATCGTGGGGACAAAGTTTTCGAACGGACAGACGGAAGGAACCTTGGTATAACTACACTGATGGAATAAAATAAAGGATCGCATAAATGATGCAGACATAAGATTTTAATACAACACTTGATCAAATGAAAGCTACATGGTAAATAATGACTTAATCTCAGTTCTTCAGTATGATGTGTGGCCACCACGAGCTCTCACAACAGCCTGACAACGTCTTGGCATACTCCGAATTAATGCCCGGATTGTAGCCCTTGAAACATTATGCCATTCTTGTCTTAAACAGTCAAACATCTCATCCAGATTACAAGGTTGATTAATGCGATCTCGCACCCGACGACCAAGAACGTCCCATAAATGTTCTATCGGGTTAACGTCTGGACTTTTAGCCGGCCATGGAAGCACAGCGACCTGGTTCTGCCTAAAAAAATCGGCTGAAACACGAGCAGTATGTGGCCTTGCATTGTCCTGCTGAATCTCGAACAACCGTCCAACCCTGTTAGCGAACGGAAGCACCACTGGGCGTAAGACTTCATCACGGGAACGAACACCAGTTAGACGACCATCCACACGAATCAAATCTGTTTGGTTGTCGTAGGTGATTCCACCCCAGACCATCACTGATCCACCTCCGTATCTATCATGCTGTTTGACAGTGCATGCTTGGTATCGTTCATTACGTCGTCTCCAAACACATATCCGACCATCTGCATTGTCCATATTGAAACGAGACTCATCGCTGAACATTGGTGTATCGCCAACGACGCAACTGTCTGGCTCCATGCTGCCTTGCCCACTGTAACCTTCGCCGTTTGTGTTCTTGAGTCATCTTGATTCCTACCACGGGACGGCGACTTTGTAGACCCGCTGAACGCAGCCTGTTACGTACTGTGAAATCACTAAACCGTAGATGTGTGACAGCTCTGAACTCGGCATTCACTTTTGGAACAGGTTTAAAGCGATCCCTCAAACAAATCAGCCGAATCTGACAATCTTGATGAGCTGTAGTTTTCTTTGGTCGCCCACACCCACGCCCACGTCCCATCGCCGGTCTGCCTGTAGAGGTTCCACAGTCATGAGAGGACACTGATGGACTTCTGAAAGTGTCTTGCAACTTCTCGCAGTGACTGGCCTGACCTCGCCATCCTGAATGCCTGCCATTTCTCCTTCAAACACATGTACTGTCTTGGCATGTTTCACGCAGTTGATGTCAATGAGATCGGTCTTACAGTAGAAGACTTTATACCCCATTGTGCCATGAAAAACTACTGAAACACGTGCACTGCATGTCTTCCTACAGGTGATGGCCTGCGTTTTGGAGATGTTGACCATGTACTTCCGAAAAACGGCGACAAAAAAATAACAACATTCGGACTCATTGACCAAACACTTTATGCGATCCCTTATTTATTTCCATCAGTATATATAAACTAATAAACCATCGATATGAATAATGAGCATGGTGTTGCACCGCTTTTGTTTTAGAAATATTCCTGGTGGGGAGCCCCAGAAGCAAGCTTCAGGCATTGTACCCATGTGATTTGAAAAACTCTTTGGCATGACGAGTGACCGATTTAACCAGCAGGCTACCCCACAGCCCCATTGGTGGATGCAAAGTATTCTTAAAATATACAAAAATTACTTTAAATTCTCACCAAGTCCCTGAATTATGACATATAAATACAGAAAACAGGACATTTTTGTAGCAAAGCAGATTTCCTAAACACAGAGTAGACTGTTTATGAGAACGTAGTAATATTTCCCCGCAAAGCTAATCATAAACTCCCCAAATAGAAGAACTCAAATTCTTCTGTTCACAATAAATCTTTCTGACAGGCTCCACATTTCCAAACATGATCGTAGCGCCACCAGTGGTGATTACCAGTTATGTTCCTTCTAAGCCTCTCCTATGGACGAATCAGATTCCACCTCTCGTATCACTTGCGTTTGCTTCACACAAAATGGTGGCGCCGAGTCAGGACGATCTGATCAATGATCAAGATCTATATTGTGATAAAAGGGGTCTTACATCGGGAAATGCATCAAATCACGTGAGTACCTTGATTAAAAACATGAAAAGTTTTGGAAAATATCTGCTGACAACGAGATGGCGGTGTACATGCTTTGCAAATCCTGCAATCAACCGAAATCTGCAAGACAGTTTACGAACCAGATTTCGATTCCAGTGCGCGATTTTGATTGGACTATGCAAAGACTCGTTAGTCCAGCCAAAATGTAACTCCATAATACCAGCCTAGTTTGGCAAGGGTGGAAACTGGACTTTTATAGTCAGTTAACGCACTTGCCTCGGGAAGATGGAATGTCCACTAGCCAAGATCGAAGTCTAGTTTTCAGCCTTGCTCTTTCAAGGACCTTCACACAAAGTGATGGTCCAATCAGAATTTTTTACAAGGTCAACATCTCTGTTTCACAAACATGCTGATGTAGCCACAGTCATCGTGTGTTGAATTTACACTGAAATTACTGAGATGCAATGCTATTTTTAGACTACCTGTGCTGAGTGTTTCATGTTATTGTGATGTGCAGAAAGTCAGCGTTAGAAATTAAAATGTTTAGTCCACTAATTCTTAAAATAATAACATATAGCAAAACCCTTAAATGTAGCAAATTTCTACTGGTCCTTATGATATCTTAACAATTGGGCATTTCCCCAAGGACTACAAGACTAGTGCCAATTTCTAACACTGGTGAGTGTTACTTGATACTGTGTAGCATGCGAGCCTCTATTTACCTATTACCTCCAAAACTCTCAAAGCTCAATTACTTTCAATAACCTTATGTACAGAAACGCACGCATAAAATGAAAAACTCAAATGTATAAAACAGCATGCGTAAATACCCAATGAAGCTTTTTCAACATGCGTACAAAGGAGCTAATTTCCGAAACACAGTTATGAGATACAGTAAATTACGGTTATTACGAACTCAAAGGGACCACTAATTTTAGTTCGTAATAACCGTAGTTCGTTATAGGCAAATATACAGCATTTATACAACAAATACTAATAGTCGGGACTAAAAAATGAGTTTGTTATAAGCGTGTTCGTTATAAACGTACTTTACTGTAATTTACTTTCTGAGTCAAGCCTGTATATTTAGAACAGTTATTTACATCTAAAACATTATTTCATATTTTTTTTAAATCTTAAAAGATTCACTCTTTTGGGGGAAACCCCAATAGAGTGACAAATAGATGAGTAAAAAAATTTGGGTTACCCAATGCAAAATGTAATAATCCAATAAATATAGAAACCCTAGAATAAAAACTCAATTGCGCAAAAGTTATCTGGAACTCTGGGCAGTAATAACTATCTTTACTGTCGTAATATGTCATCTTGTTTTTTAGGGATGAAATATCACATCTTTTCGTAATCGGTCTCGACCAGGTAATTTTCAATGGTAGTCGCTGCTTTTAACAGTATTCTAGTTGTATCACGCCGTGTCAGCATATATGGGGAGGAAACCCTGAAGTGATTTAGGTCTTAGACGTTTACCACTTCGGTGAAACCCACGAGCATGGGTATGGTGCTGACAAACCTAGAAACATAATCGGGGCGAACCGGGGTTCGAACCCACAATCATAGGATTCTGGCGTGTCCAAGGGACGCAACTCTGCAAAGCAAATCACGGCGCCTTAGACAACTGGGCCACCTGGTCCCCCCTGAAATAAGAACTGTTATCTGATTTGATATCACATTTTATCAGAAGGGGCACTGACCATGCTCTCCATGGGCACAGCAATCAGGCCAAGAAAAGTCAGCTGGAAATGGCCAAGTGAAAACTAGACTTTGATATAGGCTAGTGGACACTCTTGCCTTGGGAATGGCAGAGGATCTCATTACAGAATCAGAGTTGTGTCCCTTGGTTACCCAAGTCCACAGCCAATGAGTTTCCATTTACTTGGATTAAGATCCTTGGTCTGTCATCCCTAACCCATGTAACCCTGTCAGTCTGTGTTTGTAGTTCAACAGTATCGACGACCTGAATGCCTCACCCCCACCCATCCCCCAAGTGTACTCGTGTTACAGGTACAATGTCTTCACATCACTAGTTGGTCGGTCAACAAATGTCATGACGAGATTGACGACAGCATGTAGATAATCAAGTCTGAACCAAACAAATCCAATGATTGATATTATGAGCAACAATGGATTTCAACCTGCATATTTCGGTCGACTGCAAGATTTGCAAAACATGTACCGTCAACTGGGCATCAACAGATATTTTCCAAATCTTTTCATGTCTTTAATTAAAGTGCTCAAGTAATTTGGGCGAGTCATATTGTTTGAAGTCAATGCAAGTAATATGAGAGGTGGAATCTGATTGGTCAATGAGGGACATAGAAGCTACATAACTAGTAATAGACACTGGTGGCGCTACAATCAGGCCACAAAATTCCAGTGTAGTTCGGTAAGGGTGAAAACTGGACTTTTAGAGTCAGTTAACGCCTTGCCCTGAGAAGATGCCCCAAGAGAGAGATACACCATGTTTAATGATAATAATACAACACGTGGCCATGTGGAAGAATTCCATGAATGGATACCCTCTAACCTTCCATCGTGGACATGAGAAAATCATTGGCGCCGCATTCAAATTAAGACAAAATCTTAAGCAGTCTTGTTTTACTTAAGGGGCAGTTCATGGACGGAAGTGTGTGCCTGGTGTGTTCTAAATTAAAGCACGAAATAATTATTGACATGATGTCACATGCTCGATTCAATTCTCAAACCAACACAATAGAGCTCTGCTGTGCAGAGTTAACTGGCTTCAGTCATGTTTGATATTAGAGGCAAACTGAAGAGAAAGCTTGTGTGTTTTTCTTACGGATGAGTAACAAAATACTAATAAGATGAGAAACCAGTGTTTATCAAATGCAAATCCTAGATGACAATACTAATATGCATCTGATTTATGAAGCCAATCACTCTCCTATTGAGAGTTTAGTGTGGCCAGCCTAGTACCTCTGCCATCGTACCATCGTCACATCCTACACAGTCTATTCATGTGTTTTTTGTTTTCATTTTGGACGATATAAACTTTCACTAAAAAAATATCCCTAAACATGCAAAAAACTATTTCATTGTCAATTTGATTTTGTTTGTTTGGTGTTTAACACCGCACTCAGCAATATTCCAGCTATATGACAGCGGTCTGTAAATAATAGAATCTGGACCAGACAATCCAGTGATTGATATGATGAGCATCAATCCACACAATTGGTATACAATGATATGCATCAACCAAGTCAGAGAGCCTGACCACCCGATCCCGTTAGTCGCCTCTTATGACAAGCAAAGTCACCTTTTACAGCAAGCATGGGTTGCTGAAGACCTATTCTACCCCGAATCTTCACAGGTATCACTTTGATGTGTAAAGCTATATTGCCATGCACCTCACTGTTACAGTTGTAGTAGTATATCTATATAAATATTCAAAACAATATGTAAAGCGTACCGAAAGGTTTGCATTGGACCCCTCTGTTCTAATTTCAAAATACCATATTTGGCGTAATAAGCGCCCAGGGCACTCTCAAAATTAGAAATATGGGGCTCTTATTAGAATATTATTTTGGTGGAAATAACAGATTTGAAAGATAAATTTCGTGGTTTATGCTGACAGACTGAAATGTAATATGCGACAGATATATTATTCCAGAATTTAATTGCCCATAATTAAGAATGCATATAACACACGAGTGGATATAATATGCGAATAAATAAGTCTTGTGTACATTGATCACTCGGAAGGGGTGCTAATTGGGATTGTTCACTAGCCAATATATTAGCAAATATCGCCGTGGGACTTATTAGAGTGGGGCGCTTATTACGTTGAATACGGTAAGTGTTTGTTTACAAACAAGAGGAAAGTTCGGTCATGTGATGTACCACCTATACCCACAGTGCAGCCACTGGAGCAGAATATTCTGTTGCGGAATATGGAAAGCAGTGCAGAGTAGCTCAGAGGTTATCGCCTATTGATGACAACCAAATTTTCAGAACGGTTGATGTCCTGTCCCTTAAGTCTTGATGAGATTTCCTGAACACTGCATTTGATAAGCATGATTATTTCATATAATTACCCTGGTCATGCTGGCACATGTTAACAAAACAAAGTCATGGTTACCATGGTTACTGGCAACACAAATATTTTTCAGTTTTGTAAAATGACAAATATCATTAAACTAGTAACTGAAGCAACTTACTGAGTTGAAACATTTTTCCCAAAGTAATTGTTCTCGAATATTATGTCTTTATGATAAATCCTGTAGTCTTGCTTCGATTTCAAGAAATCTGGCAACTGAAAAAAAAGAGGAAGTTTATTATCACAAAGACAATTTACCATAGCAGTAGCCATGGTTTTTTTGTTGATTGACAGTTTGTTGTTAATGCTGCACTCAGCAATATTCCAGCTATGTGATGGCAGAAACCACGTTAACAACAGAACTTCGATCATATCAATCATATTCATGATAATACTAACAATAATTGAAAGTCATCTCTCAATAAATGTTCTGCAATGTTGGAAAGGTGGAAACCCATAACAATATGTCAACAAGTTCATCATCATGATCATGTTCATAAACATGATAATCATTCATCTGTTCATGTAAATTTGCTTTTAGCATAATAATGATAATCATTCATGTAAATTTGCTTTTAGCATAATCATGATTATCATTCATGTAAATTTGCTTTTAGCATAATCATGATAATCATTCATGTACATTCGCTTTTAGCATAATCATGATAATCATTCATGTAAATTCACTTTTGGCATAATCATGATAATCATTCTTGTAAATTCGCTTGTAGCCATGTTAGCATAATCATGATAATCATTCATGTAAATTCACTTTTGGCATAATCATGTTAATCATTCATGTAAATTCACTTTTAGCATAATCATGATAATCATTCATCTGTTCATGTAAATTTTGCTTTTAGCATAATCATGATAATCATTCATGTAAATTCGCTTTTAGCCATGTTAGCATAATCATGATAATCATTCATGTAAATTCGCTTTTAGCCATGTTAGCATAATCATGATAATCATTCATGTAAATTCGCTTTTAGCCATGTTAGCATAATCATGATAATCATTCATGTAAATTCACTTTTAGCATAATCATGACAATCATTCATGTAAATTCACTTTTGGCATAATCATGATAATCATTCATGTAAATTCACTTTTAGCATAATCATGATAAGCATTCATCTGTTCATGTAAATTCACTTTTAGCATAATCATGATAAGAATTCATCTGTTCATGTAAATTCACTTTTAGCATAATCATGACAATCATTCATTTAAATTCACTTTTGGCATAATCATGATAATCATTCATGTAAATTCACTTTTAGCATAATCATGATAATCATTCATCTGTTCATGTAAATTTGCTTTTAGCATATTCATGATAATCATTCATGTAAATACACTTTTAGCATAATCATGATAATCATTCATGTAAATATACTTTTAGCATAATCATGATAATGATGAGCACATAGAAATTTACTTAGCATTTATTTCTTAACATTTGTTGTTGTACACAGGAGTCAGCAATATTCCAGCTTTATCACAGTAGCCTCGATATAACAGAGTCTGGACAAGACAAACCAGTGAACGATATTCAGAGCAACGTTCAAACTGCCTGAACACAATGACCTGCTATAAACCATGTCACACAGGGTTAGAACTTATCTCAAGCCCGGGCCTTGTACAAATCCCAAGTTTCCCAATTAGCCGATTTAACATCACAAAGACATTATCTTGACCTGGGCAAGTGAAGCTTTTGTGATCAGACCTAACCCTGTCCCAGAGCTTGACCACCCGGTTACTCATTCGTCACCACTCACTCCTTTCCGTAACCTGCAAGAAGACTCGTCCCCCTATTGATGAATGTTATGTGCGAAAATACGACAAACCAATCAGAATGCACGCATGATTTCAAGTTCTTTGTCAAAGAATCCCTCAGAAATAATTTTTGAATTTACATATGTCTTGCATCTAAAAATATACCCAAGACACAGCTACATGTGTTCAATCATACTGTATAAGTCCGCATGTCCCGATGTGCTTTAAATTGCATCTGAAATATATATAATATATGGGGAAATATATGTTAACCATTACACAACAAGTTTACAATTGTTTTAGCTATGCCCGTTTGCGCTAAGACAGAACCCGGTCGCAAAAATGGCCATGAGAGGGGCATGAGTCGCTATTCGGCTTGTCCCGGAATAACACGAGTTGGCCACGAATGCCGGTTACTGAGCATGCTGGATCTATTCAAACCCAGGCTCCTCCTAAACTTGATAAAAACATATAGTGAGTGAGTGAGTGAGTGAATATGGTTTTACGCCGCTTTTAGCAATATTCCAGCAATATCAAGGCGGGGGACACCAGAAATGGGCTTCACACATTGTACCCATGTCGGGAATCGAACCCGGGTCTTCGGCGTGACGAGCGAACGCTTTAACCACTAGGCTACCCGACCGCCCCTAAAAACATATAGTCAGCCAAAACTCTAGATAAGCTTTTGGTTATTTGGGTATTTTACCCATGGGTTTGATTTTGATTGGGTATCCACAATTTTTAGTGGGTAGTCAATTTTTTTTTACCCACATGTCTCTGGACATTTGAGTGTTTTAGTTAAATGCTTGAAATCTGTATGCTTGGTGTGCCTTCCAAAGCCCAGATGCTGTAAGAAAAATGCTAGTTCTCATTTTCTGACAAGAGCAACAACACAATCACGTTTCATTGTCTTTACACCTATATATCAGCCAAGGATATTTATGTTTCATATTTAGTATTCATCTATTGTCTTTTTGGACACATAGTTATCGTCATGCTTTTTCCATGTATTAGAGTTGGTGACAGAGGAGATAACTTCACTCAAATTAGTACCCAAAACGCACTCTGACAAACAACACTTTCAATCAATTCATCAAGAATACCTCTAACGAACTTATCGTTGGGATAAGAACTCTTTCCAATGCTGAGAAAGCTTGAAATTTTGTTTTGACCCTTTAGCGACTGCTTTCGACACTTGGTCATTGGGCGCTATTGTTATAAGCACCACTCAACGGCTTTTAAGATATACATGATATAGGCACGATATATTTGAGTCGCACGTTTTTCTGAATGTAACAATTGGTAAATGAATTTTGTGATCGGCTGACCCGCAATCGTTTTGTCTAACAGTTGTAATGTACCACTTGTTTTATTTCAGTAGCGTATTTATATTTTTGTCGCATATTTGATACGCTGGGGATTTGATTTGTCTGCATATTTCAGTTTATTTAAAGCATATTTTACGCAAATACGCAGCTGATCTAGAACTCTGGTCAACTCTTGTCACTGATTATCCCACTTCGTCTGAGGAAACAAGTTGATCATCATGATTAATGCCAGACAAAATACTCACAGTTCGTTCGAAAAAGTTATGAACAACAAGCAGCTGCTCCTCCGATGGCCCTTGACCTTGACCTTTGTTTGCCTCATCACCAGCTCCATCACAAAACACTGTGTGGACATCAGGCAAGGCCTGACAGCTAATGTTCACGGTGTTCATATGGCTAACATTGTCCTGTAGTACTGTTACATCATGATTTTCATGACTAATAATGTCCCTAGACATCCCCTGTGACCTGTTTTTGTTGCTTTCAAAAGCAAGAATGTCATCCTCTGAGTATGAAACAGCCTTGACGAATTCAGCGATGCACTGATTCTCCGCTTTTTCAACAACATTGCTCTTACTATGACCCTGAAACAGGTTTTCAAGGTCAGTCAAGGTCATAGGCAAGAAACACTTTTCCAGACTAATTTCAGGTAAGCAAGCATTTCGTCCCTCCAATGACCTTGTTCCTTGGTCTGAAGGGCAAGGACATGACCTTGACCCGCATTGACAATTTTGGCTGAACTTTTCACCATCTTGAAAACCAATGTTATAAACTGACAACAACAAGCTTGATAGTGTGTCACTATGAAGTGACCTTGACTTGTCTTCTGATGACTTTGACCGAACTGTATTCTGTTGAAGCCTTGTCATATATAGATGTTTATCATGCAGTGAGGCTCTGTTACGTACAGATGCTGGACAGGTTTTCTGAAAGGATCAAGAAGCAGTTATCAACTGGAAACCGTACACAAATCTGGGGACAAAAGTTCATTGCCATTCCGAATCTGCCAATCTCTTAGACAATAAATCCAATGTACACATTCAAAAGTTTTATATCTCAACTAGAATATTTGACAGACAACCTAGTGATGCAATACTTACTTTTAACTCTCCCAACAGGATTGAAATTATAATATTATGTCTATGCCTTAACATATGAGAGTTGTGTGCTCGGATTGAAACTAGACCTGATTTAAGTTCAGACACCCTGTCCACATGACAAGTGGGGTTAACCCTGTCCACATGACAAAAGGGGTTAACCCTGTAAGCTAGCTGACAAGTCAAGGATGTCATCTGTGGGGTGACTCCATGCCAAGAAATGGTAGAGTTTGGCAAGCTATTAAAATAAGTGAGTGAGCAAGTTTGGTTTAACCCCTCTTTGACAAATATTTCAGATGTAGGATGGTGTTTCAGCTTGATGTCGCAGGAAATCCCAAAGTGATTCAGGTCTTATGACATTTACCACTTTGGTAAAACCCATTGGCATGTATGATGCTGACAATTCGAACCCATGATCTTGGGTGCTAAATAAGTAAAGAATAAATTGGTAAATGTGACAACACATTGTGCAAATTAGACCTGAAAGGATGTATTACTAAAAGCCACTAATTACATCGACGATGCTGAGTGGCGGACAAAAACTATACGAAACATGTGAATGACATCTTAGAAATTCAAGACTTGACGGAATGACTGCACATGGCCTGACAATGTAACATGTTGACATCTTTAATAACATGTCTCGAAGTACACACCTTGTGTAAATAATATTCGTATAATGCAAAATGTAATCTCATTATTGATCTGTGTTACAAATATAAGAACCGATCGATGTTGAAAGGCAAGACGAGAGGTCATGCCTCTGCAAAGTCAGCGACTGAGATTTGGATTGATTTTGACCGACTCTTACATAAACATGTTCTGTAGAAGGATCGGCTTGTCTTCGTTCGAAAACTTTGTCATCAGCCTGTGTTGCAAAGGGTAGAGCCCTGATTTTTGACAGTTTGAATAGATTATGATTTGAAAGTCGAACGTGAAATGCCATTTTTCGGGCACACTTGCATGCTCTTCACCGAAAGCAGACAAACCGGATGTCAAAGTCACCCAAGTTCACATGCGCACTACTGATTTAGACTGGTCCTCTGCTCTAAATGCTTCGCCCAAGCCAGCATTGTGTAGCATAAGCGAGCGTGCGCAACAGAGGCAGGAGACCAGTCTAATTACTAATTCTATTTCCCGAAAAACGTATTCTAGTTAAGTGAAATTCTATGGCACTCTACTGAATTCACGCTTAAACATTATCACTCACAAAAGATGAAACCATACATCAAATTCCACTTACAGGGAAGGAGGGAATTACATAAGGTATCGGGTGTTGGTTTTGGATAAGCAAAGGCAGAGACCATATAATAGATTATATGGTCCCTGGCCATGGCAAAGGGAAGGACTGGGTGTAACATGGCAATCAACATGACATGATGGTGATGTATTGTAAGTCAACCAAGACAGACGACATGGATGTGAAGTAAGGACATCAACGTTGGAGATGGCTTGACAAGTAATGGGCCATGCCCCACGGTTTGTCAAACATTCGTTTATACGGCGTGGCATGCTCCGACTCAATCTCCGAATGATATATTGAGGGTGTCTTGCGATTGGCCCAGTTCGGCTGAAGTAGCGCTTTGCCTCTGAGGTCGGCGTACACATCTTCCGATCATGTCACTGGCGTGCTCTATGGGGGAAAGGTCAGGACTCATGGCTGGCCATTTGTATCTGGTAATGTTTTGCTGCTGGAGGTGAGTGAGTGAGTGAGTACGGTTTAACGCCGCTTTTAAGAGTATTCCAGCTATATCGCGGCGTGTCAGCTTAATGTGGGAGGAAAGCCCAAAGTGATGCAGGTCACAGACGTTTACCACTTCGGTGAAACCCACGAGCACGGGTATGGTGCTGACAAACGTAGAACCGGGATTCGAACCCACAATCATACGTTTCTGGCGTGCCCAAGGGACGCAACTCTGCACAGCGAATCGCGGCGCCTTAGATGACTGGGCCACCCGTGCCCCCGCTGCTGGAGGTTGTCACTTGTAAGAGCACATCCAACTGCATGAGGTACCAGATCATTTCGTACCCCAGTAGTTTTGTATCTCTTGTGTCCTTTCGTGACTTGGAAGTACAGCGAACTACGGTTATAACGAACTCAAAGGGACTACTAATTTTAGTTCGTTATAACCGTAGTTCGTTATAAGCATATATACAGCATAATACAGCTAATTATCGGGACCAAAAAAGTAGTTCGTTACATCCGTCAGTTCGTTTTAAGCGTGTTCGTTATAACCGTAGTTTACTGTATTGTATCTTACAGGTCGTTTTTTGGTAACCAAGTTGTTTAGATGAAGGCTTTTTTTACAAGGACGGGAATGTCTGCTATTACCTAACAAAAAAGATCAGCTGGCTATAGTCACAGTTTTAGTATACACGTGAATCCCCATGTAGAGAATAGGTCTTCAGCAACCCATGCTTGCCGTAAGAGGCAACTACATATGCTTGTCGTAAGAGATGACTAACGGGATTGGGTGGTCAGGCTCGCTGACTTGGTTGATGCATGTCATCGTATCCCAATTGCGTGGATCGATGCTTATGATGAACAACAAACAGACACAGTTTTAGAAGTAACCAAGAGGTGCAATGTCATTAAAATCAGATCTTAGTTCTCGCTGTGGCTAAACAAAGATCTGAGGACATCTCATTACGGGTCACGTCAGACCGACCTTGCGCGAACTTTGACCGACCAATGGAATGACAAATCAGAAGACAGCTTTCTCGTGCTTTACGGCACAAATTTCAAATTGGCGACTACGCTTCGAAACATATTTTGACAAATTCTCGATTATAAATTTGAAACCTGAACAAAAAAAAACATTCTGGAATGGCTAATCGATTGTCTCGATTGTAAGGATTCAGTCGTTAAACCCGTAACTATCGTTCGGAATACCCCATGTTAAAGTTTTCGAGATTGCATGATTAGAAATTACATTCCGACTGTCACTTTCATAATCTGGTAAGCGACGCACTGATTGGTCGGATGAATGGTCGTTCTGACGTGACCCTTAATGGGGTGTCTTCAGATCTTTGTTTAGCGGCAGCGAGAACTAAGGTCTGATTTTAACGCGATTGCCAAGAGGTGCATATTAGAACATCGGAACAGTACCTGCCATGCCAAAGAATGTGGATACTTTTTGTAACAATTTAACACTGGACTTGTCTCCAGTCATAATGATTTCATGTAACGTTTTTATGGAACTGAATTTGCGAAATTGTTATCCACAAATAGATATAGATATTATACTACATAAGCAGTCTGGGGAACGAAACGACAGGGGGGTAATGCACTGACTGGGATATGTTGTTTGTTGTTTTGTTGTTTAACGCCGCACTCAGCAATATTCCAGCTATATGACGGCGGTCTGTAAATAATCGAGTCGGGACCAGACAATCCAGTGATTAATATCATGAGCATCGACCGACGCAATTGGGATCGATGACATGCATCAACCAAGTCAGCGAGCCTGACCACCCGATCCCGTTAGTCGCCTCTTACGACAAGCATGGGTCGCTGAAGACTTATTCTACCCCGGACCTTCACGTTTCGACAGGGATATGAATGACACGACCCTGAATCAGACCGCGTCATCATAATCATAAATGAATGTTGTTTATCGGCGCAGACATTCAACAACATTCCCTCTTTATCACGGATTCGTGTCAGTAATGGAATCTTGACCAAGCTAACGCGTGGTCGAAAGCATGAACATCTATCCACGCCATCCGGGAACGCTGACACGCCATCTGCAATATCACCGAGCCTGGTCATCTGATGCCTATTGATCAACTGTTTGTGTTGGTTCTTACGACAAACACTGGATCTTCACGTCGTAAATGCTGCGTTTAATATATTACAGTGTTTAACGAGGAACAAAATGAAAGAAGGCAAGGAAATCTGATATCGTTTTCGTCTGGTATATTTAGTTTTGTTTTAACGCGGTTGGGTTTCACCCTAACGCACAAAAAAATATCTGAAACGAAAATAATTTTCATTTTACGTAACGAACAACCTTTATATACCAATTGTTAACCGGTTCGTTTAAGATCTAGTAATTTATATAATACCAGCGAGTAGGCGTAAGAATATAGTAGACAAAAACATGCCACGTACTTTCTCGCGAGACCTGTTTCACTTCTGACATGGCAGGCCAGAATGAAAACATTAAAATGACAGCCTCAAAGTAATTGAATATACAGTCTTCCATTTATAAAGACCGGTAATCCCACGACCCGGTTGGTTAGGAGAAACATGGATCGACAACATACAGTCATGTTTGTGATGTTTATTGCTGTTGTAATAATTTTACTTGATGATTCTGCTTTGGCCTTGTCATCGACAGAAAAGAACAGCGTGAAGTAAGTCATTATGGTTATGAAAATATTCGTAACGATTTAAGAAGTCATTACCATTATGTAATGTGATATTGCGTGATTTAAAATGAAATACGCACATGTATCAACTTATCGTGAACTAGAACAGTGCCTCCACATACAGATTAAATGTGATACAATAGTTAACATGTTTTTGATTAAAATTGAAAAAAGTGGCAAATATACTATTTTGTCATAAGGTAGGCATGTAACTATACATGGTTCTTGTCTTCAAAGACTGTGTACAAACAGTGGAAATATTGGTAAACTAGTTTCATGATGACGAGAGCCATGGCTAGTCATCGATATAACTCAAGCATGTTTTGTAGTTATCATGGTCATGTAAACTCAAGAGGTGCCATGGATCATGATGGATTGAGGAACAGGTGCCTCATAACATTTTTTCCAAAAGGGGGTTTGGAGTTATTAGAAGAGGACTGGGGTACTTAGGCCGAAAGTAATAGAATTTTGTCAACACATCTCATGATTATGACTTACGCACAACCTACATCTATATATTACAATATGCTTACAATAGTCATTGTATTAGTACCAGGTCCAATTAGTGCCTTCTAACAGTGTATGACCAACCACCAGACCAACTGAGAGTAACCTTATAAGGCAAAACCAAGTTATTTACTTTTCTTATGGAACCTGTCAGTCAAGTTTTTCCCTTTCCCAAATTTCATGATTTTACCATATTCACCATTATTAAAAATTGAAGGTTTCGCTCGTTAAAACCATTCGCAGTCAGTTTTGTGATTTGCAAGCAGTAATGATTATGTGTTCATTTTGGGAAAATATCTCAATGTATGCGTATATAATCATGATAATATGCACCCCTTATACAGCATGTATATTTCTACATATTTGTATTTTCTGTAAAACCCCTTTTGGGATTCAGGTTTAGAATAGGTCTTCAGCAACCGGCCTACCTTTAGAATACATTACCACAAACATTTTAAGCAATCAACAATACCCTATGAAGTAATTTGTAGTATTTAGTAGCCATTCACACCAGCGAAACAATGCCCTGCGACGTCAGGGGTCATCGAATGTGCATCCCAGTGATCTATCATAGCTGTATACAATATCATTGAATACGCCCAACGATGTTGAGAGTTTTGAATATTTGTTTACTAAATAAAGCCTGCAGTGGCACATTTTATAGCAAGCACTAGTTTTATTCAATATATTTTTTATTTCTTTTTTTGTTAATAATTCAAGTGGCTAAAATGGCTGTAATGGGAACTAATATACATATATTATTTTTTCAGTTTATTCATTTTCATTATTGTGCACAAGAATGCAATTTATTAGGTATATTTTATTGGCACTGAACACATCCAAATGTCGCTGGTGTTAGCATGTTTAATCAAGGTGCTCACCTGATCGGATCCACTTCATGAAGTAAGACCCATTTTATCACAATATCGATCTTCATTATCGATCAGATTGTCTTGACCAGGCGCAGCAATTTTATTTGAAGTCAGTGCAAGTGAAATGAGAGATGGAATCTGATCACTTGGAGGGACATAATCTGAAATAGCCACTGGTGGCGCTACAATCCAGCCACAAAATTCCAGCCTATTTCAGCAAGGGTGGAAACTGGACTTTGTCAGTCAGTTAACTCCCTTGCCTCGGGAAGATGACCTGCCTGTAGAACAGCGTTAGAAATTGGCACTAGTCCTGTAGTCCTTACCAAACTGCCCAATGGTAAAGGTATACTAAGGACTAGTAGAAATTGCCCTGGTTTAAGGGTTTTGCTATATGTTATCATTGTAAGGACTAGTAGACAAAAACTGTTAGATTCTAACCCTGTAGAACATGGCAGAATGTTTAGCATGTAGAGGGAATTTGCCTTCCTGTCAGTTAAGTTCATAATTTGTTGTCATGATCATTAAGATTTAATTCTGTAAACATGGTAAATGTTCGTATTTGCATGATTTATGATTACATTTTCTTCTCTTGCAGATTAAAAGTATTAGAGATGTTCGACCATGCTTATGGCTCTTATATGGTAAGTACTAATCTTTTTGCATCCCTTAACATTTGTTGTCATTAATCAACCAAATAATCCAGAGCAGACCTTTATCACTATATAGGCACATAGGTCATGTAGGAGTCGGCTTGGAGTCAGTATACCATGGATACTGTGTCTGAGTGGGAGTCCATGTTAAACTGCAGCATGGTGTCTCGTTGGGTTAGCACTATCAAACAGGTGTTAGCATGGTTAGTTCGGACAAGTACAAGCGGACACTCATGTGCAATAATCATGATAATCTTAAACGCAACATTAAAAATTAATGTCCTGAAAAAAGCAGATCAAAGGTTATCGACTTCACTGGATGTAAGCATCTACCATTAGTCTGCCATTTATAGTGATTCCCTTGTACTGAATTCAGCCATGATAACCATAATGTTCATGGCTGTGGTATAGTGGTAGGGCATCTGTCTGCAAAGTGGATGTTCGATCCCCAGCCACTACTGCCTCCGTGGTCTAGTGGTAGAGCGTCTGCCTGGAAAGTGGATGTTCGATCCCCAGCCATGCCATATCAAAGATGTTAAAAAGATGGTACTTGTTGTTACCCTGCCTGGTGTTTGGCATTGGGGGCTAAAACGAGGACTGGTCAGCTTGGAGTCGGTATAATGTGAGTGAGTGGGGTATTCATGTTAAACTGTCATGGTGGGCTATGGGGCGGTCGGGTAGCCTAGTGGTTAAAGGGTTCGCTCGTCTCGCAGATGACCCGGGTTCGATTCCCGACATGGGTACAATGTGGAAAGCCCATTTCTGGTGTCCCCTGCGCTGATATTGTTGGAATATTGCTAAAAGCGGCATAAAACCATACTCACTCACTCATGGTGGGCTAGAACTATGAAATGGGCTAGTACAAGCAGCCACATACACACACTCACACGTGCATGCTCCCTATATAAGTGCAGTGATCTTGGACACAACGTCAAACCTCATTTCACTTCATCATAATGTTCATGGGTATAAAGTTAGTGTGTTCCTGTCAGTGTGTAAAATAATTGTTCAACAGTAGTAGCCAGCCGGGCTAGCAAATAATATTTTACCAGCCAATTTTAGACTCGAGTAGCCAGGTATTTTTACACTACCAAATACAAGGTGAAATCTGGTCATGCTTGTAGCAGAATTTTTTTTATTCAATTTTACGTGTTCATCAAGGTTAGAACTTCAATCTGAGTGTTTATCAAACAGGTTTCTGTAAGTGTCAGAACTAGTAGCAAGCGACCATAACAAGCGCATAGAATGGTACAGTAAATCCCTGATGTCAGAAATCAGTGAAGATTCGGGTTAGAATGTACAACAACCTATGCTTGTCGTAAGAGGTGACTAACAGGATCAGGTGGTCAGGCTTGCTGACTTAGTTGATGCTTGTCATGATATCGCAATTGCGTAGATTGATGCTCATGATGTCAATCTAGATTGTCTGGTCCAGATTTGATTATTTAGTTACAGACTGTCGTCATATCATGCATAGAGCTTAGATATTGCTACGTGTGGTGTTAAACAACAAACAAACAGTTTATAAATAAGTCTTTTAAAATCTTACCAATTTGTTTGGAAATTTATATTTGACAGCTGAATAACATTATTGTCAGGATTTTATCACAGTAGAGAGAAAATGACAGTAGAGAGAAAATGAAGCTACCCACTCGTGGCTAATTAGATTTTATTTTTAGATAAAAAAGAAAGTTGCCACAGGCTACCAGGCAGGTACTTGTTTCGCACACTGGTTCATAGGATAAAAGGCTATAGGATTAGGAGCAAACATCCACATGCCCAAGGACCCTGCGACATCCATTAATTTTGCAAAAGTTTCCACGCTCATGTCAGACTTGTTTAGGATTTAATGTAAGTGCCTGTGTCAGGCAAATTTGGGAAAAAGTCATTATTTTGTTTAAAGTTAAATTCTGAGGTTTTCGCATTAATTCAGTGCAATAATGTTGAAATAAGCATGAAACAATAATCTTTAATAATGACTTGTAGAGCGTAACAGAAGCCCTCAATAATGAGGTGTTTCTTCATCTTCAGTGGTGATGTTATATGAGCATGTGTCACATTGGTAGAACAGGGTCAAACACAATGGGACAAACACTATGATTGCAGCAACCATCATGTAATTCAACCTTTTTCTTCATGTGGGGAATCCAACTCAGGTCTTTGGTATGACAAACGAACACTTTAACCACTAGGCTATCCCACTGCCCCCTGCAATGATCAGGACGGTGGGGTAGCCAAGTGGTTAAAACTTTTTGCTCATCTGGCCTGGGTTTGATTCCTCACGTGGGTACAAGGTGTGAACAGTATGTGAAATAATTGGGAATGTATTGCTAAGTCAATGTTTTCCTTGTTGTTGTATGAGAGTGCCAGTGACATGGTTAAGATTGTATAGGTACAGTAAAAAAAGGTTCCTGGTGCCTGATAGTGGTGTAATGACACAGCGATAAAGTATTGTATTGTTATACGAGGCCCATGGTACAACATGACAATAGGCCGCCTCCGTGGTCTAGTGGTAGAGTGTCCGCCCGGAGAGCGAAGGTCCGGGGTTTCAATCCCCGACCGCGTCATACCAAAAGACATTAAAAAATGGTACTTGTTGTTACCCTGTCTGGCACTAGGCATTAAGGGGCTAAAACAAGGACTGGTCGGCTCGGAGTCAGTATACTGTGTCTGAGTGGGGTATTCATGTTAAACTGCGGCATGGTATATCAGTGAGCTAGCACTATAAATCGGCATCAGTCCGGACTAGGACAAGCAGCCACACAAACACACACACGTACATGCACGTACATGCACGTCGCTATATAAGTGCAATAATCTTGGACGCGACGTTAAACCCCATTTCACCTCACCCATCATACAATACATCAATTTACAACTCATGTATATCGATACATATACTACATTACATTACATTACGCTACAAGTGACACTGGTGTAAAAACACATGAACAATAACAGAAACTGTTCAACAACCAGCTTAGTTCTGCAGATTCTCTAGTATTTCCCAGCAGGCTAATATCAGCATAACATTCACAATGATTCACATGCAGTACCCTCTGTGTTTCTGACCCACGATGACCCATCTCGGTCTCTGAAATTTAAACATAACTGATTCAGTGTTGTGATTCAACTTCAAGAAGAAAGAATATCAACTAATGAAATAAAAGTACTGTGTGCAAATATTTAGAATGAATATACAAACATGCTTTACATACTTAGTGCTTGGAATAATTAATAAAATAAGCCCCAGGATTCTAATTGACTATGATGTTTTCAGTCTCAATGAAACTGACTGATTACAACCGCTTAATATCTACAAGGTTCATACAGGCTTGAAAAGGCCTTCATATTTAAGGTCCTTCTCGAACATCTTGAATAGCCTTCATTTTTAGGGTCAATCTTGAAAAGCTTTGAAATGAAAATCTCCAGAATAGCTTGAAAAGCCTTGAATTTGTATGAATAACATATACTTGTTTTTAAAGTATCAAATTTCATGGCTTAATTTATTTCATTTGTTGGTTGTGAAAATAAATCTTGTTGGGAAATTTGTGATGTTTATAAAGGCATTACTGCTTCTTTGGTCTCACGAATAAGATGATGGTCATGATGGTGGAAGCCTTGAAAAAACCTTGAATTTTAGTCTCTCAATCTGTTTGAATCTTGACCTTGTTCATGGTGATGACCTTCAACAGGCATGAATGGGGATCAAATGTTTTCTTGTTGTTGCACTCTTACATTCCAAATGGTATACCTTAACTTCTTTGTAATGGTTGCCGATGATGATGGTGCCTGGCTTGCCTGGCTTGTTAGAACAAGTCTGCAGAAAATGTCATTAAAAACTTACAAATTCATGTTAATATGGATAAACATGATAAATAATATCTTATTTTCTAATGTAATGGCTTTTTGGAGATAACCTGTATTTAACGGGACCGGTATATAGCATGATATAGAATGAGGTTTTTATCATGTTTATGCTTAGTTATATAAAGGTAGATTGTCAATCTATGTATTATTGTTGCTCTATGTATCCTATGAGGCCGAAGGATACAGGGCTCAATTAAAAATACTTTGTGTTTTTACAGCTATGTATTCCTGTGGGTTAATGAAGTTATTCTTTAAATTATCCGATAATATGATTGATTGATCATTGATGATATAAGCTCCATGGGCAAGTGAAGGTTTGACATGCAATTACCTATCTGTGAAGTGGCCAAAAAATTATGTCTAGATATCCGTACATGTTATATACCAAGTATTGATAATATTTTACTTGTATATGACCAGATTTAATTCATAAATAATCATGATAATCAACTATCTATTCTATATACCAATATTAGCCACAATATTTGTCTTTGTGTCTAGGATTACTGTTAAACCCAGGAGTCCTAAGTTTTCTAAAATACACGGATTTAACCAAAATTCTAAACTAAATGCCCTGGCAGCCAAATTGGGAAAAAATGTCATTTTGTTCAAAATCTGGAGGTATTGTAACATTGTACTTTGAGAGTTCATTCAACCCAATAAGGAATAATATCACTTTCGGTCAAAGATCATCTCAGATAAATGCAAACTGAAATAGAAAACGTATGACTGGTGGCATGACCATGTAACGATGTGTTCAATCCGATCTTCTGGGTTGACGCAGTCTTGGTGCAATTTTTGTTAAAATATGACAAAGAAATATCAAGTGCATTTATCATGTTTATCCTGAGCCAACATCATCTCCCTTACTTTCATTAAAAAATAGTGTTTTTTCTGCCTGTTGTAGTCTGTAAATAGTCTTTCATATTTGGAAGTGCATTATGTTTTTACTACGATTTATAAATTAAAGTGCCTCATTGTCGTTGTTGACCTTTCTGACCTAGACGTGTATTAATCTCATCAAATTAGATTGCCGATCTAGGATTAGCCAATCAATTTGCGTAAAAATCATCATATGATTCATTCTCGCGAAATATGAAAAAGTTTGATGTGTTGATATT